AAGGGTTGCAGCATTGCGTAAATTCAGTGGGGCTTACTTCTGAGTAGACATGTACCAGATTGCACTGCTAATTTTTCTTTATAAACAGCAGTCCAGTCATCCTGGCTGGTATTGGAAGCTCTTTTGAAACTCACACTGGTTTCAAACATAGCTTTTGAGAACAGCATCCCCCCCCCCATAGGACTGAGGGACTGCTGTTCCAAGCAGAAATGTTTCATGGAAGCAAGTCATGGGCAACTTACACCTGCCAGGAGTCATATAGGCCAACTCCCTGGGTGCCCGAGCACCCACAAAATTCCCCATGAAGGGTCCGGGCACCCACAAATTTTGGTGTCAGGGTCATGCATGTTGCATGGCACCCACAGCCCCAGGCACCCATGGTCGTGGGGCCAGGTTGGCACTCCTGCCAGGAGTGATGCCTCAATGCCTTCCATATGTACTGTGTCAGGAAGATCTGGGCATTGCATAACAGTACAGAGTCTCAAACAAATATATGTTTTTCCAAATCCACATTCCCAGTGGTTCGTATTTCTGTCTCAGTGACGTCTATGCTGGCTTGGTCATGTACACAGAATGGAAGGTGACAGGATCCCCGGTTATGTGCTTTGTGGTGAGCTAGCTTCAGGTATGAGGCCTGTTGAAAGACCAATTCTGCCCTATAAAGATGTCTACAAATGTGTCATGAAGGTTGGCAACATTAACCCCACCATGTGAGAATGCCTTGCAGATGACAGCAGTGCCTGGAGACAGGTCATGTAGCAACAGCAGTGACCAGGGGAGAAACGATTGCCGTGAGAAACGCAGAGAGAAGAAACACCATGGTGCATTTGTAACAGCAAAACCAGATGCCTTCATCTGCCCCAGCTGCAATAAAATATGTTTCTCCCATATCGGTCTCTATAGCTACAGCAAGCACTGTAAGTCTCCAACAGTTTGACTTTACATCTGATGGGTGCACTCTTCCATTGATTCTCAACACAGGCAGATGCCACCAAATTCACTTCCAACTGGAATGGAAGTTGACTTTTTAAAAAAGACAATTTTGCACAGTAATTGTTAACAGGCATAAAATAACGTAAGAGCATAAGAAGAGCCCGCTGGATCAGGCCAATGGCCCATCTGGTCCAGACTTTGTTCTCACAGTGGCCAAACAGAAACAAGCAAGATTTGAGCACAAGAGCCCTCTCCCTCCCTATGGTTACCAGCAGCTGGCGTTCAAAAGCACTACGGCCTCCAACTGTGCAGGCAGAGCATAGCTATCGTGGCTCATTCTCCTCAACAGCCCTCTCCTCCATGAAGTTGCCCAGTCCTCTTCTAAAGCTGTCTTACATTTCATAGGCTTACACCCAAATTAATTCTGATGCATCAAGATACCAAGGTCAGTACAAAGATCCCAACCTTTACTGCAGAGTGACACATTGAATCTGCATAAAGTGCAGTAATAGAGATCACAGTGCCTGCCTCCTCTTCATCACTCTTGGGGTGTTACTGCTCTAATGTGTCAATTGCAGTTTTTCTCAAATTTCCCCCCCATTTCTCTGATCTTAAATTGAGCCCACCACATTTCCACATCAGTTTGTGATTAAAAAAATATATATCAGGATTTTAGTGTGCATTGCTTCTCATTTTCCTAAATATAATGCATTTTCTATGTTATTTTCACTCATATGTGCATATTATACACTTTTTCACCTGATATACACCTTCTTAGGCTTGAAGAACCGCACTGCCAAATTTGGAGAAGCGCTAGCTTTAAAGAACAGCTGCATTTTGCTTCTCATTCTTTCAGGAAATATGAATTAGATAGGCCTGCTTTAAAATGCAAACTGAACTGAATCTCTCCTGCATCGCTATGTCTGGGCATTCATGTTGCTGTCATTCGGGCTGTCATAAAGTCTCCCTCTGGCCCGTGATTCCAGTATGCAAATCAATGTCTGCATCTCTTTATACATGCAGAAATTTACATTGCCATGCATGAGAGCTGAACAGGTTTTTACACACAAGGGTAAGGGCTTAACAAACGACGTTTCAGAATCCTTCAATGGCACCTCAGTCTGCAAGTTACTGTCAAATATGTATAGCCTTCATTGTTCATGTGACAGTATCCCCACTTGGTACAGGATTTACGGTCTTATCTGATTAAATGATACTGAGATGATTTCAAGAATTATAAAGCATGCCACATAAAAGTCAACATTTGACATACTTCAGTCTCCATAGTACCCAGGCTAAACACATGGGATATGACTTTTCATGGGTTTGTGAATCTTTGGTTTTTAATGATACTCAGTGGTACTTAATGGCTTAGCAGGTTTAAATGTTGCTAAAAGAAAACTCTCTCACACAATGCATTGTGGGTTGGTAGAACTCTCTGTCACTGTGCAGTAGTGAGCTCAAACAGTAGAAATGCCATTAAACTTTAATATGATCTCATATCTGTTATTTTAAAAATTCAGTTCTTATGGTTTTATGGGGAAATTCTACGGCTACAATGGTTTTATTTGAAAATGCTGTTTTCTATTTTTAATATGTGGCATTTTATCCATGTAATTGTATGTTTTGTTTATTGTAAATAAGTATTGTTTAATTATTTTAAATTTTAAAAACCACTCTGAAAGCTTTTATAAAGCAAGGTAGTGGGATATAAATTTAATACTTAATTCATCCTCTGCAATGCCTATCCCATGTGCACCACAACCCTAAACATATTTAGGCAACAGTAAGTCCCACTGAGCCCAGCAGGATTTAGGACCTACCAGTAATAAATGTGCTTAGGCAGCAGCCTAATGCCACAATCTTATGTTCACTTACAGATCAATACTGTGCATGCTTACTCAGAAATAAGTCACACTTTGTTCAATGGGACTTACTGTAGGGTAAGTTTGGATAGGATTTCAGCCCCAGTTAATTAGAACATACAGTAAAGCATTCTTATACCACTTTTATAGTCATGGAAAATCCTGGGAACTGTGGTTTGTTAAGGGTGCTGGGAATTGTAGCTCCATGACATCAGCACCCTTAACAAACTACAATTCCCAGGATTCTTTGGCGGAAGTCATGAGTGCAAAAGTGGTATAAGAGTTATTTGAATGTATGGAGACTATTTTTTCAACTTTTTTTTATTAGGTAGACCTACTGAAATTAATGGACCCAACTTAGTCGTGTTCATTACTTTCTGTGGATCTAACTTGAGTAAAACTTAGTGGAATACTTCCCATGGTGTGGAGATGACTCATTGAAGTCAGTGAGGCATATTTTTGTGTAAATATACACAGGATTCTGCTGTAAGCTATCAGCTGGTCAACGGTCATTTGTATCCACCTGTGATCATCTGCAGTGGCCTACAAAGTAGTGAATTCTATGACTGGCCCACTTTCCTGGATTTCTGATTGCATGCAGGCAGGTAGCAACATGCTCCTTACCACCCGATAGGACATTATAGCCATCTTGTTATGTGCTTATCTGCACACTATGGCAAGACAGGAACATACGAAGCTGCTTTACACTGAGTCCATCTTGGTCCATCTAGTGCAGAGTTCCCCAAACTTGGGACTTCAGCTGTTTTTGGACTACAACTCATAATAATAATAATAATAATAATAATAATAATAATAATAATAATTTATTTATACCCCGCCCATCTGGCTGAGTTTCCCCAGCCACTCTGGGCGGCTTCCAATCGAGTGTTAAAAACAATACAGCATTAAATATTAAAAACTACCCTAAACAGGGCTGCCTTCTGATGTCTTTTAAAGAGAAGATAGCTACTTATTTCCTTCACATCTGAAGGGAGGGCGTTCCACAGGGCGGGCGCCACTACCAAGAAGGCCCTCTGCCTGGTTCCCTGTAACCTCACTTCATCCCTAGCTAGCAGGACCAGTGGTCAGGGATGATGGGAATTGTAGTTCAAAAACAGCTGGAGGGCCAAATTTGGGAAACACTGATCTAGTGCATTACTGTCTGCACTGACTAGCAGCAACTCTCCAGGGTTTCAGGTAAACGGGGTCTCTTTAAGGAGAAGCTGGGAATTGAACCTGAAACCTTCTGCACACAAGACAGATGCTCTGTCACTGTACTATGGCCCTTCCTCTATTTAGTAAATCAGATACTCTCAGAAATTCAGCTCATCGCTGTGTGGATGCATTCAGTCCACTGCAGACAGCTGCCACTAGATCAAAGGCAATCTATATTCATCTTGAGAATCACATTCTGAGAATAAGGCAGATTTAAATTCCAGAGGTGGTTATAAAATTTATTATATTGCAACATGGAATGCTGGCAGGCGTTCACAGCAGTGTTGCAGAACTGGGCCTTTTGCAGAAGGCTGAATTAGTCACTTTATATTGCAGTGCTCCAAAAGCATTGCCATCATTAATTGAAAAAGGCAGGACCTTGTGCAATATAAATTTCTTTCTTTTTTTAAAAAAATGATATTTATTAAAAGTTTAAGAGTTACAGAAAAAAGAGAAAAAGAAAACAGCAAAAAATTTGACAAAACATACATTACAATACATAAAAAGAAAAGCATAAAAAACAATACAACAATACAGCAAAAAAACAACAACAAAAAACAACAATAACATTAAAACACACATCCAATGTTCCATATCTTTATCTTTCATTTACTTGTTTCATCGACCTCCTCACACCTCCCTTTTTGTATTCTAATTTAATTAATTGTTTCAGCAAATTCTTTCCATCTTTCTCAATTTTTTTATATAATTTATCTTAACGATCTAACCTTTTAATTAACTCAACAAATCCTTTCCATCTTTCACTATATTCTGTCATTCAATTTACCTTAATTTATTTAACCTTATCTTACCATAAAAAAAACAACTTTAAAACTTAAAACTTAATACTTATTTGTACATAACTCCTTATATCATTTCTACTAAAGCCAAATACTTTCATTCCAACATTTTTCCTAATACTCGTTAATTTTACACTAATTCTCAAAATAAATTTTTTAAAAACTTTCTTCCAATCTTCATCCAACGTCTCTTCTTCCTGGTCTCGGGTTTTGTCAGTCCTTCTTGTCCATTCCATCTAGTCCATCAACCTGGTGATCTTATGTCCGAGGCTCTTAAGTCTTTTCCATGTCCCTGCAATATAAATTTCAAGGTAAGGAAGGTCATATTGTCTGTGGTATACATTTATTTTACAAGGAATTCTCTCCCTGCCCCCACCCCCTCCACCAATATGTATCTCATAGTGTATAAGAGCTAGAAACAATGTCATTAGGACTGAAGCCAAAACCTCATTGCTGAGAATGACCTCATTCATGATGCTTTTAGCTGAACCTGGAGGTTAAGCAAGACGCTTACAAAATGCTGCTTGCAGTTGAGCTATCTCTCCTCTGCATTCTGCTGCGTAATGAAGGCCTGCTTAAAATGCAGTATGGCTTGTTAATTTTATGTTTTGTTTTGGGAGAAAACAATGTGGGTAATTGCCACAATTAATTAACATGTCATTAGTTAATCAAAGCCAGAAAGCATTTTTCTCTCTTTTTTAAAATGCTTATATTAAAATCTCTTTGGACACAAGGGCATTGAAAGACAAACATGGGGTTGGATTTTGACTTAGGCTTAGAACAGACCAATTGAAATCTATGGGACATAAGCAAAGCCACATTCACACCATACACTGAAAGCACTCTGGCACCACTTTAAACAGCCCTCCATAGAATTCTGGGAAGTGTAGTTTGTTAAGGGTGCTGAGAGTTGTTAAGAGACCCCTGTTTCTTGCACAGCGCTAGAGTCGCCAGAAGGATTTAGCAACCAATCCCTCTTACCAGCAAACTCCACATAATTTCATATACTTCTATCATGTTGCCTCCTTCTCAGCTTTTCTCTAAACAAAGATGCTCCAAATATGACCACCTTTCCTCATAGGATACATTGTTTATTAATATCCTTCCAAACTTGTGCTAGCAAGTTCCTTAGCAGAGTTTCACAGTCCCCTTTTAATAATAATAATAATAATAATAATAATAATAATAATAATAATAATTTATTATTTATACCCCGCCCATCTGGCTGGGCCTCCCCAGCCACTCTGGGTGGCTTCGATAGAAACCAAAAATACACTAAAATATCACACGTTAAAAACTTCCCTGAACAGGGCTGCCTTAAGATGTCTTCTGAATGTCAGGTAGTTGTTTATCGCTTTGACATCTGCTGGAAGGGCGTTCCACAGGGTGGGCGCCACTACCGAGAAGGCCCTCTGCCTGGTTCCCTGTAGCTTTGCTTCTCGCATTGAGGGAACCGCCAGAAGGCCCTCGGTGCTGGACCGCAGCGTCCGGGCAGAACGATGGGGGTGGAGATGCTCCTTCAGGTATACTGGACCGAGGCCGTTTAGGGCTTTAAAGGTCAACACCAACACTTTGAATTGTGCTCGGAAACGTACTGGGAGCCAATGTAGGTCTTTCAAGACCGGTGTTATATGGTCTCGGCGGCTGCTCCCAGTCACCAGTCTAGCTGCTGCATTCTGGATTAGTTGTAGTTTCTGAGTCACCTTCAAAGGTAGCCCCACATAGAGCGCATTGCAGTAGTCCAAGCGGGAGATAACCAGAGCATGCACCACTCTGGCGAGACAGTCCGCAGGCAGATAGGGTCTCAGCCTACGTACCAGATGGAGCTGGTAAACAGCTGCCCTGGACACAGATTTGACCTGTGCCTCCATGGACAGCTGTGCGTCCAAAATGACTCCCAGGCTGCGCACCTGGTCCTTCAGGGGCACAGTTGCCCCATTCAGGACCAGGGAATCCTCCACACCTGCCTGCCTCCTGTCCCCCAAAAACAGTACTTCTGTCTTGTCAGGATTCAACCTCAATCTTTTAAACACACAGCAGGTAGCTGGTTGCAGGCTTGTGTAAGCCTCTCACTATTAGGTTCCTGGTAAGTTCCCTTATATCCCTCTTAAAACAATAAACACGCCATAATCTTGTTTAAAGTATATAAAATAGGTTTACTCACATTCAGTTCACAGTTGGATCCCTGAAGGCAGACTTAGTTACAAAGTATATATATGTGAATCTATTCCATATGAGGATAATCCCAGTGTTCTCTGTTGGCTGAGAGCCAACAGAGCATCTCTAGCTGAAAAGCTGCTCTGATCACAGAGGAAGTCAGAGGTGCGCACCAATCCCTCTTGCTCTCCTGGCTTCAGGGATAGCCACGCAAAGCCTCTTGAGCGCAGCCGGAGCGCTCCTGCCTCTTCGCTCAAGAGGGTTTCTTGTTTTCCTCCTCTAAAAACTAGGTGCGTCTCATGGTCGGGTGCGTCTTATAGAGCAAAAAATACGGTACTTATGTATCACATCCCACATGGTCCACCCACTTGATCATTTTGGTTGCCCTTTTCTGAGCCTTTATTAATTCTACAATATATTTTTTGAGGTCAACTGTATGGTTGCACCACAGATCTGTGTGATGGCATTGTGACAATGGCAGTTTTATTTTCAGTTCTTTTCCTAATTATTCCTAGCATAGAATTCGCCTTTTTTTCACAGCTGCTGCACACCTCCAGCTTGCAAATGTGCCTGCAGGCCCCAAAAGCTTGGTGATCTCTCTGTTAAGCTGAAGGCTGGAGCATGTGCAGCTTTATAAGCAAGTAGTCAGGGTTTGTCGACTTTACATATATAAATGTACTATAATTTTTAATATGAGCTGCAAAGAGGCACTATTATCAATTGCTATTATTTAAAGAGCACTCGTAGCCTTTATCAAGCCTTATGGAAGAGAATGCACCATTTCTTAAAAACAGCAAAACAATGAAAATGCTGAAAGCAATCAATAATAGTTGATCCACTCACAGCACCGGCACCGTGAGGCTTGCTTAAACAGAAATGTCTTGACAAGATGTCTGGAGGTAAACAGTGAAATGGCTTGGCCAATATGTCCTTGAGTTCTTGTTGGTCTTTGCCTTATGATGTAGTGGCCTGCTGATAGACGCTTCCACAGTAAACAAGACATGAATTTCTAATGTAAAGAAAATCAATCAGTTGTGCAAAACTATCAGGATCTGAAGATGCTTGTGACAAAGCCATGACAAATGACTTGCTCTGAATAAACAGAAGCCTTTTCTTCCAGTCTTAAAAAAAATGCTTTTGATATTTTAGTGTGTATTTGTAGATACTCATTTCCTTTTTTCCTTGCTGCCCTGAGCAATTTTCAGTGCAAAGGTGATTGAATAAGCTCTTAAAGAGAGAAAGAGAGAAGAGAAAGCTGTTTTTGTAAATCTGATTCTTGCATTCGACAACTGCTAGGAGATATTTCCTCACGCATTTCATCAGAGTTGGACATCATGTACCTCACAGTTTCAGCAGTGTTCTTACAACCTGTTGGGCACTCAACGCTCAGTCCGGGTTTGAGGGGCACCTCTGTATAGTGTCCTCTGGTGGGCCTTCTCTTGTGCCCTTGGGTCCATGTGGGCTTATCTAGCAGTGGTCTGGCAGCTGCGTTTGAGCCACCATTTTAATTTCCCACAGTGACCCACAGCATAGCATTGCTACAGGATTCCGCAGGAAATTTATGCAGTGGTTCTCACTGGTGTGGAGATCCCAGGACAGGGAACAGTGCAGTAGCAGGCCCTGTTGAAGCCCTGGCAGCCTGGCTGCAGTTCTTGCTCTCATTTCTCCATGTGGTTCAGTGAGTGATGCGCCAAGTCATGAACAGCAATGCCTGTTCACATGACCTATCTGGGGTTTAGGCAGTCTGCCTTTTGCTCCTAGACCTCTGGGGTTAACCACCTGCTTGGAGTTTGCATACATTCAGCCTACGACTTTTGCTCCATAGGGAGCTGACCATGGTCCTGAATTATTGCAACTGCCTAACCCTTCCTTCTTGCCATGTATCAACATTCCTGCAGGGTGTGTGTGTGTGTGTGCGCGTGCACACACACACATACAATATTTAAATAATATTTTATGTTCAATTATTCATAAAGCATCAGCAACCACCCTCAAAGCACATATACAATCAAGCAGTATACAAAACTTATAAATAAATGAATCAGTATTTTCTCTTCGTTCAGTGGTCCTCCCATATCTTCACAACACTACGTTTACAAACAATGCAAAGCAGCAAGTCTATCCTAAATATATTTAATATAAGGTCATTAGGTTTATGACTAATACTTTCTTTTCAAACTACTTTTCATACTTTCTGAAAAAGTATAAGGTGCTTATTTTATTTTATTTATTTAATTTTATGAATATTGGGTCACTTTGGCTCCATATAGATGCATATCACACATTCCAGCTGCCCTCTAGACTGCCCCTATTACGAAGTAAGATTATACATGTCCTGACCTGCAGACTTTGACCAGGGTAGAAAGAGCCATAAAACTAGTTTTGTAAGCCTAAGGGATCTTCAAATATCTTTTTCTCTAACAAAAGATCCTCTTCCTACAGTGTGTCATATTGCTTTTGAAACTGAGGGTGAAGTCAAAAGCAGTTTGTGATATATCAATGGGAGATATGATACTAGTGCCTGTTGCTGTCCAAAGAATAAAGTGGTCTAAAATTGAACAAATATCCATTTTGGCATGTGCAAGACTATTGAGTGAACCTAGTGTTTAAACTTTAGACCTCTGTTTTTATATCTAAGTTCCCAAAGGATTGCTTCAACTCTTATATACCCAGTCACTACAGTCTGCAGGAAAAGGGCTCGTACAGATACCATCTTATCAGAACAACCATTCCATGCATGTAGCAATCACACCTTTAGTGTGATAGTAACCACCATTTGGAGCATCCCCACATTACATATCAAATGGACAGCAATTGTTGAATACCTTCTTTTTCCAATAGAGATTTTTGTCCTTGACTTTATTGGGCTAGAAAATCTATGCATATGTACTCCTTTGTTAATCATTTCAGGACGTTTCATGGGAGGAGATTCATGAACAGAGTAAATAATATATCATCATCAAAATATCTAATAAATTGGTTTAGACGTTTTCTGAGAGCTGAGTAGAGAAAATGCTACAGACTACCAACACTTTGCCAAAGGCACAACAGCACTGAAGAATTAAATTCTTTTTATGTTTTGCAAGCTGATTACTAAGCTAGTGTACCCATTCAGACTAAATGAGGAGAAAAAAACAAACCCTAGTGTCAGTGTGATAAAGTGAGGTAGCCACTTCGGACAGCTGATTTTTTGGTGCCATGGAAAGACAGCCAATCGTTAGTAATTTAAGTTGTTGATGTTTTACTTCCAGCATGAGGTGCTTCTGGGATTTTCCCTCTCAGCTTTCAAAATTCTTCCTCTCTGGCAGCAAAAGGACAACAGGAATGATGCAGTAACTAACAATTTGCTGCTCTTTCACGACACCTTGAATCTACCATCTTTAACTGTAGTTAATGTCCAGTGTCCATTGGCTGTGGTAGTTGTATTATACCTGCTACTTTTAAAACAAATGGTCTAGAGTCCTCCTAATATACTGAAAGTGAGGGGAGAGGAAATAATTTCTGTCTTTTCATTCTCATTATATATTATAAACCTCTGTCCTTTCCAATATGCCTTTCTTCTTTTTTCTTCCTTAGAAGATGAAATGGCATCTTCACTTTAAAAGTTTTCCATCTGCAAAGCCTGGACAACGGTGTTCTTGCCTAGTGCAGAGTTATTTGGTAAGCAAGATTTCATTAATCACAGTAAGAGATTCATAATGTGTTTTGCTAACAGTAGCAATTTTATTATTATTATTTTGCAGCTCAGCATACGTTTCTCAGGGTAAATCCTTCATGTGTGTTGCCAGGATGAAATCTGGAGAAGGCTACTGTCTCAGTCAGGAGGCCTGACTTGTGTGCATCACAGAGATTACTTTTTATGTAGCATTGCTGCTTTTACCTTTGCTTTATCATCGCTTTGCTGAGCTTCCAGCTGGATGCAATCCTAGAGATAAAAGCCTGCAACTTCTAAAGGAGGGTCACATTTGGCAGCAGTTGCAAACATCATAAAGCCTTCCAGGCCTGCTTGCTGCTGGGTAATCAAGTTGAAAATGTCTTTGGGAGAGTAGCTTTACAGTGATTGTCTTGCCCAGACACCTGCAGAGTTAAAGGTTTTACATTAGCCCTGGGGCACATTGTGTCACAGAAAAAGACAACTGGAGAAGATCGAGGAGCCTTTGTTTACCCACCAGCCACACTATTCTACCAAACCGACTGAGCATCCTACTTCTTCTTTAATTGCAATCCCAAATGAAAACGGAAGGCAAGGTTCCTGGCTCATTTATTCTCTGAAGGCAAGGCTGGCTGATAGCTCTTGAGGGCAGTAATAGAATGTGAAAGTTTGCCTTGGAAGGCATCAGCCTCCTGCAATGTCCAGATCAAAAACCTTCTGAACTGAAAAGGAAGTTTAGGAGCACTTTTGCAGTGTGTGTGTGTCTCTCTCTGTGTGTGTCTTTGTAAAGGGTACCATCTGTCAACGTAAAACCAAGAAAAGCCCACCATATTGTTTTATTATTACAAATATATATATAGATGCAATATAGTTACTGGGAAAGTATAAGCAAATGCAATAGCGTGCATAGAAAAAATAATGAGCTATTTTCAATCTTGTATGTGATTAACGTGTGGAAAGTTTTATCATGAATAAACCAATTATATACAAACTAATTCTCAGTAAGAGTTAAAAAGTTATTCTAAATGTCCTTGGAGTACAGCATAAATATTATATATTATCTTTGTTCCAGCAGTGCATAGAAATGCTAACCCAAATCAAATCTTTTAATGTAACAGAAGTGTAGGGCCAGAGGTTATGTTGAAACTGTATATTTCAATGCTTTATTTTAAAAAGGCCCCCATCTTACTTTAAATATATTTTGTGCTCTTCCTTTCATTTGTTTTCTGAAATAATTAAACTTAGCTGAGAAGACTTCCTTCCCAGAATGTCTTATGCCATTGATCTATGCCTAATGACTTAGAATACTTCTAGTTAGCAACAATATCTAGTCTAGCTGCAGCCAGTATTATTTATTTCAAACATTTCTTGCTTGCACTGTAATACAAGTGCAATTTTGGAGAGGATTACTCCTAAAACAATTTAAAATATATAACACAATCACAAAAAATAGCAGATAAGTTGCAACCAGCCAACTAAAAATAAATTGCAATGGGCTTCCTTTTCAATACCTATCTGAAAAGTCAGCGCTCATAGTATGCTGGTGTTACTATAGAGACAGTGCCCTATATGTGAAACATATTTTATGGCATGTAGCAGTTTGCAGGAGTAAATTCTGAAATGTGCGTTCTCTGAGACAGCTTTATAATTGGTAGAGTTAAGCTGGAAGGAATACATTTCCACGAGGGCACAGTCTCCACAGGCTCTCTGTTGTATCTCTTTGCCTTGAAGGTGCTGCTTTTTATCTGTTCCTGGGCCTTACAGGCAGTACGGTGCACTCCTGTGCATGTTTATTTGGATGCACATCCCACTAAGTTCAATGGGACTTGTTCCTGAGTAACTGCATATATATATAGAATTTTGTATGTTTATGTTCTGCATCTTCCATCAAAGTCAGCTCCTCAGAGTGGATTACCCTCAAGATCCTATTGATTGCATACATTAATAAATCTCAAATAATTGCAGCCTCCATTGAATGACCTGAAAAGGAGGATCCATGCATGATGAGCTGCATCTGGCAAAATTCACTCTTCTACACAGCTGATATGCATGAAGGAGTTTTGTCCCGCTTAGCATCTGGTCACCCATGTAAGGAAATTGCTCTACTCCTCTTTTGCTATGACTGCCAATCTAGGTAGGCCAGCCATGCAAGAGGCTCTCAGGCAAGCTGCCATTACACTTACGTATGTTGCTCTAAGGGTGTCACCCATCTCTCACCCGAGCCCAATGTAGCTTGCTGTTCTCTGCCAAATCCCACCTGATGCACACACAGCATGAAGGGGAATATCCTTTTGAGTTTGGCCCGAATGCACGCAAGAACCTCAGCAGCCAAACTGAAGAGTGTTTACTAAACACAGGGTTTCAGAGAGGGCAAGCACAAGTGAGGCAGAAGGATGCTTAAATTTTCTAAAAGGTTGTATTTATTTATTTTATTGGCTAAGCTACTCACAAAAGTCTAGGATCATCTTCAAACACAAGCAGTACAGCATCTTGAATAGTCAGAGACCAAGGGACCAAGGAATACTAACATTTATAAAGACTCTTGACTCAGGTGGGTTCTGGTTAACAGGTGGCTGTGGCGAGTCAATCCCAGGAGTTTCATTGCACATAGCCTGGAATGGCTGATTCTTGGGAAGCTGTTTACTAGTGTGATTGGGCTGGTTCACAAAAGTCCTTCTCGGGCATTTGATAAAGAGTGCAGTAAATGTGTAAGGTGGCAGTGGGTTCTAGTGTGCTAACTCTGCCCTCCATCACTGTTCCCATTACCTTCCAACTTGTACAAAATGGTGCTATAAACCTAATTTATCACAGGCACAATCCAGGGTAAACAAGGCATGCTTAATTTCCACTGAAGCCAGTGTATGAACAAACCTGCTTATCCATCCTATTAATTTAACCGGCATTTATATATCTCCATAGCGCATTCATAAATTTATACCCCTGATATATGGCTTATACTGGGTAAATGCTCTCAAGATGGTAATGGTAAAAATCCCTGTTTCAAACATTTAATAAAAACAAATTATTAAGCAGTTAGAAACGAAGGACCTCCTTTTCAGGCACGGTTGGCAAATAATATTAGCACTAAGCAAAAGGGCCAAGTGAAGCCAATCAAACCTGCTGTTATATTGTATTAGTTCCCTTTTTTATTATTATGACTCAGTAATTCTAAAAATGATTTTGCTTGGTGTTTTTGCTTCCTGTTGTAGATGCAGAGTTAATGATCTCAGATATATCCAATATAATTGGTCACAGAATCATTATATCTGAGTTAATTATCTTTCTGCCTCTTGGCAGTTTATCGTCAATAACCAACAAGAATAAATCACTGTTAATCCTAAGGTGGATTTGCTTATGTGAAAAGAGTTATGAAAATACATTTAACCTTTAAGATGCTGTTAGTGTCTGCATATAATTGGTGAAATACTTAAGCGCTAATGGGCATCTTGGGTTCAGTCATCCGTCAAAGAAGTTCATCAGTCAAGGATTCTGCAGCGTATCTTGCAGCATATACAAGCTGAAACAAAACCACCACCCAACCCCCACCTTGAGGCATCGCAGGTGTACAGCACTCACAATGCAGCCAATATATTAACACAGCTTGCCGGAATTCTGATGTAATGGATTTTGCTGTTGCAGCTCTCTTTTTCTTCCAACATGCTTTACAGGCCAGCAGGTAGGTGCAGGAAACAGGGTAGCAGGAGTGATTATCAGCAGCTTTACAACTGAAGCATTGCTTCTGTTTACAACTGAATCTCTGCTCCTCCACACATATCCAACAGAGACTTAACACTAGTAGAAAGCACTTACGTTCCGACAAAGTTGGGGAACCTGATTCTGCAGCTCCAGTGACCTATCTCTCACTGTTCTGTCAGGTCCCCCAATCCTGAGGAGCAGCTGGAAGGCAACAGGGGCTGCAGTGGGTAGGGGGATCAGTAACACTCGGGTGCAAGCAGAAACGCTTGCTACAAAGCCACCACTGGATAAGAAGTTCACTTCAAATTGTGAAGTGTAAATACATCAGAAATCACGGGTGTACACATATTACTTCTACCTTGGGGTGGGGTGGGGAGAAGCCATGGACGGACTGGGTGTGCAATGGGGAACCCAAATGGCCATGAAGGGAAGGAGTTAACTGAGGGAATATACTCTGCTTTGTTGCTCCTGGGCCTTTGCTGCATCTCTGCTAGGCAGGGTGAGACCTGAGTCCCAGTTTGCCTTTGCTTTAGCATGCCTTGCTCTAAGGTATGGGGAACTGGCAAAGGATGATAATGTGTGAAAATGTCCCTTTCTGCCACAGTGAGGATGGTAGAAAATGAGCAGGAAGTTTGATTCTCTGCACTGTTGGGTCTAGAACCAGTTGTGCAATGTAGCTGTGATACATCAGTAATGTGACCCTTTACCCCTTGAGAATCTGGTCATAATTCTTTCAACCGTTATTTTAGCTATACTGATCCTGAATAGATATATTTAATTACAATGGTGTGAAGTGGTGCTTTGGCATAGCAGCAACGGCAAGTGTTCTAGCATTACAAAGTTATACCTTTTTAACACTTCTGCTCCTAAGATCATAATATTACTCAGTATTTCTTTAACGCTGCCTCCGTTAACTCCAAAAAAGCCTGCTTCCTCTGCCTGCTAGCACTGTCAATTATCCTGCCATGACCTTGGCAGTTAAATGCTGTTGGCTGGAGGCTGTGTGTGCTGCTGTTGGTTTGATATGGCATGAAAATGCTGAGAGAGTTCACAAGGTCAGAAAGGAGGAATGGTTTTCCCTGAGATCATCCTGCCTCCTCTTCTCTTGGACTCCCATCTGCACCCCGGTATTCTGCACAGTGCTATTTTTCTAGAAAAAGAAGTGCCGAAACTCACCATGAACACCTCTTTCATTCTCTTAGAACCGCAATGGCATCCACCTTAGTTCTGGTGAGTTCTGGCTGGAAAAAAGCCCCAACTCTGCAAGAGAAGAAGGGAGAATGATGTCCCTTTCTATTGGTTTGCATCAACCCATTTTTATTCTATATTTCTTTTGCAAACCACCTATATACATGGGATGATGACTTGGTACAAGTCAGCCACTAAAAGGTAAAGGGTAAAGGTACCCCTGACCATTAGGTCCAGTCGTGGCCAACTCTGGGGTTGCGGCGCTCATCTCGCTTTATTGGCCGAGGGAGCCGGCGTACAGCTTCTGGGTCATGTGGCCAGCATGACTAAGCCGCTTCTGGCAAACCAGAGCAGCACACGGAAATGCCGTTTACCTTCCCGCCGGAGCGGTACCTATTTATCTACTTGCACTTTGATGTGTTTTCGAACTGCTAGCTTGGCAGGAGCAGGAACCGAGCAACAGCAGCTTACCCCGTGGCGGGGATTCGAACCGCCAACCTTCTGATTGGCAAGTCCTAGGCTCTGTGGTTTAACCCACAGCACCACCTGCGTCACAAGTCAGCCACTACCTGTCCTTTAATTCAGCAGCAGCAACACCTTGCATTTAACTGGTATTAAGGGTCACACAAGTGGAAAAGTATATGAGTGTATATGCTTTTCTTGGGCTGGATTAGCCTTAGTGAGTGATTGGTCTCAGAGAGTGTTCAGACAAGCAGTTTGGATTGCAAGGTATATAGACAGTACAATGAATACCACTGGTCTAGAAAAGGTGGCGAGTGGCTGCAGCTACTCTAATCCTTTAGACCACTGCAGACAGTCCATTCCCCCCCGATCATTGACATCAGCTATATTTAATGAGCTGGAACAAAAGCAGGTCAATGCAATATATAAATACACTGTTGGAGGAATGCCAAATGCCTAGGGTTATTGAATACTAGTACTGTCTGTATATGGATGCAATCAGAAATCTAAAGGATAAGCAGTCATCTTACCTTCCCCGACACTGTCACATCACTTCCCAGAACAGAAATTATTTTGACCTGCATCTTGAACCGCTTGTAAATCTAACTGGGCAAAAATAAGTGTTTATTGTATGAAAATACATTTGTTGACATCTAGGAACCTGGGTTTGCAGAAAGCCTAAATTACTTCCAGCATTTTGGAAGGTGGATACTTTGGCTGCAAGAAACCTATTATGTAGAACCAGGCTATGAATGTAAATAAAGTCTTAACATTACAAATTATTTAGGGGGTTGGTGTTTTTCTTCTTGGCAGGAGCAAGCAAGTGGTTCTGCCTTGCAGAACATGGCCACTGGATTCCAAATATGTACCGCATTTTTTGCTCTATAAGACTCACTTTTTCCCTCCTAAAAAGTAAGGGGAAATGTGTGTGCGTCTTATGGAGCGAATGCAGGCTGCGCAGCTATTCCAGAAGCCAGAACAGCAAGAGGGATTGCTGCTTTCGCTGCGCAGCGATCCCTCTTGCTGTTCTGGCTTCTGGGATTCAGAATATTTTTTTTCTTGTTTTCCTCCTCCAAAAACTAGGTGCGTCTTATGGTCTGGTGCGTCTTATAGAGCGAAAAATACGGTAACCTTCAACCCTTTACTGTCTTCCTAAAGGGGAGAAATGCACACTTTTAAATAGGCATGAGATATAGAAAAAGGCACCTCAGATTAGGTTTTGAACCAATTAAAACTACTCTAGCTACTATTTCATACAGGACAAAGGGTAATTTGACACATCAATTTGATTGACTCTAAAAGCAAAACAGACAAGGAAAATCTATAAGTTTCTCACAGTGTTCAGTCTGCTAGGAAACACTTAATTGAATAGCATGATGATTAAAAGCTAAGTATGAATGGGTTCCCTTACCTGCTGTAGAACAATTAAACTCTTTGGTTCTCTTGTATTACAAAATGCACACGCTTTGGTCAAGAGACGTGCCAACATTAATATACAGCACAACATGCATTTCTGTCCATAGTCTTCCCCTGCCAGTCATTTGAAAACAACATGGAAGAAAAGGGAGAGAAAAAGAAGGAAGCAGCAGCAGCAGCAGCCACATTTTCAGACTGATGGGTAAAACAGAAAACTTTAAATACATACATCGCTAATAAGGGACTTATTTATGGGAGGGTCCTAGGGACCACTGACCTGTGATCCACATGGGCATGAGTTACCTTACTCAGCAGGATACGTAAATATGAGAGCTGGAGGCGCTATCAATGCTGTCAGGCAGAACTCAGACTAGACCAGGAGGTCTTGAGAGGGTGCTATGCGTCAGCCAGTTCCAAGGGGGATCATTCATTGTGTCTAAGCGTTCTTTGGCAGCAGATGGAACATTATAATGAACCAGTCTGGAATGTGTTTTATTCTAGCTGGGTTTAAGAACTTGGTAGTTTGCCTTGTCTAGTCTAAGTAGGGTATATTGTGCATGTTAATGTCTAATGCTTGCCTAAAACACACAGCCTTCACCCAACAAGCAACTGCTTGTTGCTCTCAAATCAAAAAGAACCACTGCCTTTGGCAAGCAAAATATTTGCCATAAGAGATCCCACTACATGATCTAAAATCTAGAGCTTTGTGATTAGAAGGATCTAGAGGACAGTTAAGCAGATATTTCTTCCTGGAGCACTTTGGTAATTCCGTAAATGAAATTAATATTAATTAATCAACTTTTTTTGTATTTATATACTGCTCACATGCCAAAATTACTTCTAAGCAGTTTAGAAGTATAAAACCAGTTATAAAATCCATACATAATTAAAATACACAATAAAATAATTCTATCAAAACATTTTAAAAGCCCATGTACAATATAACAGGACTACGGAGTTTGGTCAAAATTTGTCAAATGTTTTATCTGACTGACTATTGTCTCTGTTCTTCCAGGCCCCCATCACAAACCATTATGCTGTAGTTTGCTTTTAGTCTTTGTTACATTCCTTATAATGACAAGAAGTAAGTCAGTACTCAGCAGCACCTTGGGACTAATGGCTAGAAGAGGTTAACTGCCTTTGGCTCTGCTTATAGCTATCAACTCCTCCCAGTCCATCATTAATCCACAACCTTACCCTTGATCATTATTCTCAAAATCAATACCAGACTCATCATTAAGCAGATGAGTACCAGGCAAGGTGGCTAGAAGACGATGGCTGTGGAGCTGGAAAGTAAATTAGGTTGTTCTCTCTTGGTAGTGAAATAATTTCTCCAGTTGGTTTGCAGAAATTGGTTTTGCAGCATACATACATGATCTGGAATTTTGACTTTGAACACACACACACACACACACACACACACACACACCACTGACACTTATTAATAGGTATAGTTATCAATCTTTCAGAATGTGAGTAAACTCAATAAATGGCCTAAATATATAATAATGGATTTTGCATCATGTTCATAGACATCATTCCATTAGTGGCGTATGGAATAAAAATATTAATGCAATCCATTTCCTAACCATCAAATGTGGTACTGGGGATATTGTGAAAAGCCACTATGCAACACAATCAGAACATATAAATGTATTCAGAAATAAATTAAATTAAATGTCTGTATTGTTAATACAGAAGTCATATTGATCCAGTGAGGAACTTCAGTGCATTCTTCTATACAGCAGTGACAGTTGATGGAAGTTCATATAATCTAATCATTATTTCTTATTATTATTTAGCAATAACATATTAATCACCTTTCTCGTCAATACAGGAGGTGACATGCTCCCTATAGAAACATTAGCTACTAAAAATAAAATAAAATGATATGATGCAATATTTTTAGCAGCCTTCTTCAACCCGACACCCTCCAGATATTTTAGATGACAATTCCCATAATCTCTAACCATAGACCAGCAGGCTGGGGAAGACTGCTTTAAAGCAACAACAATAGAGGATCTTTATAAAAGTAAGAGGCCACCTATAGAAACTCATTAAAAGCATAGTGTAGTGTAACAAATAAAAATGAGCAAGCTACGAAAAGTTGGCCAATTAAACTATGATCAGGAATATATCAGTGGATTTACCAGCCTCTTCATTTGCATTCTCAGAGGTTTCTTTAGTACTATTATTCACGGTTATCATTTGCCATCACTTAAATAGTTATTTTGTAATTCTAGGCATTTGGAAGTGCTTCAGTTTCTCAGATTCTATGGCCCAATAGAACCATAGAACTGGAAGGGACCACAAGGGTCCAACCCCCTGCAATGCGGGAATATTTTTGCCCAATGGGGGGCAAACAACCCTGAGATTAAAAGTCTTATGGTCTACCAACTGAGCTATCCTGCAGGCTAGAGCACTTTAAGCCCAATATTAGAACCAATGGAAAATCCTGTTGGTCAAAGCTAAGCATCCATTGTACAAACAGGACCCAGAAAATTAGCTGATTGTGCTGTGATTTGCACTTAGGATCAATGCCTGTCTGTCTGACTCGTGGGTGCATTGACTGTGATCTGCAGGATTCTCTCTTGATTCTTTTATTGTCATAATCAGAGGGTGAACAATTCTGCCTTCAGTTTATTCGTATTGACTTCTGAATCACATAGAACTTAACTTAGCTGTCAAGCTTTGTCAAAGGCTCAAGTGAATTGGTTGGACATGGCACTTGGATAGTGAAGCACAGGGAGTTTTACTTTTTAAATGGAGGCAAGTTAATCTGGTAACTACCTGGAAAAAATCCAGAATGTCTCTTTTAAATGGGAAAGCGTCACTTTTGACTGGTCTACTTAAGGTCAAACATCAAGTCAAGAGATCTGAAGGCTCCTTGCTGTCCCGTGAAGCACCCTGTCCATATTATCAGATGGACAAGCAATCACATCCAATATGTCTGGTCACTCTTTCAGAATTCATACTCTGGTGAGTGACCTTCAGAAGTTCCTCCTCAAGGGACTGGAGTTCAGTTTTGTTCAGATCAGTGTACCTGATCCTGGAAAGTCTTTTGGGCAGCAGTGACTTCACTGATTTTCAGAGACAGACTCCAAATGACATGTTTGGGCTCTGGGGTACAATTCAGCTGAGATGTTGCTCTCACATAAAGAATTCCATTCAGTGCTATAATCATGGGCTGACTGGTAAATGTTTGGTGCTGGGGATTGGCTAATTTCTGGGAAGAAAAGCACTGAGTGTCTGAGGCTGAGGAGCTGGGGGTTGTTAAGATAGCAAAGACTGAGGGAAAGACCCTGGTCATATATATGAAAGGAAATGATGAGGCAAATAAAAGCTAAATTGAAAGCCTGGGGGCAGATTCCACTCTGCCTTTACAAATAAATTATTCTACTTCTAAGAACAAGCAGGTCTATTGCTACATGCAAAATAATATTAAAAATGCTGCTAATTCTTGCATGTATATGGTATATATCTTCTAACATAATCATGTCCCCAGGGTAGCTAACAGAAATGTAATAAAACAACACATGATAAATTCTTTTAGCAAAAATAGGTAAAAGACAAAACAAACCCCAAGGCTGCAATCATGTACACACGTACCTATGAGTAAGTCCCAGTTAGCTTATCACGAAACATACATGGTATAGCACTATTAAACAGAAACAAACATATATGCGTAAAAATGTTACCACTTACTATTTTCAAAAAGATTAAATGAGGTACGGTTCCCACCAAAATTTGGCAAAATAAAATTATGCATGTGCCACCCCAGACTCTGTTTGCACATATTGATGTATATTTGACCATGCTCATATCTTTGAACTGGTTCCTGGTCACCACATTCTGTTTCTTGCTATATAGTTTCTTCCCATAATTTCATTCCATATACACTTTTTCCTACGGCTTACCTTCCCATCCCCTGTCACTTTGAAGCATCATTGCAACAATATTTATTTTTCTGTGGCAGGACTCACATAGATTTTTTTTTTAATCCAACCTGTGCAGACATGTCTTGAAAAAACGTGTGGTAAGTTTCAAAAGATGTCATATAGAAATGCAAAGAATTCACTTGCAGGATAACTGGAGGGAGAGAAGGAGAAAGAGAGAGAGATTGACAAGCTATCAAACATTCAGGTATGCAGTTGGTTGCAATAGGTCCTAAAGAAGTAAAAGAGGTAGAAAACATTTTGCATACTGTAGATCTGGCACTTCAAAACAAACAAACAAATAAACAAACCTCACAACATCTCTGCAGCTCCAATCTAAACTGCTGGACAAAATTCCAAGAGGCCAGACTAAGATCATGCAATTTCCCCCTGCCACACAAGATCAGCAGCCTTGAAAGGGTGTCCAGGTAGAACAGAAGCAGGCATCATCAGACAGTGATTTTCAGAGACTATTCCCAAGTATTATATTACTGTTAAAGTCACCTTTCCATTGCATGTTTCTTTTAAAAGATTAACGAGTGGCTCTCTAACTTTGGGGAAGGAGGACTTGTCTACTGTAGGGACCTGGGAGTGAGGGAAGCAGAAATCATGTTTCTGGGAATGATCAGATCTTGAGAGAGATAGTAGCTTTCAGTCAGACCAGCCAAAACATGACTGGATTAATAAGATTTCCCTCGGCAATGGACCTTCACTGAGCCATACCTGAGGTGAGGTGGCTGCAGTTTTACTGCATATTTCACTTGAGAACCCGTGACCCTGAGTTTAAGAGCCTCATGCTCTACCCACTGAGCTATGTAGGTGGAATAAAATTTGAAACAAACTTATAGCAAACAGGTTAACAAGTTGCTCAGGAATAGGAAAATGACAACTTTGAAAATGATTGAGACCAAGCCATGCCAATAAAAAAAAGAAGAGGTTGCATTAAGAACTCGTTTGCACTACAGGGTATTGTTGGATAAGGATATTCATAACTGTAATGCTTGTTGGGATATTTATAAATTTGATATTTATTTTGTTTTGTTTTTGCTTCTCTTTTTTCTTTAAGTTCTTAGCAGTACAATAAAAACAGAACTGTGATTTGTGAAAAATATATCATCTACAGCAGTTTACAGGATGACCACATTTTTTAGGCAAATTACTTCCCTTTTTTTATTTAGAAAAATACATATATATCATTATTATTATTTTTTAAAAAATCAGTTTACAATGGTATGTACATAAAACCACGAAAAAAAGACATTTTTTCCCCTAATCGGAAATCAGCTAAGTATTCTGGAAATATATATATTTAATTTTCTTGCATTTTCTCTACTAGATCAGTTTCTCCTAGTTGCAATCCACATGTTCTGGCAGTTGCTCAAAGCAATAATATGACATTTAGTATGCAAAGTATCAAATTAACCAAAGAAAAAAGGGAGGGAGGAGGAAAAGGAAAACCAGAAATGGGAGCATAAAGGAATCTCAGATTCCTGACATCTTGATAACACAATTCCAAAGACCAAGTAATAGATCTGGCAGGAAATAAATGAAGGAAAATGAAGCCAAATCAAATGCACACTAATTATTGAAATTTGTTTAATACCCATATGTGCAGGAAGCAAGAATCCAAAACAGCCCAGACTTAGGTAAAATTACTTGTAAGAATTGCTGAGTTTAGCAAGACTTTCTTCTAGTTAGTGGGCTTAGAACTTGCAGCCTTCAAACTTTATATTGGAAACTAGAAATCCATTGTAAAATAAATGGATTAATATTTCAGTCCAAGGTGACAACGTTAAACCACAGAGATTTTTTTCCAAATAGAAGATGCTCCAGCAAGGAGCCCATGTTTCTTTTTAACTGCCAGAGCTGACTTCTGCGGCAATTTGCAGCTCACGTGAAGCATGTGAAGAAAATCTAAGCAAGGGTCAGTGCAGACTGAGTAATATTTTCTGGGCACAGGATCAGCACTTAAGAAGCTGCTGGGTCAAAAGTAGATGCCTTGTCTATAGATAGATAGATAGATAGATAGATAGATAGATAGATAGATAGATGAATAGACAGACAGACAGATAGTAAGTATGGATTATATAATCAACCACTGATGAGTACAATGTGAGTTAGGCAGCATGCCCTTGTCTGGAGTGGAACATGTAATTCTAGACTGTCCCTTACTTAGACATCCAGTCCTAAAAGTATGCTAGCAAAAGGAGTTGCAGGAGGAAAAGGAATGGCATGCACACTCATGCAAACAAACACACAAAGCACATGTTCTGAGAAGAATATAGTGCATATAAATTGGACTTCCGCTAATATCTATCCACATTAGTGGGCATAGGTTTCCTTCTCTGTACAGGGTTGCAATGCACCATACCCAACTTATTCACACAATCCCTTCACTTTCCCCCTTTCTATGCAGCCTCCCCCCCCCTTTTTATTTGCCCTTCACATTTACAGTCTAAACAACTGGTATGTTTTCAGTGTTACATCTGGACCCTCTGGGAACACTCAAATATCATCACATCGCCAGTGTGGCTTCTGCCCCTTGCACACTCCAGTTAATCATAACCTCAGGGTTGGTATATTTTTGAGGGCATTTTCACAAGTGGCTTTAAGGGTTGATTTCTCTCATGATGGCTGTGCAATTACATGCTGGAAACTCACAGAACATTTGGTTGAAGGCCCATCTGGAAGGTGGGTTTACTTTTGCTTGATGTGCTTGTTTGGTCACCTGTGAATTAACATGCTGTCTTCTGAGCACACCTGCCTGGGCCCTGGCCCCTTGCTATGATGGAGCACTTCCAAGTGGCTTTGGCAATCTCTGCAAGAGGACAGGTGCTTGGTTTGCTTAAAAATGTGTACCACAGATACCTGATTTGTACCTGGGATGTTTAGCCACCCAAAATCTTCCCAGTGGTCTAAATTTTAGGTTCACGTTCCTGTGTTTAGAAGCTCTGCTCATAAGGAAATCCCTGAATTATCTAGTCCCCTCCTCCCCAAAAAATGTGAGTTAGAGGTGAAATGATAGACGTTCATAAAATTATACATGGCATGGAGAAAGTGGATAGAGAACAGCTTTTCACCCTGTCTAGAATTCATGGACATCCAATGAATCTGAATTTTGGAAGATTTAGGATAGGTAAAAGGAAGTACTTACTCACGCAGTGCAAAGTCAAACTATGGAACTCATTCCCCAAGGAAGCAGGGATGGCTACTGAAGGAATGGGTTTCCCAAACCCCAAAACTGACTGTGCAGGCAGTTTGAAACTGCACCAAAATCCCTATTTTTCCTTAGCTAAAATGCTTTAACTTGAGCTCTTGAGCCGAAACCCAGCTGTGCTCGGAGCCCTCTCCTTTATCAGTTTGTGATGGCAAGTATGGCCTTCACTGTACCAGTAGAACAGAGAAGACACGTCTGTTCCTTATCTTACGTCCTGACCACAAAAATGCACAGACCCAGTCTGGGAACAGCGCCAGAGTGTGTTCTCGGAGATGATGACCTCTTGCTCCAGGAGCAAGAGTAGTAACAGGAAGATCCTTTTATGGTCAGAAATACAGGAAGGAATACCCTTTTATGGTTAAGAATACCAGAGCAGGAACATATGTGATGTCAACCTGCGTACATAGGCTGACGTGGTTGGATTCCTGGGGAAGGAGGGAGAGGGTGCCTGGAGGATATATATACTGCATGAAACTTCTCATTTCTTTGGACTTGCTGTGGACTGACCACGCAAGTGCCTTCTGCTATCCGGAGAGCAGAATAAACTCTTTCTTTGAACCAACCTCGGTGTCATTTGACTTCCTTCCTCCTGTCTGGGAGCAACGCAGACCCAATCGGTGAACTCCAATAAGGCTACACTACTAACTTGGATGGTTTTTAAAGAGGATTCAAGGCAAATTCATGGAGGAAAGAGCTATCAATGGCTATGCTCTACCACAGTTGGAGATTGCAATGCTTTTGAATGCTAGTTGCTGGACACCATAGGAGGGGAGAGTGTTCTTTTGCTCATGTTCTGCTCCCTGTTTTCCCACAGGTATCTGGTTGGCTACTGCAAGAACAAGCTGCTGGATTGAATGGACCAGTGGCCTGGTCCAGCGGGCTATTATTGTGTTCTTATGCCCACCTCTGATAGCTAGGCAGCACCAGCAATGGAAATAACAATATGCATCATGGTGTACATTAAAAAATGGCAGCCCTGTGGTCTGGTTCCACATCAACTTGGTAACATTTGGAAGCTTTAAACATAAGGTAAACTGTGATTATATTGTTACTTCGGTGCTTGTGCTGCACATTGTATCTCTAGCTGTTGTACATAATCAATTAGAAGGCATAACAGTGCAACAAACTAACAAACCTCACCGTGAACCTTAAACACCCAACCCAAGCATAAAACTCAAATACCAAAAAAATCGACACAATGAAATGCAATACAAATGATAAAAACAGCTAGAAATCATTGGAGCTAAAACTGTATCACAGGAAATAAAATATTTTTAAAGGTCTGGCAATCATATAAGGTTGTACTTGTAGACACAGCATTGCAGAGCAATCAGAGACAACATTACCAGAGATAAATTTTATAATGACTAGTCTCTCTTCATTTATTTCTCATCAGAAAAACCTAGACCACCTTCTATCCACTTTTTTTTAAAAAAAGAGGTATGTTATCCTGAAGTTTATATCAATACTCCAGATTTTTTTTATTTATATAGGTCACTGACTGTCTCCAAGGTTTAAAGAAGGTTGCCAATGACAAGTCCTCTGTTGTAATCAATACTATATGTTTGGCATTTATATTGTATAATGAGAATGCATGGTATTTTTCCCTTCTAAAGTGATATTGGACAAGTTTGATTATTTTATATTGGTTTGTTTGTTCTAATGTCCTGTTTATCATTGCATTGTGCAATAAACTTACATTTTTAATATATTAGAATATTTACATTCCATAGCAAGGCAGTTTACAGCATAAAATCAATACAGTACAAAAGAAAACAAACCCACAAATACTACAGATATCTGATATCTCTAATAGAGCCAGTACTAAAAAATCAAAGCTTGAGAATGTTGTCATGAATAGGTATGTTTTAACCAGCTGGTTGAACACCATTACCATAAGGGCCTACATATATCTAGGGAAAGGCTATTGCACAGTATTTCCCATCAGACAAATCTGATGGGTGCAGTATGACTAACAGAGCTTCCTCTGATGATCTCAGTGAATAGTCTGGATTGTAAAGAAGAAGGTAATCACTGAGATTGACTGGACCTTAGCAGCAGAACCTTATACTTGACTTGGTAGCAAATAGGCAGCCAGTGAAACTCCTCTAGTACACAAATGCTACAAATGTGCAGTAGGATGTACCACTGAGCATCCTGACCACTGTGTTTTGCACTAGCAGCAGTTTCTGAACCAACCTTAAGAGGAGCCTCACACAGAGTTCACCGCAGCAATTCAGTCTTGTTGTTTAGTCGTTTAGTCGTGTCCGACTCTTCATGACCCCATGGACCAGAGCACGCTAGGCACTTCTGTCTTCCACTGCCTCCCGCAATTTGGTCAAACTCATGCTGGTAGCTTCACAAACACTATCCAACCATCTCGTTCTCTGTCGTCCCCTTCTCCTTGTGCCCTCCATCTTTCCCAACATCAGGGTCTTTTCCAGGGAGTCTTCTCTTCTCATGTGGTGGCCAAAGTATTGGAGCCTCGGCTTCCTTCCAGTGAAGCAATTCAGTCTAGAGGTTACTAATGTATGGGTCAAGCTGTCTCTGTCCAGGAAAGGGCATGGCTGGCATACCAGCTGAAACTCACAGAAGGTGATGGATGTAGGTAAAAGTTAATTGTTCATTTACTTACTATATTTGTATGATGTTCCATACCATGAAGCTATCTCAAAGCCTTACAAAAAATATGTAAAACCAATTGAAATATATAGTAAAACAAAACTATTTTTTAAAAAAGGGAGGGATGAAATTTGCATAAATTCAGCAAAGCAGAACTTGCTGCCCATCCCCTCATTAGAAACATATTTTAAACAGAGAGGCTCAGAATATCTCAGTTATTTAATAGGCTTGGGGAAACACCTGGTGCCCAAAAGATGTTGCCATGCAAACCTACTTGTAGAGGCTATTATGTAACCAGGGTGCCACTACTGAAAAGTCCCTCTCCCGGTTGGTTAAATGAAGAAGCACCTCTTTTTGTCTAAACCAGAGGTTTCCAAATTGGGGTTCATGGACCATAAGTGGCCATTCAGGATGTTTTGTGGGAAACCTGCACCATTTCAATTCTATAGTATGCTACGGAATTCAAATTGCAATACAATAGAATTAAATATTAAAAAATAAACGAAACAATAAATATAAGTATCTGAAGGTATCTGAAGAAGTGTACATGCACACGAAAGCTCATACCAGTAACCAACTTAGTTGGTCTCTAAGGTGCTACTGGAAGGAATTTTTTAAATAAATATGCAACAAATGACCATTTGGCACAGACAGGTGCGAAAACCATTAAGTGTTCCATCAAGACCCTCTGCAATTTTCCAGTGTCCTGTGGCAAGGGTGGAGTCAGGAATATTTCGCCAGTCAGCTTAGTTGAATTATGCCTGTTGAATGATGCTCTAGCGCAGGGGTAGGCAACCTAGGCCCGTGGGCCAGATGCGGCCCAATTGCCTTCTAAATCTGGCCCGCGGATGGTCTGGGAATCTGCGTGCTTTTACATGAGTAGAATGTGTCTTTTTATTTAAAATGCATCTGTGGGTTATTTGTGGGGCATAGGAATTCGTTTATTCCCCCCCCAAAAAAAATATATAGTCCGGCCCACCAAAGGTGGCTGACCCCTGCTCTAGCATCACCAAAGAGGGAAGGAGAAGAACACACACCTCTAGCCACTTTCTCCACAGTGCAAATGTAATGCCCCTGGGTTACAAAGGAAACCCAAAACAGCCTGCCACCTGGCACATCCAACACCACGTGCCTGACCTTAGGCACCCTCTTCCCCGACCTATTCTCTTCGGGGTCCGCTAAGGAGAAAAGGCTCTCCTGCTGGCTTGGCCTTCCCTTCCCCTGGCTGCGGGGCGTGTTGGTCTCCATCGCCTCCGCGCGCCTCAAGCCTCCTTGGACACTTCTGAGCAAAGAAATGCACCGGCTCGGGTCGAAAGTGACGGGCAGGTTCACCTTTGGGACCCTGGAGCCCGAGGGCTGGGTCCGCCAAGGCCGGGCCTCCTTTGCCCCCCGGTCTACTCGCCCGGGCATTGTTCGCCCACCTCGTCCTTTCTGCTTCCGGAGGCAGCGATGGGAATGATTTGCTGCAGATGACATCAGCTGCCTGGGCTGGATGCTGGCGAAGCAGCAGCAGCAGCAGCAAGCGAGCAAGGCAGCGCGCGTGGCTGTGCCGGGTCCCCTCCTCCTCCTCCGCCGACGCCTCCCTCCTCCTCCTCCTCCTCGCCAGGTCCCAGCCCCGCACTGTCTCGGTATAAAAGCGCCGCCGCCTCCCCGCCCTCCCTCACTCGCCCGGCTGCCTGGAGCGCGGTGGTGCCTCTGGAGCGCGCGGTTTTGTGGCTGTTTTTTTCCCGCCCCTCGCGAGGGAAGGAGGCGCCTCGTTGGAACTAAAAGCCTTTTCGTCCCGCCGCCTCTCCTCTCTCGTCGCCGCTGCCTGAGGGGAGAAAAGGCGAGGAGGAGGAGGAGGAGGAGAGGGGCTTTGCCAGGATGGCGACGGTGGTGCTGGAAGCGGAGACGGAGCCGTCTTGTAGCCTCCCCAACGCGGTGCCCCCCTCGCCCAGCCTGTCGCACCGCTTTCTCGACAGCAAATTCTACCTCCTGGTCGTTATAGGCGAGCTGGTCACCGAGGAGCATCTGAGGAGAGCCATAGGCAATATCGAGCGAGGTAAGGCGGCGCCGCCAGGCAGCCCTCCTCCTTCCCTCCCTCCCTCCCTCTCCCTCAGGAGCCAGGCGAAGAGATACTTCAGCTGCCGCCCTCCGTCTCTCCAGGGGCGGCCAGTCGGGTGGGGTGGGGAGGGAAAGGGTTGGAGAGGCGACCTACAGGTTGCGTGGCGCGAAAAGTCCCGGCTCCCGCAGCGAGAGGGGGTTTCTGCGCCATCGCAGCCCCGGACTGTGCAGCTAACCTTGGCGCAGCCGCCTCCCCGTCGGAGCTGCTGCTCATTGTGGTCTGAGGTTGAAATCGGTGCGCGGTTTCACGGGGCTGACTTCATGGTCCAGACAGAGAGAAGGTCGAGAAAGGGAAAATTGATGCAACCACTCCCTCTCCTCTCCCCCACCCCTGTGTGTGTGGGGGGGGGAGGGGGCGAGGAGGATCCTCCGTCTAGAACTGCGGCTCTAGAGTTGGCAGCGATCTCCATCAGCCTCGGTTTCCTACCCAGCCTCTTCTGACTCCGTTTCAGACTCTTCTTGGAGTTGCATTGCGCATGGATTGAAAGAAGCTGCAGCTGGAATCGCGGAAGGGTGTGTTTTCTCCACTGGCTGGCTGCAGTTCTTGGGTGGAGGTGGCGCGCGGGGGGGGGGGTGGCGAGATGGAAGAAATGGCTCCCTTATAATTAATGGCTTTGTTTTTAACCATAGCTGACTTTGACAGCAAACCAACAAAACAACAACCCTAAAATACAGTCAGAGAAAAGTTGATTTCCCCACCACCACCACCACCGCCTTCTCTGTCGTGGTTGGGGAAGCTTGTACAACATATGCACTCATCAAACAAGAGTCTCTAAATCGGCTCCTGTCTTGCAAAGCATGTAAGAAGGAGGCATTGCAGGAATCCAGTGGGGATTTCTTTCTTGGGCAGGTGGGTGGGTGTCCAAGGTTGTGTGAATCCCTCTCTGTCTCACTTGATAGCGGTGCCTTGAGATGCTCATGACTCTTGAGAATCCTGCAGCAGCAACAGAGTGGGGGGGGGGACAGGCTCTTTGCTCCCCCCCGCCCCCAAGATCTGCAATTCTGGCTTTTTGCATTTAGCTGCGCCAATTGGCACAAGAAGGTGGGAAGGGGATATCACCCCTCCTCCCATCCTCTAAAAGCAGTTGATCTGGAGTTTGCGCCACTTTTTCCTTCTGTGAGTCATTCCGCCTTCTCGCTCCCAGCATTGTCATTAGACACCCTCCCCAACTAGCTGGGCAGAGCAGAGGTCGTTCAGGTCTTTTGCAGAGCCAGCAACAGTCCCTCCTTTGCTTTCTCTTTCTCGCCTCTTGGTGCTGCTGCTGGGGAGTCTGCCCAGAGATACCGGCTTGTGGGCGTGGTGCAGTCCGCAGTGCGGTCCCTATGGCAGCCCATAGCGGACAAAGGGCGTTTACACAGTCAAGGAGAAAAAGAAAAATGCATTAAATAAGCATCGGAAAGTAGACAGGCTTTGCTGCCTGCAAATTGAAGCAAAAAAGATTTGGAGATCTCTTGTGCTGCAAAAGGTGCAGCTCCTGACAAGAGATGCTGCTGCATCTTCCTTTGTTTCTAACTTTAAGCCATAAGTATTCTGGGGTTTGTTTCAGGAACCTTAGAACAAAACTCAGACTTCAGAAAGATTTTTCCCCAAGAAAAACAACAGTAACAATAAAGTACAGAAGCTCTGGTTATAAAATATTGAGCACTTTTCCTGTTAAATCTTGTCATTGCCCAGCTATAGAACTGTATTGTTAACTTTTATTTTATAAAAGTCACATTGGAATACTGGCCGAAACAAGTGGATTTCTTATAGATGATCTTAAATATAATGCTCTGCATTCTGGGGGATGCAGTTGTGCACTGCAAATGGGATAAATGATACACAAGTGTTAAAAGGCAGTATTCATAGGTTTCATACAAGTCCTTAGTAATATTAAGTTTTTGAGCAAATGCATTTCTTTTTTTAGTGGGTTTTGTCTTTATCTGGGAAAGAACAAGGGATTTCAGGAGTCTGCCATTTTCGAAGAACCCTTAGGCAGTGCCTTGATTACATTCTTGCTATATAGGTGTGGTTCAGCAGATGGAGGGGCTCCAGTTGGTTCCTATTGTTGCTTCACTCCCTACAAGTGGTTCGAATCCATAATTTCTTTGTGCATCTTTTCTCAAATCCACATTGTAGTGAAGACGGGACTGCCTGCATTGGTGGCTATTTTTATAAATTGACCTGTTTTATCTGACACTTGCACAGAATGAAAGTCTTTGTTTTAGACTGCTCTGGTTATTTTCTTTTTAGCTTTATCTGAAGTTTTAGCTTAAGCCTGAACTAGCTGTTACTTACTTAAAGTTATTAATAATTGATATAGTAAATGGATGTGTGTTGTGCTCTCAAGGCATCTGATGCCAACTTGCTCACATCCCCCCAGAAGAAATAAGTTCTGTTCCTGCACCATTCCCCCCCCCCCCCATTTGCTTTATTGTTTGGTTGTAGCTCCTTAGAAACAATGCCTACTTTTAAAAAGGTGGATTATAAATTGAGAGCAATACATGCTATTTTTAGAAATCCAGGGTCTCTCTTATTAATGATTTTATGCTGAACCTGGTTTGGGGAAGAATGCAGATTTTTCTTTTTCTGTGGATCATGATTATATAGTTAATGAGTGGACATATTAAGTTCTCACTTGAAGTCTGCATTCCCAACAAGGGCATCAGTATTTCAGATAACTTACCTGTGCTCTCAGTTTTGTGCCTTGGGCTCCACCCTTGAAGATGCTGGATTAATGAGACTCACTGCAGAGAAATCTGAGAAGACTTCATGTACTGATGACTTATTAAAGGTTGATCCTGAATGATCTGGAGGATGAAGATTTGGTTTTTGTTCTAAATATTGTCAAGAGGGACTTGGTACAGCATCATTTAATAATCTCCATAAGCTATTTGTTTTAATTCACTGGCTACCCTTTTTCAATACTTAAAAGACGGACTCTAGGATCTGTAAGAAACTCAAGATTTGTGGGTGTGCCCTGGTTGCTAATGGAGGGGGGGTCTGCTGTAAGGCCTTCTACTCTTCTCACAGAAGAAAATAACTTGATCTCAATTGGAATTCCATTGGTCACTCACATTAATAACAGCAGACTATCTATATATATTTTTCCAGATTTCCCCTGTATTAGTGAATTTTGTGTTGTGTTTCTGTCATGTTTCTGTCAGAACTGCTGAATCATTGAGGATGACTGGCAATGGATTGTTGATAAGTTACTACGTTTTATTTTCAAGACATAGTCCTGGCTTTGATCCACACAATTCCCAGTTTGCTTCAACGATACTGCATGATATACAAATGATATATGGCTGGAGTTTATTTTTAAACAGCAGAAGGCAAATCACTCAGTTTGGCTACCTAATGCTTTGTGCTGTGATGGCCCATCTTCAAGTGGTCTGATCATGAATGATCATTGCAAGTATGACCCCCACAAGAATATATATATATATATATATATATATATATATATATATATATATATATATACCTCAATTCAATCTTAACCACATGACAAATGATACTGAATGTTGCTCACAATGAAATGCTTGTGATATCTGGAGACCATGAAATATGAACACTGTATTATTATGTTGCATTAAACAAATTCTGAATATACTCTATGGAAGAGCAGTAAAAATCTGCAAGGAAATGAAGGTCAGATTCAAAACAGAAATCATATCTGTATTTCTACACTAAGCAACTGGGTCAAAACATCCTCTCTTTGATGTTTCCCTGTACTGGATTGAACAAAGAACTGTCACAAAGTAATACTATTTCTTTTTGTTACTTTTGAATCTCTGGCTGTATACAATGACACTGAGAATAAATGTCATTGAAAACTATCTGCTTGGTGAAGTTTTTCATCCTCTTGTTGACTTTGAGGGGGGCTATATGCATAACTGTGTAGGATTGCAGCTTTATTCGAACCTTCAAGTGTAAGGCACAGTTTAAAAGGTAAAGGTAAAGGTATCCCTGACCATAAGGTCCAGTCACGGACGATTCTGGGGTTGCGTGCTCATCTCGCTTTACTGGCCGAGGGAGCCGGCGTACAGCTTCCAGGTCATGTGGCCAGCATGACTAAGCCGCTTCTGGCGAACCAGAGCAGCGCACGGAAACGCTGTTTACCTTCCCGCTGGAGCGGTACCTATTTATCTACTTGCACTTTGACGTGCTTTTGAACTGCTAGGTTGGTAGGAGCAGGGACCGAGCAACAGGAGCTCACCCCATCGTGGGGATTCGAACCGCCAACCTTCTGATCGGCAAGCCCTAGGTTCTGTGGTTTAGATCACAGCGCCACCCGCGTCCCCTAAGGCATGGTTTACACATGGCATATTCATCAGCCACTAAGTATGGAAGAAATAGGTGATATGCATGTGTGATACAGGTCACAGATCAGTAAGCTCAGGATTCTTGGTCTCTGGGATGGAGAGTATGATTATTGCTTTCAGTGCAAGAAATCCTAGGCTCTGTTCCTGGACATATCCTGGGCACCACACCTTTCAGGGATTTTTTCTTTCTTTAGGGGAAGGATTGTAGTTTGGTGGTACAGCAGATGTTTTGTGAACAAATGTCGTATGTCTAATCTGTAGCATCTCTAGTTGAAATTGGATAAGCAAGCACGCAGACAGTTCTGGGTTAGAAGGACAAATAGTTTGACCTAGTATTATCTATATTCCTATTGCAGGCTCAATCTTCCTTTCTCCTTATACTTTTCAGTGGAGACAGTTTTGTATTTGGTTGAGGAAGATGTTATGAGTCAGTTCAAAGTGTGAATCTGCCTATTCCCCCTTTCTGGACTCTGACACTAGTGGTCATTACTGAATCTTGGAAGTTTCCACAAAGAACAGGGATGAAGGTCCATTCTAATTTAAATGATGTAGGCTTTTCAGCAAAAATTGAATTTAGAAACTCCAGTGCCCTAAATGGTTGGGAACATGATTTAGCTTACATGACTGACACATTTAGTAAACATATCCAACAAAAATACAGCAGATTAATTTTTCATCCTATATAAATCTCATAAGTTTTTGCAACAGCCAGATAGTGACTCATCAGGGATTATCAGCAAATTTCATTAAGTATTTCTTTCCATCTAAAACACATCTGTAAGTATTTCAGTATGCCTCAAAGTTTGTTTAACCATTGTATGTAACACTTATGGAGAGTTCGAGAGCATATATATGCACTTAAAATATATATGCATTTATATCTAGCATTTTTAATCTATCTGACAAGCTGATTGTTTTAAAACTAGATAAGGACTGTGTGAAAATTGTCTAAGACATCCCCTCCTTTCTTTGCCAAGATCATTTGCAACAGAAGGATCAAGCAACTGTGAATGTCATTGGTGGTACAGAATCACCATTGGAGTGACTATATTACTGCACATAAAATAACCGCTACTCCCAAAAAACGGTATTAAGAAGAAAACTAGACTTTCTTTTTTCCCCTAGTGAGATTTTGTTGCTATTGCAAGCATTTTGAATTTAAATGCTAGAATTTAAAACTGCTCTCACATAACTTTTAAAAGCTTTATATGATTAGCTAGGTCCCTTGAAATGATGTCTCCTTAGCCACATCATGGTACATTTCTTTAATATAAACAATGATAAAATCTCAACGTTGGGACAGAAGTAAAGTTCCAACTAGCAGTATTCACCCATTCTAATATTACTGTGCTGTAAAGCTCACCTATTTTTAGAAAACCATTCCATGGTTTCAAGCTCCATATATTAAATGAGGGATGATAAACTTGTGGTCCTCCAGATGCTGTTGAACCCAAACTCCCACCAACCCATCTGGCATAGCCAGTGGTTGTGTTTTATGGGAGTTGTACTCCAACAATATCAGTAGGTTCACAGGATCCCCATTCTCATATTAAATGCTTCTTATGCACATGTTTACACAAGTGTATAAGCACAGTCTTCTAGACTCCACTTCTTCTTTTTTTTAACATCAGACAAACAATTTAACCATTCAGAGTTTCTTTAACTTTCTTCTATACTTTGGTTTTGTTTTGACTTCCTCCATCAGAAAACAGGCAAGTGACCTTTTGAAATATGACATAGCAACTAGTTTGGACTTGCTTTTCAAAACATCTCTGCTTATTCTGCCATGTAGAACTACTGCTTGCAGGCTTTTTTAAATATATAGTCACGATCCTAAAACTGTCTTGGATTATTATGTGCATTTAACATTTAGTATTTGTGTCTTGTAGAGCCCTGTATCATAGGGAAGCCTTTCCCAAGCAAACAGTAAAATTCTGTTCTTTTTATTTTTTAAAGTGCACTTCGGTTTAAAAGTTTTAGTGCAGCACATTAATCTGGGGGTGAGTGAACATCTACATCAGGAATAAGAGGGAAATAAATATCTAAATTGGGATCTACTGCCCCTTTGGATCCTGCCGCCTCACCTCATAGGTGGATTTAGGTGAGCACGACCTGTTTGGTCATACTGGGTGTGTTGCCATAGGGGCACCACAACTGTTATGTAGAATGGAAGGTGAGAGGCAGTGGGGGGCACCTAATTTTGGTATTGCACAGGGTGCCACTGAAATTTGAAACCCCAAGGTCTGCAACTGCTCACCTGACCTCCTGGATGGGCTGGTCCGGATGGTATGTACAGGAGAGATTGGAGTCCTACAAAGGGAAAAGTGAGCGATTTCTTCACTAGAAAAAGAGGGCCTCATACATACAGGCCTCAAACAAAGACTAGCATCCACTGATGTGATTGCCTGCATAAAGAAAGTTGTGAGGCTTTGGGCTTGTCACAAGTTGCCACAGAGTCTGGATCTGAGATGGAAATGAGGGCTAAAGCCAGAAAACATGGATGGAGGGCTAGGGATGAGGTACCAGATCAGAGTCAGGGATGAGAGTTTTAGTCGCACACAGGATGGAAGTCAAATTCACCTTACTTCACTTCATCAAATATAATGATGGAGTGGAGCAAGGTGAAGCAGTGCAGGCTGAGGCAAAGCAAGTGCAAAGGATAGAAAAGCAGGTGTGCTACCCAATGGAATGACTTAAGACTGCCTAATAATAATAATATAATTTATTTATACCCCGCCCATCTGGCTGGGTTTCCCCAGCCACTCTGGGCGGCTTCCAACAGAATATTAAAATACAATAATCTATTAAACATTAAAAGCTTCCCTAAACAAGACTGCCAAACCAGCCTAGAAGGAGCTGTCAGGCTGTGGCGCTAGTTGACAGTGTTCAGGCTACTACTTACAGCCCTATGGTGCCTGGTCTTGTCTGTCTGTCTGTCTGCCTGCCTGCCTGCCCGTCTGTCTGTCTGATAGTACTGGTGCAGGAAATAGGCTGGTTGCCAGGGGGGGGCCCATTCAAAACACTCCCTGTCCACCAACCCCAGGCACTTTTGCTTGGGAATCAAATAGCTAGCTAGCTGAAGGCCCTCTTCCAAGCACAAACTATGTAACCCAACAATCCCATTTATCATGGAAAGCCCAGAACAAAAGGGTAGATTGGCACACTGGTGTACTTGCTATTACTGCTACTATTTATAGCACTATGGTTCATGCTTTTCTTTGTAACTGCAGTGTGGTTAACAAGAGTTTGACAAGGTTGCTGTTGTGAGAAGAAATGAAAAATAAAGTTCCTTCTTGTGATAGGAATTTGGATTTTGAGTCATATGGGTAATAAATGAAAGTGTGAAAGACAACCAACTAAATGTGGCCTATTCAAAATTAGTTGCCCCTTTTTGAGTTTTAGCCACACTTTCATATATGGCTAAAGACTAATAAATGAATTTCACTCTTCCATTGTGTTTATACATAAAGAAGTGGGCAATGTAATTCAAGTTAGTGATTATGAGGAAAGAAATGTGGTCTCAGCTGACACTAGATACCCTAAATCCAATGTACACTTTCAAAGTAAATCAGAATAACAGATTTGTCCATTGTATTGTATCTGCAATCAGTATTTTTCAATGAGGGAAGTTTTGTATTTTGTATGTTACATGTTATTTAAGCTGCATAAGCAAAGTTTCAGGTGCATAAGCAAAATTAATTTACTGAATTTACTGAAAATAAAATATTGCAAAAAAAGTTACTAGGAAGAAATTACAAGAATTTTATGCATGCAGAATGAGTAAAAAAACCCCAAACCCATTCCAAAGTAGCTATGTTGTAAATAGGTTTGAAAATATTATCAGTTGTCACCCAGTAATCCTGCTACATAATAACCAAACTAGTAACAGTTCTTAAAGTTGTGTTTACAAGGCCTTGAGCAGAAATTCATTCAACAACTGCTGTACTGTATTCAGAAGAACTAGAAAATGCTTAGCATGGTGATGGATGGGTCCTGGAAAATGAGAGCAGATAATTTATTTATTTTTAAACACCATGTGGCTTTTAAGAACATAGAGTATTCAGATAGGGCACAGATTTTATTAAAAGAAAATTCAGAAATACGCAATCTGTTTGTATCCAATAATTACATGTATTTTATTTATCTTGATTTTTAGGCATCCGGTCATGGGACACAAACCTTATTGAATGCAACTTGGATCAAGAACTTAAGCTTTTTGTGTCTCGCCATTCGGCTCGATTCTCTCCAGATGTGCGGGGTAGGTTTTATTTTTCTGTCTTTACCCATAAACAGCATAAAAGAATGTAGAAATACTTACTGGCATAATGGAGAATGATTTCAGTTTAATTCATTAAACTATTATTTCCCCCTATGGCAAAACAAGCCTTTTGGATAATGTGTGTTCATGTAGGTAGAATTATTCGTGGCTCTTCTGTTAAAAATAACACCACACAGTGGATATAAACATGGGATCACAGCCATAGTCTGTAATTCAAACATGCTTGCAAGGAAGTAAGTCTCATTGAACTCAGGGGGATTTAATTCCCTGGAAATATTCCTAGTTGGCCAAAAAGCCTTGTAAACATCTATGCTGTGTATCATATTTTGCACATGGGTTCTGTTTCTGGACAAACATTTTTGCAGAGTTCTACATTTTCCTCATATACTCCCTTCTGTGCAATAATAGTGCAAAGAAAGCCCCACTGAATTGAATGGTGCTTACTCTCAGGTAACTGGGGTTAGCACTTTCGCCTAAACTGTAACTCTGCATATCAGTTACATTTAAAATAATTGTAACTTTGCCATATTAGTTACATTTAATTGGGCAGAGTGCTTAAGTGGTTATAGATTGACATGGAAATTTGAATAAGCAAATAGTACTTAATGGGCATCCAAGGCATTAGCATTTTTTTGCTGCTGCATCATGTTAGGCTTGTGGTCTGCTAAGACTCCTAGATCATTTACACATGTACTCAGGTGTCCTCCATCTTATATTTGTGCAGCTGGTTCTTCCTGCCCAAGTGTAGAACCTTACATTTGTCCCTATTGAAATTCATTTTGTTAGTTTGGGCCCTGATATAAATATAAATTAAACACATTCTGGGAGAGAGAGAGAGAGAGAGAGAGAAGGAGAAGGTTCAGTCTCAAATCGGCTCTTCTGCATTCCATTCCTTTCCTGATCCAGTTCTCTTCATAAGACTCCTGTAAGGAGGGAAAGTGTTGTGTTAAGTGGCTAACACTTACCTGGGTTGTCTATATGCTCAGGTTTATAAATAAAATGCTAGCAAGTCTTCACTCACACTCAGGATAACATTTAGTAACTCTTAAGTCTACCCATGGAGCTTAGTGAACCTGCCCGTAAGCTGAAGTGACCTTCTGAAAGGTCCTGCCAAAACCTTTAGGAATATGACTCCCTTGTTGGAAAGTGTTGGGGTGTTTATCAAGCTGAACTTGCTTGTTTTGGTCTAGTCCAGGCATGGCCAAACTTGGCCCTCCAGATGTTTTGGGACTACAACTCCCATCATCCCTAGCTAACAGGACCAGTGGTCAGGGATGATGGGAATTGTAGTTCCAAAACATCTGGAGGGCCAAGTTTGGCCATGCCTGGACTCTAGTCCCACTTAGTTAGGGGTAGAGCAATCATAACCCCTGATACACATTGCTGAAAAGGAATTATTGGGGTGCTGGCTTCATTGCTGCAGTTGTCCCTGCTGCACCTGCTTAAAGTGTGGTGATGTTACTGCTGACAGCGTCAATCCCTGCAGCAGCTGTCATAAGACCTCAAAAGCAGATATTTTAGGACAGGGTGGTGGTGTGCTGTGGTGCTGACTCTGTTTGATTCAAAGGTGTTCCATACCTGAGGAGGAGATGAATCCAGGCTGCTATGCTAGTCTGTAGCTGGCAGGGCAAAAGACAAAGCTTGATCCAGTCAGTGGAGGAGCCTGCTGCTCCATTCTACCCCAGCCTTGGATTAGGACTGTTCTCCTAGTCACAATGAATTAGTGCCAGTGTACACATGCAGCAGAATTAGGCAGTAGAAATGGGCTGCGTTGCTTCAGGCAGTGGTCTTCCCTTTCAAAATAATCTTCAGAATTATTTTAGATATACTTCCTGCTGCGTAGACTTTCTACTTGCAGGAGATTTCTTTAATGTAGGGAAGTCTGCTCCTGAAGTCTGAAGAGGTAGAGTCATTTCTACCATCTTAGTCTGTTATATGCATAGACTTCAGCCTTACTCTTAGAGGTGACCTGTTCAGGTAAGGATCAACACAGAATACTTTGGTGGGAGGAAAAACAGCCTCTCTGTAACTGTAGAACTTGAACAAAAACTTATTGTCTTACAAAAAATAAGTAGCAATATAGGCAAGCTTATAATGAGCTACTTCCTGGATCCTGTAGAATGCTAGGACTGGCTATCACCAATAACATTCTTATTATTCTTTTCTGTCTTGCACTGCATAGTATTCTGGACTGGCCTGGATCCATCCTAAGGATATATATGGTGACAACGCCAAATTTAGGATTAGGTTTTAAGAAACACCACATGGTTGGTTCAAAGCTATATGCCTTTCTGCTCAGTGGGAAGCTAATGTACAAAGGGTTTGTCTCCTTTCAGATTCCATGCTAGTTGTATAGCGCATATACTGTAGTAGAATTGGGAAGTACCTTCAGATGTGGAGCTCAGTGTATACTTCTAAGGATCCAGGTGTGTGCATTGAAGCCACCGGATTGGATGTGAAATTGGAGAAATCACTGCAGCAAATGTCTCACTTTGATCAAAGGCTGTTAAGTCTCTTAACGTGGCCAGTGTGTTTGATAGCTTCATTCAAGAACTAAAATAATGCAAATCCTCCTTTTCAAATGAATAAAGCAGGATTATATTATCTTTTGAATGGAAAGATTTGGTGTGCGCTAGGAAATATTTTCCAGGAACAATATTTTTGGTCTAGACTTGTACGCTTAATCTGCCATTGTGTCGGATTACAGTTTAATTGCATGTGACTAATTCATCACCACCTTTATGGCGTGCAGTTGTGGATATGTTTCATGAACTGCAATATTTGAACAAAATGCTGGAAAGCAATGTTCCAGGCGTGGAAAGCAATCTGTCTTAAACCTGAAACCCCTAAGAATTACTTTAAAAAAAACACAACAAGGTTCATTTTCAAGACACTAAAAATTACCATTATAGGATGCATCTGTGTTTATCCTAGCTGCATAGTTAGAAATGCAGTCTGCCTTGTACATTTGCCCATTTCATTGTCTCTGTGGGCCTTTGTTCTTCCATTCCTTACAATGCCAAGCCAAGGATGCTTCTGTGACCGTAGTCACAATAGGCAGTGAAACCCTGTAAGATGGAGGCACCTAAGCCTCATGATACACAAAGTAGAGTTTCACTTCACGAGATTATAGTACCCTTGCTGTTTAAGACGAACTGAAGTTAAACAACAAATTTTGCATTGGTGTCTGCATTGTGTATTTTATGTTAAACAAATGAGATGTCTAATTAATGGTTGCTATGACAACAAAGAAACCCAAATGTCATAATGCAGTGGTAAGCAGCTTGTTCAGGGAACGGAGTCAGTGTGATGCTTCCATTTGCAGCAGAAGGGCAAAAAGGATGCCTACCACAATAAATGCAGTCTTGCTGTATCCAACCCATGCCCCATGTTCCATCCTTGAAAGTGTCCAAGAGCAGAAACGACAAGGGAAAAGAACTGATGAAGGATTAATGGAGAATTAAACCAATGTTCATGGTGGAATCCAGCTGATGCCAATGGAAAGGGCTTTTGATGTAGCATACATATCTAATAACAGAAGAGGAGTAGGGGGCATTTGCCAATTCACTTTTTTCTCTACAACCCTTCTACCTTGTTTGGTGAATTCCTCAACTCTCTGGAGTCTATTTTTAGATTGTGCTGGGGGTTTCAAGGGAAATCAGAAAAGGCCTCCCTTCTTCTGTTAAAGGAGGTATCCAAAGGAACAAAAGCCCTTCAGTGAGCATAAGTGCATCAACTGGCTTCTACCCCCATGTTTTTACCAATCTGTTTCACGATACCTTGAAAGGAGGAGGTATAATTGCAGTTCTATACACATTTACTTGGAGAGTAAGTCCTGTTGAATTCAGTGAGGCTTATATGTTGAAGTCATCAATATTCCAATATTAATTCTTTGATTAATGTATTTATACCCTTTCATTATCCCACAACACTATGTTTCAAAGAACACTTTCTTAATTATTAGCAGGCATTTCCATGTTAAACTTTAAGCTTTGTTTGCTCTCTACTTCTAATATTACATGGAGTGATGAACCGATTAGGAATGGAGACTGCACAAGCCTGAGTTGTAACTGAATGGCCATTTCAGTCTTAATACTTGTGCTGCTTCACAACTGGATAGTTGTGGCATGCTAGTATTCACGGGCTAAGCATTTGATCTTGTGTACTTTTCATTTTAACTCCTTAAAATAAATCACAAAGCATGTGCATGCCACTGGATTATCGGACACGGTGTATTTTAACATAATAGGGAAATATTGGGTGTAGTTCAAGCAGTGCTGGTTTCCATCCAGTTTCATTAGTATACTCACAAGGTGCATGTGGAAGTCTGTGCAGAATAGAGAGCTGCAACCACTGGAATGTAGTGAGAACAGCTGTGCATTCCAAAGAGGTTTTATGTTTTATAGCAGTGGATAGGAAGGAGTAGCTGCAAGCATAGAGCTGTAGTTATTTACCTTCCTTTTCCTCCATTCCTTGCAATGGTTTGTTCTCTGCCAGCTGACTTGGAGCACTGTGAAGCAATATTGTGAAATAATGGTTTAAATGCATTCCAGCTTTGTCATCTTGCTTTGCGAAAACATTTAACATTTTCGAAGGATAGCTAGCATGCATTGCTATGAATCTGCCCACTTACTGCATCCAACATTTGAGACTCTGCTTTGTGTTCTGGCAGTTTTAGAGGGGTGACTGGAAGGTACACAAGAACATTTGTGGCTCCCAGACTGTGGATCACCCTCCTCTGGGAGGTTTGGTTGGATCCCTCTCTTATGACCATCACCAGATCTATTGTTGACCTTCTTTTTTTTTTATTTGATAGCTTCTGAACTTCTCTTCCCTTTGCGGTCATTTTTGTTTTGTTATGCTGACTTGCATCTACAGTGGTACCTCAGGTTACATACGCTTCAGGTTACATAAGCTTCAGGTTACAGACTCTGCTAACCCAGAAATAGTGCTTCAGGTTAAGAACTTTGCTTCAGGATGAGAACAGAAATTATGCTCCGGTGGAGCGGCAGCAGCAGGAGGCCCCATTAGCTAAAGTGGTGCTTCAGGTTAAGAACAGTTTCAGGTTAAGAATGGACCTCAGGAATGAATTAAGTACTTTTTTTTTTTTTTAAAGCAATTTATTGGGTTTTACAATAAAAATAAACATATTAAACAATATGACCTTTGTCTTGACATAATTTCACATTTTCTTTGGACTTCCTCACATCTCCCGCTCCCACTTTCATCGTTATAACATTTTGTCAGCAATTTATCATCTTATTTAAATTCTTATATCGCTTCTATATTTCATAATCTTATAATTTTCAAAGGGAATTAAATTTTCACAGTCTTACTTATTTTCATAGAAAACTTCTAAATTTAGTGGTGCTCAGTTATTTTGGTCTAGCATCTTATTTAGCATTCACTCAAATTGCAATATTTTTGTAAATAGTTCTTGAATTTCTTCCAATCCTCCTCAATCCTTTCTTCTCCCAGGTCACGGATTCTGCCGGTCATTTCAGCCAGTTCCATGTAGTCTATCAGTTGCATCTGCCATTCTTCCAGTGTGGGTAGATCTTGAGTTTTCCAATGTTTTGCAAGAAGTATCCTTGCTGCTGTTGTTGCATACATAAAAATGTCTGATCCTTCCTTGCCACCCCTTGGCCGACAATACCCAAAAGGAAAGCCTCTGGTTTCTTAGTGAAGGTATATTTAAATACCTTTTTCAATTCGTTATAAATCATCTCCCAGAACGCCTTCACTTTAGGGCAAGTCCACCAGAGGTGGAAGAACGTTCCCTCAGACTCTTTACATTTCCAACACTTATTATCAGACAGGTGGTAAATTTTTGCAAGTTTGACTGGGGTCATATACCATCTATAAATCATTTTCATTACATTTTCTTTCAGAGCGTTACATGCAGTAAACTTCAATCCATTACTCCACAACCTTTCCCAGTCCTCAAACATAATATTATACCCAATATCCTGTGCCCACCTTATCATAGCCGATTTAACCGTTTCATCTTGTGTATTCCATTCCAGCAGCAAGTTATACATCCTTGAAAGTACCTTAATCTTTGGTTCTAACAATTCTGTTTCTAGTTTCGATTTCTCCACCTGGAACCCTAATTTCTTATCATTTTTAAAAACTTCTTTAATCTGAGCGTAATGTAACCAATCTCGCACTTTATCTTTCATTTTCTCCAAACTCTGCAATTTCCAATTGTCTCCATCCTTTTCTAATATTTCCCAATATTTTGGCCATTTAGCCTCCATATTGGGTCTTTTTCGGGCCTTAGCTTCCAAAGGTGAAAGCCACCTTGGTGTTTTATTTTCCAGCAAGTCTTTATATTTTGTCCAGACATTAAACAGTGATTTTCTGACAATATGGTTCTTGAAGGCCTTATTTGCTTTAACTTTGTCATACCATAAATATGCATGCCATCCAAAAACATTGTTAAACCCTTCCAGATCTAACACATCAGTGTCTTCAAGAAGTAGCCAGTCTTTTAGCCAGCAGAACGCTGCGGCTTCATAATACAACTTTAAGTCTGGCAGGGCAAAGCCCTCTTTGTTTTGCATCAGTTAATATCTTAAACTTAATTCTGGGCTTTTGCCCTGCCAGACAAACTTAGAAATGTCTCTCTGCCACTTCTGAAAGCACTCCATTTTGTCCAAAACCTGAAGTGTCTGAAATAAAAACAACATCCTTGGCAATACATTCATCTTAATAGCAGCAATTCGGCCTAACAAAGAAAGTTTCAATTTTGACCAACTATCTAAGTCTCTTTTAATTTCTGTCCAGCATTTTTCATAATTGTCCTTAAATAGACTTAGATTTTTTGCTGTTATGTTTACCCCTAGGTATTTTACTTTTTTAACCACATTGAGTTCCGTCTCATTCTGAAACCGTTCTGACTCTGTATCAGTCAAATTTTTCCCCAAAACCTTAGTTTTCTGTTTATTTAATTTAAATCCAGCCACCCGACCAAAATCATTAATCAATTGTAATACTCTTTTCGTACTGGGCTCTGGCTTCTGCAGGGTCAAAACCAGGTCATCTGCAAAAGCTTTTAGTTTATATTGTTTCTGACCGACCTGAATTCCTTCCACCAACCGATCCCCTCTAATCATGTTCAATAGCACTTCCAGAACCGAAATGAATAACAAAGGGGAGATAGGGCAACCTTGTCGTGTCCCTTTTTCAATTTTGAACTCTTCTGTGACCACATTATTAACTATCAGTTTAGCTTTCTGTTCTGAATATATCGCCTCAATCCCATTCTCAAAACCCCGTCCCACTCCCATCTCTTTTAAATTTCCCATCATAAATTTCCAGGAGATATTGTCAAAGGCCTTCTCCGCATCTATGAAAATTAAAACTGCTTTTGTATTTATATCTGTTTGCAGAAGTTCCAAAATGTCAATAATGTTCCTTGTATTGGCAAACAGATGTCTACCTGGGAGAAAACCGGCCTGGTCCTTATGAATTACTTCATTTAAGACTTTTTTAAATCTACTTGCCAAAATATCTGCAAATATTTTGTAATCCACATTTAAAAGGGAGATGGGGCGGTAGTTCTTAAGTTGTGTCTTTTCAGCTTCCGACTTTGGTATTAATGTGATAAACGCTTCCTTCCACGAATCCGGTGCCCTCTTCACCATAATTTCATTGCTGACCTCCATCAAAGGTTGTATCAAATAGTCTTTTAATGTCTTATAATACTTGGAGGTCAGCCCATCTGGCCCTGGAGATTTGCCAAGTTGCATGTTCTGAATGGCTTGTTCAATCTCCTGTCGTGTTATTTTAGAATTCAGAATTGTCCTATTTTCTTGTGACAATTTAGATAGTCCATTTTTGGCAAAAATTGTTTAATCTCCACTTCGTCTTGCGGCCCTTGGGTGTATAATTTTTGAAATATCTCTGGAAACACTTTCTAATATCCACTGGATTCTGAATATTTTTTCCATCAACCTCTAAGTTTGTAACCGTGTTTAATCTTTGTCTTCTCTTCAACTGCCAAGCTAGCAGTTTTCCACATTTATTCGCCGACTCAAACGTTTTTTGTTTCATTAATTTAACCTTCCATTCAATTTCCTGATTTATCAATTTAGAATATTGTGTTTGATAAAGCTTAATTTCTCTCAGAGTTGGCTGTGACTTTGGATTCACTCTTAATTTCTTCTCTAATTCTTTTATTTTGTCCAAGATCTTATCTTTTTTCTCATTTTGTGTTCTTTTCTTTACTACATTCTGTTGTATCAAGAATCCCCTCATTACAGCTTTGCTTGCGTCCCAGACGATTCTTTTTTCCACCGAATTGTTCATGTTTATCTCAAAATAGTTTATCTCAAAATAGGAATGAATTAAGTACTTAACCTGCGGTACCACTGTACATCTCTTACCCCTCTTGTTTTTATTATGCTGGTTTGTTAAATTTTGTAATTGTAAGTGAATCCCACTTTTCAGGGGGTAGTTGTTAGGATTGATAGATGAGGTTTTATATTTGGGGGGAAATTTTAAAAAACGAATGTGAGGTTTTAATACTATTTACTTTATTTATTAAATTTATGTCCTGCCCTTCCTCCCGTAGGTGCTCATAGTAGATATACTGTGGTGCGAAGAAAATTGAATACCCCATGGCACAGCAGTTTTGCAAATTTGCAGAGTTAAAGCTGCTTCAAAAACTGAAGCAGCTATACAACTATTTCATTAAACTCATAAGGAGCAGTCTTAAGATTTATGATTGCAGAAGAGTGTTATTTCTGGAATAACTCATAAGAGTGGATCATAATGGCTTGGCAGATCTTTGGATTATTCCACTCTGACTCCCCTAATTGACTGAAATCTTCAATGCACATCTTTATACTTTCTCTTGGAGAGAAAGAAAATGGTGACTAGGAGACAGAGGTTAGATTCATTTAGCTGATTCATGCCGATGGAGCCTTCCTTAGTTTTCTCTATGGAGGCGTTGCTGTTAGCAACTGTACCAAAGCATCGCTATCTGTAGCTACACAGTAACAATGAGTTGGGGAAAACAGATGTCTTAAAAGTTCCCTGGATTGTGTTCCTTCTGTGGGGTGTGGGGAAGCCCAATGATTTCACCAACTGTAAGTAGCATTAAAACTGAATGTGTTTTAAAGAAGCAAAGTAGAATATGTGCTGTTTCAAACCTGGTTTCTGTATTGTGCACCTTCTGACCACAGTGCTGGCCTTTAAAGTAAAATAGCTTTCTGGATACATGAGCTAAAACGTTCGATGCTGAAAAAGAGAGCAACAAAGTCTCCCCCCCCCAAAAAAAAGGTTATTGACTTGAGGACACTGCAAATATAATGCATTTCCAGTATGGAATGAAGTTTGATGTAGGAAAAAGTTTGGCATTCATAGGATGAATTCCCCCATATTTCAATTTCACCTTGAGTGCACATAGTGATTTCTATGCAGAAAACATGTAAAACTTTGAGAACCACTTCTGTGCTGAACTAATAATGAAAACCAATAACATGCACTCTTGCATGCTAAAAGACTAAAATTTCTGTGGTGCCCTCCTTCCCTTGATGGCCTAAGCATGTGCTCATTTTTTCTTTACGGTTAATCCAGCCCTGATTATGCAGCAGCTAAAAGGTGGCAGGAGGAGGCAAGGCTCGTAAAAAAAACAAATCCCAGGGTCTGGGCATTCCAAGGGTAGTGGTTGCCTTAAATACAGTACTGGCATCCACAAGAGTCCCAGTAGATTCTGGAACTTGGAAGCCTCTGTTTATTTTTTCTCTATAGAATTGGTAATCAGATCTGACTAAATAACTTTCACCTTAACTTTTTGAAGATTTTTGTTGTACACCTTTTAAATGTTTTAGCCTTCTGAAAGATATATTAGGAGAGTCCTAAAAGCCCATTTGCTCTAATGTGTCTGAAGACAGGATTTAGCAGTCTGCTAATTTAATATTACTCATAATCATTTGTCCTAGTCTGTTGAATTTTTAAAGTTGTCATTATCAGTTTTAAGCTGCAGCGCTCCAATTTCTGAGAAGTTCATTAAGACTTAAAAAGATTTAAATATTCTTCAATAGGTAATAAGGAGCCTTCAAATTTAGCACTTATTAAAAACGTACAATTGTAATATTTTACTGTCTGCATTTTTTGGCTAATTATATTTATTTTTAAAAGATTTTTTAAGGGGGAAGGTTTCATGTAGAAACAAAACAGATCTTGTGCAAACCTTAGCACAGTTTGGTTATATGTGTATGGCACAGTAATTAAGTCTTACACGGTATCTCCTTGGAGGTGAATCACAGCATGATTCCAAAATCACATATAGAGTTTGTGGCTCCTCCATTTGTATTCATAAAGAGACCCAAGTGGGAATGGCTGCTTTGCCCCTAACAACTCCCCCCTCCCTATTAAACCCTGTAATTACATCAAGAATTATAATTTGTCTTTGGCTTCAGTGGGATAATGTCATTGCATGTCAAGTTGGGGATTATCAAGTGGAAGGAGACCGTGCTGACATTGTCATTTTATGTTAAATAGGAGAATCTGATTTTAATTCATCTCATAATGATTCAGTAGAGTATAGCCATTTACTAGGCAAGTTAATAGGGGCATCTATATAATCACCCTTTACCACCAATTACAAGCAAGACAGGAGACACAAAAGTATTTCTATAGAATCATTAGTTCAATAAATAGGAGTAGCTGTGTTTCAGCTGTTACACTACATGGTACAGTCTGAGAATTCAGGAATCAAATGCTTAAAGTCAGTGACCCCATTTATCCTCAACTTTACAAATGAATAAATAAATAAATGAATAGAATATAAAAAGGGTTGCAAATTGTGGAGTTAGGGTTCTTTTAAAAAGTTTGCTGAGAAAACCATTATTAAGAAACCATTATTAACATTTAAAATGGGTAACAAACTTGATGTGCTTCTTGCTTCTTTTCTTTTCTTCTCCATCAATTGATCCCTGCCATTCTTACCAATGCTACAATCTACTGAGCTCCCAATCCTTCAGTCCCAGAAAGATGGAATAAAAGCAAGTCACTCTTGCATCTCTACCACGTATGAATGAGAAAACTAGCCTCTCCACTGACTCATAGCACTGAACTGCCAGAAAGCTGCAGCACATTTGGGATGATTATCTTCCAAGTTGGCTATCAGAATGGCTTACTTTGTACCATCAAACAAATCTTATTTGCTTTGCGGTTTTCTTTTTTATCAAATTCTGTAATTTCAAAGCATGACAGCTTTATAGGAATTAGGCATCCTCATTTTAGATAATTGGTTAGGTTTATGTTGTTGGTTGGTTGGTTATTTTACAACTAATTGTCCATGTTTGGAGCAAGAAATAACATTAAAATACAGTAAACAATGTTTCATTTGAATAAAACTTCAATGTTACGGATAGTTTAAGAGAGAAAGAGAGATCAGATCATGCTGACCCAAGGCTCCTTATAGTCAGCATCTTCCTTTCAGCCAAAAAAGGGCCCCTCACAAAGGGTCACACCCAAATACAAAATTCAAATACAAAAAAAAAAATAGCACTCACACCAAAAATATGCAGCAAAGTCTTAATGTTAAAGGAAACATTAAAAGCCAAATATTAAAAGCATTGGTGTTTCTGATTAAAAGGGCAGTCCCTGCTCCTGCCAACCTAGCAGTTCGAAAGCACGTCAAAGTGCAAGTAGATAAATAGGTACCATTCCAGCGGGAAGGTAAACAGTGTTTCCGTGTGCTGCTCTGGTTCGCCAGAAGCGGCTTAGTCATGCTGGCCACATGACCTGGAAGCTGTACGCCGGCTCCCTCAGCCAATAAAGCGAGATGAGCACCGCAACCCAAGAGTCGGCCACGACTGGACCTAGTGGTGAGGGGTCCCTTTACCTTTACCCTGCAAAGATACCAAAGACAGCAAGAGTAAATCTTTAGGGAGCAACTCCTCTTTTTCAGGGTCCCAGGCAGGATGGACCGGGCAGGTAGAAAAGCTTAACCCCTTGATGGTTCAAGTGCAGTCACTCCTCTAACAACAGCCATTGAAATACTTTAGGGAAGTCCACAATAATGTCTTTCCTCCATTGTTTTGACCCTCTTCAAGTGGCATTCATACAGCCTCTAGACTGGAAATGATGGCTAATAACTGTTGACAACTCATTTTCTATGTGTTTTTATTAATCCCTCTTAAAGCCATCTAAGTCAGTGGCAGGGCAGTGAATTTTCCCAAGTTAATTATATGCTATCTGAAAAAGTACTTTCTTTTTGGATGCCATACTTTGTTTTTGCGCCATACTATTAATAAATGTCAGTCATATTCTGCTTTAAATATGTTAATTTCTCTCCCCCCAAAAAACTAGTTTTTCAAAGGGAAAACTAGTTTTTCAAAGGGAAGATCTTCCTTCTCTGTACATTTTTCTAACTTTATGGTACCCCTTTGAAATGCTGGCTATCAGAATTGCACACAGTACTCCAAATGTGACTGGTTAATATTATGATTTTGATTGTTTTTTGCTTGCTTTGAACTTGTGGATTGCTTCTACAATAAAAAAGTGCGTAAGGTAATGTGCAATAGAAGTTAATGCCTGCTTTTTAACCAGTAGCTGGCACTAAAAAAAGTTGTTATTCACAACCACTTGCTTATAAAAGTTTAATTGTATTCCCACTTAAACTTCTGCATATGAATACTACTAATGCTGAATATATTAAATATTTATTAACAGTTTCTATCGCCTGTTTTTTCTAAAAAAAGTAAATTTGACCACAAAAGCACCAGTCATTAAATGTCATCGAAAACTGGCTTTCTAAAATTTTAGAATCGTTATCGTCCCTGCTGTTATTATTAGAATGTAAAAAAAATAACATCAGCTAAAACACTTCCTTTGTGTTCTGATACAAAAACTATATTTTTCTGCATATACCCAGCAATAAGGTATGAAATACATTTGACAGAAACCAAAAGGCCCTGCCCAAGTCCCTGTGAGCAGAATCCCCTAAGCATTTTAGATTCTGAGCAATGCCTATTTTTCAGAGATTGTGCTCCTGTGGAGACAGGGGGAAATGTCATGTAATTCTTGACTTGGTCTGGGAAGAAAACCTTACTCAAACATGACGGTCTTGGGTGGCATTCAATTGAATACAGGTTGATCCTTGAAGGGAAATCCTGGGTGCGGGAGGAAAAATGCAGGCTTTAGCCTGAATCATGAGAGGAAGAGGTGTGTGCAACCCCAGTCCTTCTCACGGTCTTCACTGCTGCCATCAAGTGGGTATATTTATTTCCTAGCTACATCCACCAAACATCCCCTGACATCTGTAATGTACTTACCGACCCTGCCAGCTCTCTGTACTAGGTGGTGTGGTGAAACAATTTGCCGTGAGGTGAATAACAAGGCCTCAGACAGCAGTATGCCAGAACAAATGTAGCTTTTGGAAAGGTTTTTGTAAGGCAGACAGTTGAATATTTTCAGGAGGAGGAAACCCTAATTTTAAAATGGTTTGAACAGTTAAACTCTCAATGTTCAGCTTTGTCTGCTCCAGGAGTCAATAGATTCACTGTAGCTCTTGGCATCTTCCTTCTGATTTTGGCTCTCCTTTCTCTGTTTGGTTATACTTGCATACACCATTTTCACACACACCCTCAAACTCTTGGCCCTTATGTGTCGGGCTAAACTTGACTCTAGTACTCAGAAATATCAGTCACCCGGTGCAGGAATGGGCGGAGGTTGTGGCACAACATCTCCTCCTTTGCAGCTGACCGTTGGCTCTGGCCCCAGCCTGCTGTGGGGAATGACTAGATTGACATGTGCAGTTCCTCTATGCAAGAACTAAGTAGCTGTGTATTGTGCTCAGGTTTTAACTGCTGCTGTACTAGATTTGAGTGTGAGCATTAAATTGCGTTATGTTGTTCTTGTTTTTTAATTGTAAACTGCCTTGGGGACGTGTTATGTATTGAAAGACGGATTTTCAATTTTTAAAAAATATAAATAATCAAATTACCTTTATATCTTCATTTCTACTGAGAATCTATTGGTAAGGTTGTGCAGATGTTTCAAAATTAGCTGAATATGTGCTCAAACCCATTTGCTCATTCTTGGTTACGAGGCTCTGCATCCACACTAGTCTGAGACTAGAGCTGAGTCCGCAGTGTGTTAATTCCATATATGGGTAATTTTGGGGTTTTATTCCAGTTCTGTATTTTTTAAAAAAAACATTCATCTGTTTTTAACCAATATGGACATAACATATTCTGCAGTGATCGTGATTTACTGAGCTGCTATGTCAAAGGAAAAAAAATCTGTGTTCAGTTACTTTTCCTCCACCCCGTGCTTTTAGTTCTAGTAGTCTTGGCAGTTGGTAAGTGGCTTTGCAATGCTGATACTCCTCTCTACAATCTAAAAGGTTTGTGCAAAGCAAAACCCATGATGAAATACGGGCTGCTGTCTACTCAAGTTTCACTTCACAAAGGAATTGGATGCTTTTAAGCATTGCCATGTCTCTCTGCAAGTACCGTATGTTGGTTTTTTGTTGTTTCTGGAATCTGTTTGCAAGTCCTTAAAAAAAACACACCAAAAAAACCCAACAACCCAGAAGTGCTTACAGGGTAAAAGTTAAACCCATGCAGAGACAAAATAGATGGGTATTCTTATTAAAAGCCCAGGTGGGCTTATTTGCCTGGTGTCACCTTCAACTCCTGGGGCTGATGAGATTGACTAGCATTTGGCTTTTGTCACCTCTGATTTGCCAGGCGCACACGCCACCGCCCAACATTGATGCATATTTTATGGCTGAGGGTTAATTAGAACACTATAAAGCTGAAGTAGAGGAGGTTGATTTAAATTCCATCTGTGTGGATTATGATGTAGCGGGGTGCATTAGCATGCAGACAGAGTTTCTATACGTATCTTTCAAATGACAAGTGACTTGAAGGCACATCACAATCTGGCAGATCTGCTGTGTGTTATGGAGCTGGCCCACACCTTCATATTAGCACAATTTAATTAGGCAAGAAAGAGCTCCATATCTCTTAAGAGACAAGATGAAATGATAAATCAATATTCCTTCCAAAGGTTCTTTCAAGTAGAAAGTATGGCTTTCTAAGTAAACAGGTTTTCTCGTTTGTAAAGAAAAGAAAAGAAAAAAGATGCTAAATATGCTTATTCCTAACAGTTAAACATTCTTTGTCCAATACCAAGTATTAGAATAGATTTGCTTTGTGGCATTATATTGTCATTTCCATTTCCATTATGTTCTTACGTCATGCTGTTTTAGTGTAATATTCAAGCTTGAATAAAGGCAGTGTTTTATTTACAGAGGCTACATGCCATTAGTTTTCTTGAGCTAATAACCACTGTATAAATACCAGAATGTTATGAAAATGATGGGCATTTATCTTAACTAACAAATGTACATTTTTGGCATCATTCTCATCTAGCTGGTTCCGATGACTTTCAAAATTGTAACATCTTGCTAATGTACTTAATAAATAAAATGTGATAGTCTGCATGTAGCTGGCTGTTGGGTATTGCACAAGGTCCTCTGAACATTATTTGCTTATGGAGACAGCCTTGTAGTTTACTCCCAGATAACGTGTGCTTGGTAGGTGAATAAGCTATACATTAAGGCAAAAACAAACAAACACCTGAACCACATATTAATAGCCAACTTGCATTTCCAATTTATCCAGCCATTGCAAAGTGGTAATGGGAAGGGACAGTTTGTAGGGGAGAATTGGTGGGTGGGAGAAGGAAGTTATTCTACTCCTTGCCACTTTCCCCACTCAATCCCTCCCGCTTCCTACCCACACCCCCAAACTGGGAGTTCTTCCAAGCAGTGTTGGTCTTTTGTATACACTGATCTGCTGGTACCTGGTCTCTGGGTGTGAAGCAATGCACATGGTGCTCTTGATCAGGATGAAGTGTCAAGATGTACAGGATGACAAAATGGGCTCCACCAACTATTGATCTTGTAGCAGCCACAATGAACTGAGTTAGACCAATTCTTGGTGATCTGAGACACATTTTACTGGACATAGTTACAGAATATCAATGTCTGTGCATGGGCTTGGGCCAAAATTACTTTCTTTGTTTCCTGTTAGAGTTGGGCCAAAATTACTTGCTTTTTCCCCTGTTTCCAGTGAACTTTGTGAGTGTTGAGAAGAGCCACCCATTTCTGGCACTTTTTGTATTGCTTTGATGCTGTCCTATTGACTGCCTCTTTTCTTCTTTGTTGTCCTTAGTCAAGTATGTGCTCACTGAAGTTTTATCTATTTGACTGTGGTTATCCAGATAGTTTTGTCCATGATGTCATGATGTTCTGTTCTAGTATGGTGATGCCATGGATGCCACGGATGCTTAGAAACAAAATCATTTGAGTCACACCACAGTCACTTTGAATGCAGTCATTCCAATTCCCTTTTTGTAAGACTTATATTTAATGCTGTCAAAGCATGTATCTCACCATTGATTTAAGTATTCATCCCTTAAGTTTTATAATGGATGAGTATAGTTCAGGCATAGGCAAACTTGTCCCTCCTGACCACTGGTCCTGTTAGCTAGGGATGATGGGAGTTGTAGTCCCAAAACATCTGGAGGGCCGAGTTTGCCTATTCCTGGTATAGTTTCTTCTGTGGAGAAGTTCCCAGTGGAAATGCTAGCAGCTCCCAAGAATTGGCATTACTTAGCTGGAGAAGAAAGCATTCGTTATCCAGACCTACTGGAAAACAATAACAAAATGAAATGGAATACAGTTATTTTACTGTATGAAGGAGCATAAGGGTTTCTTGGAAAAATTAGCATTCACCTGTCATTCCATTGTGTGTGCTATTTTTGACTGATGGTGATCTTAAAAGCTTACTGAATATTTTTTTCCTAAGTAGGTTAAAGTCTTGCCAGTGCTGACACTTTGTCGTTCTGACGTGGTACAATTTATGAAACTAATTACATAGTCATATATAAATTGGCAAATGGGAAGTTACACATCTAAAACAACACTTTATATATGCTACAGTCAAATCAAATCTGATATTTCCCAAGAAGATTAAAAGCTCTTTGCTCAAAGTAACAGTTGAATATTTCTGACTTTGGGTGCAGAAGCGGTTGCTGTAAGGAGAGTCTGTAATAAATCTGTTTCTTATCACATTAATGGAATGTCTATAAAATTGATTGATTGTCTTTCTGATTGAAAAAAGGCACACACACATAAAAAAGAAAAAGTAACCACTCTTCTGTTTAAAAGCACAAGAGAATAAAAATGAATTTACACTGTGCTTGAACTCTGAGAAGGCTAAGATGGTCATTTGTTATATTACATTTATATCTGAACTTTTCTTCCACGAAGCTCAAAGCAACTTCCATAGCTCGATTCTTGTTCTAATCTCACAACAACCCTGTGAGGTACATTAGGCCAATGGCTGGGTGTGGATTTGAACCTGGATCTCTCTTGTCCTAGGCAGTGCTTCATTTACAGAGGCTACATGCCATAGGGTAGCCAACATGGTGCCCTCCAGATATTGTGGACTACAACTCTCATCACCCTTGGCTTTTGGCCTTGGTGGCCGCGGATGATGGGAGTTCTAGTCTAAAACATCTGAAGGGCACCATGTTGGTTACCCCTGCTCTGTCCACTACACCAAACTCGTTGTCCTTGGAAGATGATGCCAAACCTGTGGGCGCTACAAGATTTCACGTCATGTAGGAAACAGTTTCAGCAACTTTCTCCCTGCAGAAGACCTTAAAGAATGAGGGTGTTCATACAACAGGAGACACTCACTTAGGTAATATAACATCATGTGGACTAATATAGCCACAGATGATACTGTTTTAGTATTGTTTGACTGTCTTCTCCATCTCCAATATAATAACTTTTTCTGCCTGCCTCCCTTGCCCATGAATTGAGGGTAATGGTGCTGGATTATCATTTAAAATGGAAAGGGGAAGACAAGACATTTCATTTTTGAAGAGGAATTAAAATAAGTGGAATGTTAATAAAGGCAGTCTGTAGTATAGGTGCAGAAGAAGTTACTGTAAGCAGTTCTATATTAGACATGTGGTACTGAAGACAAGCCCTGTTCAGCCAATCCATATTGAAAGTACTAGTATTATGCTACAGGGATAGCAGGTACTTACTACACAATTTGAATACAGTAATTGTACCTCAGCATGACATTTAGGGATGTGAATTCTAATATTGCCCAAGGGCTTAAATTCAGATTAATGCAGTACATCTACTTTTGAAATACTGCTTTCTCTCATTAAAATAAACTAATTCGAGACCCACAGCAACGCTCACATTTTCTTTGTAAGACTTCAAAAGTACCTGAAAGGTATTTTTACTGTAATGTGTGGCTTCAGATTTATAAACCCAGGTTGAATGTCTTGCCATTTTGTAACGAAACTCCTATTCCCTTTTCAGCTATTTTTTGTTGAAATTGAAAGCAGTTGTTCAGAGTCTGAAAGTTTTTGTATGATAAGGGAGCATTACTCATACGATGAGATCATCTCAAAAGTGATTTTTTTTGCCAACTCTGAAATGAAAAAGGAATTCTGTCCTCCTCTTAACCTCTCACCTTTCTCTGAATTATTTAGCTTAACTGGATAGCTCAATTGGTAGAGCATGAAAATCTTAATCTCAGGGTTGTGGGTTTGAGCTCCATGTTTGGCAAAAAGATTCTGGCTTTGCAGGGGGTTGGACTAGATGACTCTCGTGTTCCCTTCCAACTCTATAATTCTATGACTTTATGAAAACAGAAACTGTACCCTATTGTACATCAGAAAAGGAATGCCTTTGCTGTGGGTCATAACATTTGTGTGCTGTTGGGCTTGAATTGCTCCCTTGTTGTTCCATTAGCTCTTTGCTGCTGTTCATTTCATTGCTGCTCTTGATATGAATGTGTCCTTTCTGGATTGTTGAAGATTTCTATATTATAGCGCTATATGTGTGTACAGGTGACGCTGCAATTACACTTGTGCATCTTGTGCAAACTTGTTTGGCAGCAAACAATGAAGACGGCAGCTGTACTCTGTCAGGATTTTAGCTTACTGAATGGTTACTTGTTTCTTTCTTGAGTTGAGCAGAAAAATCACTGCTAACACCCTCACCTTGTTTATATAAAACAGGTCCTCATGATATCGCAGACTTTGATTGATATCTAAATCAATTTGAATTTGAATACTGGCATCAATGGGTTCTGCTTTGCCTCGGAAATTATCATACCAGCAAGATTCATTTTCACTCCATTTGGTTTTAACAGGATGACCAAGTGCTTTGAAAAATAACACTACATATGCTATATCACACCTGACAAAAATAATACACACACTTTCTCTATACAGTGGTACCTCAGGTTAAGTACTTAATTCGTTCTGGAGGTCTGTTCTTAACCTGAAACTGTTCTTAACCTGAAGCACCACTTTAACTAATGGGACCTCCTGCTGCTGCTGCGCCACCGCTGCACGATTTCTGTTCTTATCCCGAAGCAAAGTTCTTAACCTGAAGCACTATTTCTGGGTTAGCGGAGTATGTAACCTGAAGTGTATGTAACCTGAAGCGTCTGTAACCTGAGGTACCACTGTACAGTGGTACCTTGAGTTACAAAAACCTCAGGTTACAAACGCTTCAGGTTACAAACTCCGCTAACCTGGAAGAGTTACCTCAAGTTGAGAACTTTGCCCCACGATGAGAACGGAAATCATGTGCTGGAGGTGCAGTGGCAGCAAGAGGCCCCATTAGCAAAAGCACATCTCTAGTTAAGAACAGTTTCAGGTTAAGAACGGACCTCCGGAACGAATTAAGTTCATAATTACAGGTACCACTGTACTTAAAATCTTGGTAAATTAAAATTAAAATGAAGCAACATGTAGGAAAATCATGATCCTCTGTGGCTGCTAGATCACAGAGGAGCCAAGTGAAGCCCCAGTAAAACTTGTTTGCCTTGATTCCAGTAGGATGCTGGCAAATTATTCGGCATTCCTCTGGGGCACAGTCTTCAGTGCCACCCATGCTGTTGGCCTTGTCTGTTAATTGACCTCAGGGGGCTGGAATAAATATGAGCAGATAGTTTGTGATATCTTGATGCAAGCTTTTTCCTCAGTTGACAAACATTCCAAGGGGAATATCTTGAACCTCTTGGTACAGTTTTGAATTTAATGGCTCTTTCTTACTTAAACACAGTGGGAGACTAGATGACCAAATAGGGCAAATAATATTTCTTCTCTAAATTGCAGCAAACAGTTGGTCCCTCATTCTTTTCTCTTAAGTAGCTGCTGGATGATAATGATGACAAGAGATTTCTAATCATTACATCCAAGAAATGGCATCACCTCACCACCCAACATGTAGAGCGTTTAGCTGGCAGTCCTAAGTGGAGAAAGGAAGAGAAAACCACAGGGAACTAATGTATTAGAGAAGCTTCTGTGAACACCTATTCACTGCTTTTTATTGTTATTGATCCCCACACCCTTTTGTCTGGATATGCCAACTTTGCACCTAGGTAATAGGCCGCTATTGTTGTGTGCAAGCACATTTCTTGTGGGGAAAAGGACCCTTTCATTTCTCTAAAGCCCCTCAAGGGAAAACTTCCAGTCTACTATAGGGTTTTTTTTTCACGCAAGGAAGCAATCTGTTCTATGAGTTTGGTACATAAACGCCTTTCTGCGGCTAGAATCTTTGGCACACTTGTTTGAGAATAAATCACTTAATTTGTATGATAATGTGTACAAATATTTTGATTGGTCATTGATCCCAATGCTACAAGTATTTTGGTGCAGCTCAGGGAAGTGGATTGGGATATACAGGATTATTATTATTATTATTTAATTAAATTTATATACTGCCCTTTTTCAAAGATCTTCTTATCAGGACAAGTTAATTGTTGTTTACTGTTGTAACAATTGTTTTCTCAAAATTTATCTTCTGTACCATGAAAATAAATAATAACAGTATTAAAAAATAAAACACAAGTAAATAATTAAACCATAACAACAAAACAATAACTCCCCCTCCTTGTTTGTTTCAGAATGTTGCTTATGGAAAGCAACAACTAATGAACTGTTACATTTAAAATAAAGAAAGAAAGCTAAATGTATTATGAAAGTTAATTTTTAAACAAACATAAGTATTTGTCTTATAAATGAGCAAGTCTGATTCCCCCTGATATATGCATTACGGTAAAGAATACTGATGTTTTTTCTTCAATTATATATTCAATGCCTGACATTGCTAAGTTAACAAAGAAGGCTATGCAGAAGCTATATTGCAGCTTTTGACAGTAATACCATAGACATCTGATGCTCTCTGAACCTTTTCTAGTAAAAGATTATCCAGGATCTCAGTGGAGTTTTTTAAACCCCAAGATGCTGTCAAGAAACGATATTATAGCTAAATAGAGTATCTATGCACATTTAATCTTTCTTTCTTTTTTTTACTAAGCTATAGCCCTAAAGGAGAAAGCACTGAAACAAAATTCTCAGAAACCTTATGTATTGCCTTTGATATTAATGAACTGACACTTTCAGTAAAAATTGTGCTAGAGACATTTTCAGAAAAAAATTCTAAATGCACTTAGGGCTGCTACACTTGGTTTGCCAGTACGGAAATCTTAGTATACTTAGTTTGTGCCATTTGTGAATAGTACCCATTTAAATTTTCTCTTTTTTTCAATAAAATGCCCATCGGTCTTAGTGGAGACTGACTGGAAGTTGGCAACAACAGGAAAAATGAAATTATGCATATATTTTATTGCTTGTGGCGTATGAATATGCTCCAACACACAATTTGAGTGTTACAGGTTTAAGAGCTGCAGGTTTCATTCTTGAAACAAACATGGATATACAATTGCAGCACTGAACCCCTTTACTCATCTTCACTTCTTTGCATGCTGCTTAGAGGTCTAATTATGAGGCCTAATTTGTTACTGGGACGCGGGTGGCGCTGTGGGTAAAACCTCAGTGCCTAGGACTTGCTGATCGTAAGGTCGGCGGTTCGAATCCCCGCGGCGGGGTGAGCTCCCGTCGTTCGGTCCCAGCTCCTGCCCACCTAGCAGTTTGAAAGCACCCCTAAGTGCAAGTAGATAAATAGGTACCGCTTTATAGCGGGAAGGTAAACGGCGTTTCCGTGTGCTGTGCTGGTGCTGGCTCGCCAGTTGCAGCTTTGTCATGCTGGCCACGTGACCCGGAAGTGTCTTCGGACGGCGCCGGCTCCCGGCCTCTTGAGCGAGATGAGCGCGCAACCCTAGAGTCGGTCACGACTGGCCCGTACGTGCAGGGGTACCTTTACCTTTAATTTGTTACTAGAGTCCTTTCAGTCATCATTAAATAACCTGGAGGCCTGAAAGTGCTCTCATGTCATCTTCACAGAGCTTTGTGGTTAGTGTAACCTGGCTTCAGTTTTTTTTCCTGTTATATGAAATAATAGTGTGTATATTCAACACTCAATCCACATTGGATCCCCAAATAGTTCACATGTCTTTTTTGGATTTCTGTGCTGATAGCCTATAACAGCAACAGATTCTTCTTTAGGCAGAAACTTTGTGAAAGTGGATTCAGAAGGTGCCACCCACTACTATTCTTGAAAAAGAGACACAGGGTCAGTCTTCAACAGCAGCTGCACATGAGCTATGTATACATAAAGCATGAATCTTGTGGGGCGAAATGCATGGATACAATTTGAAAGGATTTTGGATTTCAGACTTAATAGACTGACGTTGCCTAGACTGACATGGAAGCATATCTATTTGAAAAGACAGTAGCTCAGAAGATGGTTCAGAATGACTTCTCTTCAGATTGTATGCTACAGATTACATTTCACCATTTGGCCAATATGTTTCTGTGAGAGATAAATCAAAAGAGTTTGTATTTCTTTTATCCATGAGGAAAAGTTTCTGTTCTTTCCTCTGGCGTCATGTTATCTAGTAAAACAAACACAGCATTTGGACCCAATAAATATCTGCATTTTATTGTGGGCCTGCCATTTTTTGGTTATATGAGTGAGTGTCATCCTATATTCACTTTCTCTTTGATTAACAAGCCACTTTTTTTGCTTAATTATTTATTATTTAAATGTTTTGCCGGTTTTTTGTTTTTGTTTATTGGCCAAGACCTGTTATTAGCTCTCATTCTGCATGAGATTAGGTTGCAACAACTAGACCAAATATGGCAACTTAATTTTGCTTGTAGTAAGGACACAACAGAATTCCATAGGATAACTCAATGAAATTTCATTCCTCCCCTCTGGCATTCAGGAAGGGTAATTTCCTTAAGAAGTACAGCAAACCACAGAGGGCAATATCTCTGTGTGCCAGAGTAGAACAAATAGGATTAAGTTGTACTGTAGAGGCTTTTTCAACCTGCGTGACTGAACACTACTTTCACAGGTTTGAAAGAACCAGTGGATTGTAACTGGAAAGAAAACATGGCAAATGTTCCTCTTTGTAAAGTACAAAAACTATGACACCGGTTTTTAGATGCTAGGTGTCAACTTTGAAATGCAAATTGTTACAGTAATGTACTAAAAGGTTTAATACTTAGGTCTATGCAATTTAGAGCCCCAGATCCTCCTTTACATATTAGCGTATTTCATTTTCTAAGAGTTAGGAAAGGGTAAGCTAATAAGGAAGTAAAATGGGCTATAAATGCTATATTGGATTTATTTAACAGAACACTTATTTAAGAGAACACAAGGAACATCCCTTACAGCAGCCTTGAAATGATGACATATGAAAAAAGCTTGTTTCCCATTTTGGTCTCTTGAACACTCTGAATGATCAGTGCAGAAATACAGTGGTACCTCTAGATACGAACGGGATCCGTTCTGCGCATGCACGTGACATCATTTTGAGCGTCTGCGCATGCGCAAGCGGAGAAACCTGGAAGTAACACGCTCCATTACTTCCGGGTTGCCACTGAGCGCAACTCGAATGCGCTCAACTCAAAGCGTATTCAACCCGAGGTATGACTGTACTTCAATGACCAGGATAATTCTTCCACATTCTGCTAGAATTGAAATAAAATATTTGGTAGCATGAGTTCTGATAACACAGCTATGTTCCAGGTCACATAGAACATTTAAACCTAATACAGTGGTACCTCAAGTTACAGACGCTTCAGGTTATGCGATTTCGGGTTGTGCACCGTGCCAAACCTGGAAGTACCGGAACGGGTTACTTCCGGGTTTCGGCGCTCGTGCATGCGCAAAAACACTAAATCACACTTTGCGCATGCGCAGAAGCGCCGAATCATGACCCGTGCATGCACAGACGCGGCGCTGCGGGTTGCGAATGTGCTTCCTGCACAGATCACGTTCTCAACCCAAGGTTCCACTGTAGAAAGTGTTAGGTGTGGTTTTATTATAGGGTTGCCATACAGGACATAGCTGGGAATTGGCCATTGGAAACATTGTCTGGGTGGAAATAGCTGAAATGTCTGGGGAAATCCGGACATATGGCAACCCAGGTTGGCAGTGTCATTTTTTTTACAATTTCCCTTAGAAAATGGCAGGGGTTGGGTTGCCAGCCTTCACATCATGTTTGTAGGCGTATCTGTAACACAGAATTGGTCTGCGGCCTGGTGCATGAAACCAGCTTCCCATAGAGTACATCCATGGTGGGTCCTGCCATCTTCTATTCTGTGGACATCAATGGGATAGTGAAAAAATGGCTAAACATGATACTCAGATAAAAGAAGATATCTGAGGCAGATAAATAAATATCTAATCAGCCATGTTAACATAACTAGAGATGGATTATTCAAATTCAGCCAGAGTTTTCTTTTTAAATAAGTCAAATGTTGAGAACATTTTGCTGTTAGCCTACACAGCAAATAGAAAACACACTATGCAATTTCCTTAGAACTGTTATAAGCAAATGCTTAAAGTCTATGTAATACAGTTTTAGATTCTAAAATACATTTCCTTCAGACACCAGTTTGCATTTCACTAAAACTGACTAGCATGCCTCTTCTTTCTAAGAAGTCTACCTATAGTCCTCATTTGGTATTAGAAATTGCTTAGGTGAGCGGTTTGGCTGAAACCAAATATTGGAAAATGCAAATAAGTGATCCCATGTATTTCTAAGCAAGTCAGAAAATCAATTTATAATGTTCTGTAAGCACTGAGAGAGGAAGCCTTTATAAATATATTAAAAAGATGAGAAACCTTCTGGGGCTTTATGATATATTATTTATACAGCATGAAGCCAAGTGTTTCAGTATGAGAAAGCAGCAAAGAGGTATATGAAACTGAATTTTTAAAGACTGGATTGCGACTGACAAAAAGAAAAAGACAATGCTTAAATGGAATGTTGAGAAGAAGATGCAGGTGTTGCTGGTTTTGATTGTGATAATATCCCTCCCTACATTTTTAACTGAATTGACACAAAATGAAGTTTGCCAGGCAATTTTGTTTGGAATTCTGGAGACAAGCCATTTTAGTGACATCTTCATGCCAGATATTTACCAGTGCAACCTTATCGAATGTGTATTCGGACCCGCAAGCCATAATTTCCCCAGATAACCATAATACACTTGCAGTGAAACACACTGTGTATCATATTTTACGTAAACAAAGTAAGGTGGCATATTTTATTGCTCTATTATATTTTAGGGTAGTGTGTGTGTTTTTTTAAAAATATTTTTTATTAACTGGCCAATCAAATCAAATTAAATCACATCACATAAATTCCGAATTACAAAGCCGAATTTTAAATTTTGTTGGGGGGACCCATATTTCAAGATCCGAAGGGGGATTCTGATCATCTTCTTGCTACTGCGTTAATGTCCAAATCAGTCCAAATCAGTCCAAACAGAGTTCATAATTCTATCCAGTCTTATCTTGCTGTTTCCACATCACATCTTGTTTATATATTTTCTCTTTTTTCTTTATGATCTCTTCTGATAGTCTCCTTAAGCCGATAAACACCAATAATAATAATAATCCTGTGTGAATTTTCCGTTCTTCCATTCCTCAAATCGCTCTTTCTATCTCACAAAGCTGTCGCTCTTAAGTCCCTCTGAGGAGTTTCACCCACAATATATAAACAGCTCTATTTCTCTCTTTCTCCTCCCAGACTCAAGACCTCCGACAGAACTTCCCAATATGGCGACAGCATTTTAAACTGCGTCATTCCCAAGCTCTTATACATTCCTCGCTCTTCTTAAAACATGCTTTGGTTCGAAAGTTTATCTCCACACAGCCTTAAATCCACAGCTTAAGTCCTTATAACGACATTTCTGACTCGTGACTCGTGAGGGGAGGGGATTCTTGTTAATCACATAAGAAAATAAAGGAAAGTTTTTTCCCCCTCCCCCATCAGTCATTTGCCATACCGTGTCTTGACATATCTTCTCATGTTTTATTCTTGTCTTGTTTTATCAGAGATCTCTTCTATAGCAGTCTTTACTCCCCTCCTTCCTTGAAATATGTGCATTCCTTCATCCAAATTGTTTTCTTTTGAAGTTCTAGCAGCTAGTGGCGCGAATCAGGGACGGCGTCCAGGAGTGCCGGAATCCCACAGGAGGGCTTTGTGCCTAGTGCCCCCATCCCCACAAGTTCGGGGGTGGTATAGGGCACAGCAGGCAAAGGCAGTCCCCCCCACCGTCCTGGGGGGGGGTTAGGGAGGCTAATTACTCCCATCATAGCCTCCAAATTACCTCGTGTGGGTCGGAGAGATGTTATTGTCAGCCATCTTCCTATGCGTCCCCTAGTGGCCCCAGGGTAGTGTGTGTTTTAGCATAGAGTGGCTGGGGAAACCCAGCCAGATGGGTGGGGTATAAATAATAAATAAATTATTATTATTATTATTATTATTATTAATTATTATTATTAATTATTATGCAAGCAGGTGCACTATGCAAACTCTTCCTAAGTCAGAACTGGAGATCTTAAAAGTTGGCATACTTCTACGCTAATAGAGAGGTGCCCAGGAGCTTATCCTGCTGCAGTACTTGGAAGCAGAGCTAAACCTGTTCTCCCAACACCACACACTGCACTGGAACAACCTCCGAACATGCTTTATTGGGTTCTATTTAGGATAAATTGGTCTTGGATTAAAATTTAACAGAATAAACAAGACTTCAAACTACAATATCAGTTACTTCAGGCATTTCTTTAGAAAGTTATTGTATTAAAAGGTATCTGAAAAGCTAGCCAGGCTTTTCTTTTAAAAATATGTTCCAAATCCGAATGACAATTTGCTGTTGCATGATAGAATCAACTCTTTCAAATAATTCTTGTTAGTACTTCATTTCTTTGCTGGAGGTCTTCAGGCAGAGGCTGAACAAACATGTGCTGGGAATACTTCAACTCTGAATTTAATGGATGACATTGAAGTAAATGGTCCACAAATCCAGTTCTATAAATATGATTCATTCTCTCTGCCTTTTTTTTAAGGGGGGCTTATTTCTCCCTATGAAGTACCTTGTAAATGATGTTGTTTATGATAGTCTTCATTCTTCCCAAGAGCATAATCTATAGATGGATTTTGCTGTCATTTATACATGTGGATATTTCAGAATTCAGATTAGAAGTAAAATGAAATATTCTGTCAGTTTTTCTGCCCACAGAAGGGGAAGTGGGGACCTGCAGAATTCAACTGAGCTCCAGTTAGCAGGTTGCAAGAAGAAAAATGCATTTTTAATAAGGCAGAATTGTCTCTGATGGCTGTTAATGGATTCTGGAGATCCATATGTGTCAGAAGAGAACTGTCTTTGAGGAAGAAGGAAATATAAAGCAAGAATAATCAATACCTCATAGATACCTGAAGGAGTCCATAATTTGGGAGGTGGGGGAACTGTAGGGGGTAAGGGTGCATACAAATAACTTTTTATGTCTGTACCGTTTTATTAATAAATGAGAAAAACATTTCACTTTTATTATAAACTAACACCTGCTGCAAAATGGTGCTAGCCATTCCTTTCTTATGATTTACCCACTCTTTAAAGCCAGTAGAATTTAAAAATGAGCAGGACAGACTAGATACGTAGAAGCACAGACAACAGATTTTTCAAAAGAGTCCTATAAACATTTCTAGGGCAGGCCAGTGCTTTTCCTGTTCACAGTGGTAGAAGGGTTTTTTGTGTTTTTTGGAGATTAGAAACATTTTTTTCTTTTTAGTGTTTAACCTTGTGTATGATACCAAGGAATTTGGTGGCATAAAATAAAATACCGTATTTTTCGCCCTATAGGACGCACCTAATTTTTTTTGGGGGGGAAATAAAGGGGGAAAAAATTATCCCCCCCAGGCGCGGGGCTTCCCACGGCTTGCGGAGAGCTGCGCGAAGCTAAGCCTGGGCGCGCTGCGCCTCCCCGCTGTCCTATGGGCCGGTGCGCTGTCCCCCGAGCCCGCTTCTCCCCGCAGCCAGCCTCCAACCCAGGTTGGGGGATAGCGGGATGGCGGCGTTCTGCCTCCCCACTGTCCCCCGAGCTTGTGGGGCTGGCGGTGGGGCTCTCCTGAAGCCTGGAGAGCGAGGGGTCGGTGCGACCGGCCTCTCGCTCCAGCTCAGTGCTCATTCGCCCATGGGGCCACACATTTCCCCTTCATTTTTGGAGGGGAAAAAGTGTGTCCTATAGGGCGAAAAATACGGTAAAAACAAATTTATGTAAGTGATTTTGATATTTCTCGTATAATAATAAGGGTGAGGGGAGTTAAATCTGTCTATACTTGATATTTTAGAGAAATTACTAGGTTTGTGTTATTTTACTGAAACTTTCCAATCATAAAGACTTCTCAGTAGGAAGACGTTTGTGAAACTGCAGGAATTTGAATTCAAGTTCTCTCAAAACACATGCAAAATCTCTAAGGAAGATGAATAAAATTGTGTGTAGTTCTTTGAGATCATTACACTAAAGCCAGTTTGTACATCTGCCCCTATCAGTCTTATTATTTCAGCTGTTTAAATGTGCCACCGCATGAGGTCTTTTATTTGAAAATTTATATATAGCTATTCACATCACTTTCCCTCCAGAGACTTTTGACTCCCCCCTACTTCATCTTTGTTCGGAGGGGGGCTATTATTCCTTTTATTGCTACTGTCACAGAAAACCTTATAGTCTAAACCATTTAAGGAAGTAATCCCTAGAGCCATCCTGGGCAAACATCCAGACATGCAACGATTCCCAAAAGAAAGACATTCTCAGAGACAAAGTGGGGGAGAATATTTTTGATTTGGGAATATCAGTCTTCAGCAGAGGGTTATGATCAAGGGACAGATAGGCTTCTGAAAAGCATTTAGATAAGGAATACTAAAAAATATAAACTAGAATGCATTATTTATGTAACTTGCTAATGTGAGGTTAAAAAACAACAGAAAAGAGACATGTTAAAACAGACTCTGCCTCCCGGTCAGTTTAGGGTTTTCACTTAGACCAGGAGTTGCCAACCTTTCTGGACTCATTGGCAAAATTTCATATTGGAGAAACATTTCTGGGGATCACATATCAAGCACACACCACAACCTATTCTGTTGGGTTTGTATTCTAATGTTTTTTTCTAGTCTGATTTCAGCAGAGGGCAGGGTCCCTGTGAATGCCAAGGAAGGCTTCTGTGGGAAATGTGTTGGGTCTAAGTAAAACAAAGGCAAAGGTTTGGGGAGATCTGGCTTGGCGGCAGTACATGTAAAGAGGATATAGTTGTCTTAGCTGATCATAAGCTGACCATGAGCCCGCAGTGTGATGCAACTTCTCAAAAAGCTAATGCAATTCTGGGCTGCATTAACAGAAGTATTGTGTCCATATCATGGAAAAAAAAAAATTCATCTCAATTTTGTGCTGGTCGGGTCATGTATTGACAAAGTGTCCACTGACAAAATGGACTGTTGCCCATAAAAGGGCAGTCTATGAGAAACAGTTGAAAGTACAGTGGTACCTCAGGTTAAGTATTTAATTCATTCCGGAGGTCCGTTCTTAACCTGAAACCGTTCTTAACCTGAAGCACCACTTTAGCTAATGGGGCCTCCTGCTGTTGCTGCGCCGCCAGAGCCCGATTTCTGTTCTCATACTGAAGCAAAGTTCTTAACCTGAAGCACTATTTCTGGGTTAGTGGAGTCTGTAACCTGAAGCGTATGTAACCTGAGGTACCACTGTACTTAGGTGTACTTGACCTGAAGAAGTTCTGAAGAATATTTGGAAGAGATGTAGGGAGCAGTCGTTCAGACAAGAAGCTGGCATAAAGCAAGCCAACGCCAATTAAACCAGCATAAACTTGCACCCAAGCCTGTCAGAGGGGAAACAAGCCTTTAAAAGAATGTTTGACTTAAACACACACCCTTTTTTGCAGTTGACATGACTGAGCTGAACAGAATCCAATTTCAGTCCCTGCTGCCCATTCCCACCTCTGGGGCACCCCTTTTGGGGGGCTTACGCCAGCCTTTGCTCAACCAGCTGAGCCAGGATGCCAGCTGAGCTTGAGATCCTAAGCTCATCCTGACAGATCTTGCAAAAGGATTGCACCTCTAAATGGAGTTTAATGGCCCTCTGAAGTACTGCACTTTGTTGTAGGGTAAATGTGCTGCTGTGATTTGTTGATTGCCTAAGATACAGATGTTTTCCTCTGAAGAAGCGCTTCTGTTGCTAGGATATTGCACTTCCCCAGCACTCAGACCACAACATCTTGTTTCTGGAAGAAATGCTAGTCCCTCAGGAGATAGTACTGTTGTTTCAAAAACAGTGGTCATATCAAAATTATTTCTGTGAAATGTTATAGGAATCTGTTGATGAATGCATCATTAATAAGATGACCGTATTGTTTGTAAACATTTCTTTTCAGTTATTATGTTTCAAAAAATTCATAAAGCACTTCATCAAAACATAGCATTGAGCAAAATAATTAGCAATAAAAAGAGGGGGGGATTAGTAAACTAAAAAAAACCATAGCTTACTTAGGTGGAACATTGGCTTTGGTTCCTTAAGTAGAAAATAATCAAAATCAACAGTAACAAAATGCCTTTATTAAGACTAATTACATTATAAATGTTCTAATAAATGCATTACTTAATGTGCATTTGGAATATAAAAAGTAAGCCATAACTAATTGTATATGACTGGAATAGGGCATAATTCAGCAAAAGTTAAGTATTTTTTAGTCACCACTAAAACAAAACTCCAAAGTGCTTAATTTCACTTAACTTGTGACTCTTGCTTTCTTTTTAAGCATCACTGGAAGAACATTGTACTGGGTTTGCTGGTTTTTTTTATACTGTACTTTTGTTGAAATGGTTGCGGTTGTTGTTTTCATCTTCCAGCAGTATTAAAAAATGAAGCTGTGCATTTCAAGGAGTGATAAATGTGGCAGTTGTGAGAAGTTTGTCCCTGATGGTAAATAATGGGGGTAAAAGGTCAGATGTTTGTCCGTTGTTGATTAATGGCAGTAGTTTGACAGCAAATTAAATGTCACATAAAATTGGCAAATGATACAACAAATCAATACCTAGTGAGAAAAGCTGATACAATTATTCTGGTAATCAACACCATTAGACACCCACAACTTGATTTAAGTCATGCAGTTTATTACAGAGGCTTTCATGGAAAATGCCCGGTGTGTTCAAAATAGCCCCCAAAGTATTCAAGTCAAGAGGCAATAATAAAAACAATCCCCAGCAGCTGAGGCAGCTGATACCCTTGTTAAAAGTTAGGAGTAGATGACAGCCATACACCTATTAAAATATAGCAGCAGATATCAGGGCATGCTCACATCGCTCTTATAAGTTCAAATAAAGGTTTCTTTAACTTAGTGTGACATGCAGTCATCATATACTGTATAAGTTGACTAGTTGGCATAGTTACTACTCAAGGTGAATCACTGTCTTGATATCTAATAGCTGTTCTCAGGCCCATTGCCACCTGAAGATGAGAAACTAAGGTTGTATACACACTATATTTTTAAAGCACATTTGAAGCACATTTATTCCCTCAATAAATTCTGGGCACTGTAGCTCAAAATACCAGACAACAATTATCAGACTTTTAGAAGACATCTGAAGGCACCCCTGTTTAGGGAAGCTTTTAATGTTTGATGTATTACAGTATTTTAATATTTTTTTGGAAGCTGCCCAGAGTGGGTTGGGGAAGCCCAGCCAGATGGGCAGGGTATAAATAATAAATTATTATTATTATTATTATTATTATTATTATTATTATTATTATCATCATCATCATTATCATCATCATCATCACCCCTCACAGAGTTGCCATTCCAAGCACCCTTAAGAAACCACACTGCCCATAATTCTTTGAGGAGAAAAATGTACTTTGAAGATAATAGTGCGTATACAGCCTAAGCCTCACTCAAAGAATCTTATTTCTGATTAAAAATGCGTAAGTTTGCATTGCGCAAACTTTGTTTAATTTTGTTTTATTCAGGTTCAGAAAGGCAAAGCTTATCACTTATTTCAATATGCAGAGAAACATGCATTTAGGAGCTGGCCAGGACTATATCTGTTGGGAAATCATAAGAACCATATATCTGCTATTTTGCCAGCCTAGCATGGGGGAGTTTTATCTGTTATTTTTCTCCTATAATTTCACTACACCTTGCACAGTTCAATAACTTCTTGTTGTATTGCTACATTTCCTCAGATCATTTGTTGTGCCTTGTAACTTCTAATCACATGTATATATACTTTATATAGATTCTAATTCTGCTTAGTATTAGATATGCTTGAAAAACAACCACAGTGTCAGGGAAGTGTTACAACTATTGATGTAAAAGCAACATTGACTGGGTTTTTATTTACATAATTTATACTCTGCACTGTCAATATATTTTTTGTGTTCCCAGGGCAGATAACAAAGTAGAATTGCAGAATAATTCTAGGCCAGAGGTAGATTTAGGGTAGCACGACTGGTTCCACCACACTGAGTGCTGAGCCTAAAGGGCAATGCAGAGTACCTTGAATGTGATGTAGTAAACTGAGCAGAAAAGAAGGCGGGGGCATCAAATTTTGGCCTTGCACAGGATGCTGTTGAAATTTGAAAGACCAAAGTCCACCCCTGGGAATAGAATACCATATTTTTCGCTGTATAAGACACACTTTTCCCCTCCTAAAAGGTAAGGGGAAATGTGTGTGTGTGTCTTATGGAGTGAATGTAGGCGGGAGGCTCTGCTCAGTGTGGAGCTTGTGTGCAGCTCTTGGGGGCTTTTCCCCGAGGAGGGAGAAGGGCAGCCCGTCAGTCCCTTCTCCCTCCTCGGGGAAAAGCCCCCAAGAGCCGCACACACGTTCCGCGTGCTCTTTAAAGGGAGCGCGGCTCTTGGGGGAGCCTTCCTCCCACTGCCCACGATTCCTGGCTCATAGGACAGCTGCGAGCAGCATCTTCTTGCCCATGTCTTGCCCATGTCTGTGAACCCTTTCAATACTATTCCACTGCGAGGAAGATGTGTGGGAGATACACTGGGTAATGTGAAAGACCTCATAGTTTGGCCCAACTGAAAGTTGTTGTGCTCTGCACACTTAGCTTGAGAGTCAGCTATGCCAAACCTCCTGCTGGATCAGCAAGCATAAGGTCAATTGCATTTCAAGTATTTTATCTCCAATACATTTCATGTATTTTTATTTAATGAGCTTGTAGATCCGTCTGAAATTCAGTGAATGTTGTATTGCCAATTGTCCTGTGTCTTCCCACATGTATGCCTTTAAAAAAACAAAATCCCTAAAAAACCCCTGATGTGAACCTCTGTTCTGCAAATAGCACTTCCATCACTATTCACATTGTGTGCACCTCTTATCAATTGAGCCATTTGCTTGCATGTCTGTATAATCTGGGTTATTCTATTATGTGTCCAGAAAAAGGCTGACTGTTATTGGAGACAGGCGGCTATTCTGCATGGCTCATTGTTTTGACACAGTATGGTAGTTAGTTCCTATTATGCTGATCAGTGCCTTGCATTATTTTTCCATTCACGAGCTCCATAAGTGCTTTCCTTGAGTTGTCTTGTTCTGACCTACAGTAAGAGCTGGGCTCTCAGTGAGATACATGCTTTCTATTTTTATTCACTGGGGGACTGAAGTATTGGAAAACCTGTCCATTTGGACTGGGGGGAAGGGGGTTAAGAGGGAGGGAGTGCTTCCTGTCACTGACAAGTGATTTCCCCAGCTAATTCTTTAGCTGAAGTCTGTGAAGCTGCACTGTGGGGACACCAGGAAAAATGCTTTTGTTCAGTGTCTTAAAACCACAGATCAGCCATCCATAACCATAGAGTCTGAATGGCGAGAAATACTTGGTGAACATTCTGATTGTACTGACATCGGAGCTACAACTTTCTCCCCTGCTGTTCCAATTGAACTGTGCAATTTCTGTTTCGCACCTCAGGTCTAAGGCAGCCCATGCCCCGCAAAGGTTCAGAAGTGATCAAAGCTTTCATTAAAACCCAGTCTGAAAAAAATAAATTCCACGTGGTGTGGCATGTAATCTCTAAATGGGATTTTTGTTTTCCCTCTATAACAGTAACATTGATTCAAGGCCAGTGGTCTCGTCTGGCTAAAAACATTAACACAATATATTCAGGCTGCTGTTTGTTACACAAAGCATTTCTTTCAAAGGGCATTCTCTTCTCCCTTGCCCCCTCACATCACTATTTCTGCCGTTTAAAAGCATCCGAGAATGAACGTGAACCTTGGATGTGAAATTCTTGCCTCCTTCAAAGCATTGTTTGCCTCTTTATTTTTATATGTCATTAGAAGGATGTTACTACAAGGCAAGAGGAAGTTGGGGGTCTATATGCATCAGAGCTAATTTGCAAATACATAGAGGACTCACAATCTGCTGACTATTCAGAGTCCTATTCACTTGTTGTGAGCAGAAGATTCATTAGGGAGCTTTGCTGACTCTGACATCTGTTAAGCCCCTTGTGGTGTGATGTCTGCAGTAAACATATTGTTCATTCCATCAAAAGCAATACTTACAGCAGAATTCTGTTCATGTCTACTCAGAAGTAAATCCAGTTGCGCTCAGTCGGACTTGATCCCAGCTGAGTGTGTGTAGAATTGCAGCCTTTAGTTATAGGCAAATAAGTATTCAGAATAGCCAGGCAAGGACACATCATAAAATGCTTGAACATTCTACTTTTCCCAGAAGGGACCAAATGTCTCCCTCTCTTTTTATGATTTTTTTTTTTTTAAACCAAAGAGCATCTTTCAGAGTACATCTACCAAAATTCTATGGATTCCATTTTAATTAGGAATACTTAAGCAAAGAGTTAGCATTCAGTGCAATGAAAGCTAATGGTACCATCTCATTTGACCTCTCTGAAAACATACATGTTCTGTGATGGAAGATACATTATTTTAGGTAACAATGTAGAGGAAGAGTCAGAGCCATTCTTCCTTCATTACCTATGCCTTCATTTATTATTTCAGTATGCAAACCTTACACAAAATGGATGATGTTGCCATCACGGTAAATGATCCATAAACCAGGAACAGCATAAAATCTATCACATTGTAAAAGGTCACTTGACTGCCTGACTAGAGTGTTAAAATCTGACCTGTGGAAATTAACTTTCTGAGCAAAAGGGGCAGTTCAGCTGTTCCTTCACACCTAACTCTCTCAACAATGCCATCAGTAGAATAATGTGTCTGTAGAAACAATTGGCCCCATCTGGTTTAGTATTTCATCATTGTTCCAGAGTTGTAGGGGTTGGCAGAAAAGGAACAGGGAGGAATAGACACAGGGATGGAGGTGAAAGTAAAAACGGGGGTACAAAGGGGGCTGCTGAGGGATGGGATAGAAGGAGACCACTAGTGCCACCCTTCATCCATAAATGACAGGCTGGTTTACAATATAAAAACACAAAAATATATAGCATAATAGCAAACAAAATCAATTACCCCCACAGTTTAAAAGGGCATAGATTGTTCGATTAGCCAAAGATAAGAGGAATGTTTTTGCTTGGTGCCTAAAGATAGGTAACAAACGCACCAGGCAAGCCTCCCTGGTGGGGAACCACCACAGAAAAGGCCCGTTTTCATGTTGCTGCCTCCTGGACCTTTCACAGAGTAGGCATATGAAGAAGGACCTTAGGTGATGATCACATGGTCCAGATCGTTTCATATGGGGAGAGGTGGTCCTTGAGACATTGTGTAAATATAAAGGTATGTGGATTATATTCAAGAGCCTTTTTTTTTTTTTTTGCTTTTGGAACCCTTCTGTAGTTGCCCAAATCCCATATTTCACACTAGAATCTCCTGTGGCAGAAAATGTTTATAAGTAAAAAAAATTCCATAAAAATGTCAGAGCTTTTACACCAATTGATTTGAACACCGACACATTTGTTATCCGGCATTGCTGTGCTCCTTTCCATAGGTTTTTAAAGTGTATGTGTGTAGGGTGTGTTTTTGCACTCTTTTTGTCAAGGTTGATTCATTCATTCATTCTTTAAAAATTAATTTTGTGCCTGGCTTCTTTTCTGGGTGCTGGACTAATTGCCGTTTGGGTATCTGGATGACATTCCCTTCACAATCACAATACGAGTGCTAATTAATCTCACTTCTGTTCTCAGAGAAAGGAGCACCAATAAGAATGCTGCCAAACGCCACAAAGAAAGAAGAAAATGGCAGAAGCCTTTTGTGGGCAGCTGCTCCAAGGCTGATGAGCATTACATTGAAAAATAGATACATGCTAACTATTGAGTATTTACAACAACAGTCTCTTACATGGCACACAATCACACCAAATTTGTCGTCCCCGTCCCCCCGAGCTTTCATGTTATCATCTTTGTTCAATCTTATTTGAAAACACTAGTATTTCGTATGCCAGGGAAAAGCAAGATGGGACTCCAGAGTGAGTTTATTAGAAGAGCTATCCTTAAGGAAGCTAGACTGTCTTAAGGGAAACAAACAAAAAAACCTGTCCTGCAAACCTTACAATTCATTTTCTTTCCTTCTGTTTTTGCAGGTCAGAAAATCCTTCACCACAGAAGTGATGTCTTAGAAACTGTAGTCCTCATCAACCCTTCCGATGAAGCTGTCAGTACTGAGGTAAATTCATCAATAATGTATAAATGAATGCATTGTACACAGCAGACATAAAATAAATAAATATCATAAGAGCCAGGACATTGATGTCCATCTCTGAAATCTGGGCTGACATTTTTATGGCCCACCAATGTCTTGAAAACAGACATTATTTTGAAAATAAAATAAAATATAAGAATCCTCTGCTTCCCATTATCTGCCTTTTCCTTGTCAAAGTTCTGTTTGCCTCTTTATGAAGCAAAACCATACCAAGAAACTTGCCGGGTCAGACCAAAGGCCTACTTAGTTTTTCACCATGTTTTCTAAAGTGGGCAACCAGAGGCCTATGGGAAGTCCACAAGAAGAAGAAGAGTTTGGATTTGATATCCTGCTTTATCACTACCCTAGGGAGTCTCAAAGCAGCTAACATTCTCCTTTCCCTTCCTTCCCCACAACAAACACTCTGTGAGGTGAGTGGGGCTGAGAGACTTCAAAGAAGTGTGACTAGCCCAAGGTCACCCAGCAGCTGCATGTAGAGGAGGAGCGGAGATGCGAACCCGGTTCACCAGATTACAAGTCCACTGCTCTTAACCACTACACCACACTGGCTCTCACAAGTAGGCTGTGAGGGCAATAGCCATTTCCTGTTGTTTCTCAACAACCTCTCCTCAGAGGCCTCTGATCCTAGAGATACCATATTAACCATAATTGACTAGGAGCCTTCTATTCCATGAATTCGTCTATTCCCCTTTTAGAATCATCAAATTGATTACAACCATGGTTGAACTTGTGGGAGCGAACTTCATAGTTTAACTATGTGGTGTGTGATGTCCCTCCTTTTGTCCATCCGGTCCATCTTCAAACATTCAGTTTCATTGGATCACCCTGGGTTCTAGCATTATGAGAAAGGAGAAAAACCTCTATCACTTTCTCTACACCATTTTATAAGCTTCTGTCATGTTCCTCCTTGCACACATATTTTTTGAAACTAAAAAGCCCCAAACGCTGTAACCTGTAAGAGCTGTTCGATCATGGAACAGACTCCCACAAGAGGTAGCGGACTGCTCTGTAACTTTGCACATCCATCTGGTTCCCTTTTTAAAAAATTGATGTCTGCTGGTACAGAGGCCAATCTTAGTACATTTGAGAACTCTCAGGTAGATATCAACCAAACCTGGTGGCTTGTTAATTTTTGGCTTGTCAATAAGGTATTTAATTTCATCTCTTGTCACCAATATTTGTATCAGCTCTTCAGATTCTGTTCCTGAAAAGGTCAGTGTAGGCTGTACACCTTCTATAGTGAATACTTTGCTGCAATCTTATCAGCTTCTTTTGACTCTCTTCTTATCCAAATATCTAATTTTTCTACTGAACAGGGGTTTTTGCTTCTGATGTATTTAAACATGTTTTTTTTTACTTGTATGAATATTTTTAGCAACATGTTTCTCAATTTTTATTTTTGCATCTGTATTATCTGTTTGCATTTCTTTAGCCAAAATTTGTGTTTCCTTTCACTCTGCTTATTTGAACAGAACTTCCAACTTCTTGTCTCTTAATAGCAGCAGACATAAATATTTCAGTTTACAAATAGATAAACATTCTCTAAGTCAGTATCTGGAGAAAGAGAGAGAGAGAGAGAGTTTCTACACATGTTGCCTGTATGCCATCTATAGCCATCAAGAAATAAACAGGGTGCAGGAATATCAGCAAAGTGGAGGTGCTGGGGTTTTTTTTGCTGAAAAAGCTAATGGCTTTGTACAAAAGCTTATGGCGACTTTCCCAGAGCTTTTGTGCCAAACACAGGAAACAATAAAACAAGATAATTCAATTTTTAATAGTTTTAATGCAATTAAAACAGGTGAGATTTAAGTGGCACTCATCTGATTGTTGAGTGCTATCTATTTTTGTTAAAAAAAATGCATGCAGAAAATGGACTTGACCCCATCAAGGGTAATGTTACATTTTTATATCCCAATACAATTAGTGACAAACCATAATGGGATTTCTTTTCTCTGCTGTTCCATGTGTTTTAGTGAATGCCTTTGAATTATCTGTGGAAGGTGAGTCCTTGAACAGAAATTCAGGGCAGTCCTGATTTTTTTCATGGCATGCTTTTTTAAAAAAGCATTTGATTGTTTGACTGTTTATATACAGATAAAGATAGCTTGCTGAGAAAGTATTTTGAGAGAATTCAGTTGATTCACCTAGCAGAAATAGTTCGTGTATGACAAAGTGAATCTATTGAATACACTTGAGAAATAATGGCAGAGCATGGGGGATAGTAATACAGTAGTGACAAGTAACTGAGAAAACATATTTTTGATGGTGTTTGCTTTTGATCTAAAGAAAGCCATTCTGCTTGTTAAGTAATCTGCTTTGAATATGTTTTTATTTTTATTTTCCCAGGCCTTCTAAACGTTAAATGATTTCAGTTTATAGGCTGCATTTGTTTTTCTGCTGCTTCAACTTGATAGGTTTAACTTTGTCATTTTCACTGTGCTACTGCTTCTATTTTTGGTTATAGTTCATTTTGGGATAGATTTTTAAGATTTTTGTTCCAGTTTAAGCTGCCTTGAAAGCTGAGCTTATAGAGTTCTGTTCTGTCCTGTTGTGCACCATATTTTACAAACCCTCTTCCCCCATCTCTGTTTGGGGATAAATAAAATGCAAAGCCAGTTGCATGCATGTTTATTTAGGTCAAGTAGAAGTGATAGTCCCTGTAGAAAGCAGGAGATATTTTAAGGGCATTTTTTGTTTTAATCCTTTTCTACAGGTTCGCTTAATGATCACAGATGCTGCAAGACACAAACTCCTGGTACTAACTGGGCAGAGTTTTGAAAATACAGGCGAGCTCATTCTTCAATCAGGCTCCTTCTCATTTCAGAATTTTATTGAGATCTTCACTGACCAGGAGGTTTGTATTTCACTACTCTCTATTCTAATGTCTTCTTCAATATTAGTTATTTGCACGTTTAATTTGTAGATTTATGTGCTGAACATTCTCAAAGAAGGTGGCAATAAAATAACAATAACAAACATACTAACAAAGCAATCCTGTGGTGGGCAGAGAAGAATCGGGGCATAGCAGCTGTTGTTTCCTGTGTCCTACCAAGCTCACGCTGGCCAGGGCATGAAATGGGGGCGGGGGGTGCTGGAGAGGAGACAAGTTTACCTACTCCAGGACTGGCTTATTTCCCTTCCCTTCTCGAGGGCACATCGCAGTGATCAGGGGAACCACTCATTATATGATACCCCTCTTGTGGAATCAGGGGTGCCAACTTGAATGTAATAGGGGGGGCAGGTAAGCCCCACCTGCACAATCAATTTCAAGATGCAATACCCATCAACAGTGAGGGAGGGCTCGAATATTTTTGGAGGTGGTGCTGAAGGGACCTTGGCCCCTAGGAGTTGGCTCCTCTGTTTGAAATGCTCTCCCCAGGGAAACTCACCTGATGTCATCATTACTTATATTTAGGCACCAAGCAAAACTATTTCTATTCTGGCACACCTTTGGTGTTTAATTGTCTGTGGCCTTCAGTAGGTGGGATCTTTTAGTCCTGCCTTTTAAGAAATATGAATGAGTTTTAGATTTCCCCCTGTTTTGTTTTATGCTGGTTTTACTGTACGGTATACTGTTTAATTACTATTGTAAGTAGCTTTGAATTACTTCTGTGAAAGGGAGGATAATAAGTTCAGTAAATAAAAAGTTGGAGAGGATCAGGATATGTTGGTGCTTTCCCCACGCATTTCCCCGAGGTATTTGTTAAATGTTCGGAAAGTTATACCATAACCCTTTATATTACAAAGTAGACACTCAACCGAGGTTCTATGACCCACACAGTGATCCTTTTTCAAGTATTTTTCTCTATGCATCCCAGGACGTTGTTTGAAACAAAGCTAAAAGGTGGATGTGAAAGAAATTCTTCCCCAGTTCCCCCCACCTATGTGTATATTGTAGGGAAATCTGTCTTTAAAAATGATTTGCATCATTCACAATTGATTGGATTGAAGGCTTATTCTGGACTTTAAACACTGATGTCTCAAAGTGGAAATTGAACCCAAATCACTGGAATTTGAACAGATACAAACACAGATATTTCCGGAGTTTTTGTTTGAAAAACAGGAGGGATTGAAAGAGATTATATATTAAATCAAAAGGGTATGGTGGTGGCCTGGACCTTGAGCCTACTATACATCATTGTTAATCTTGTTCTATGGACAACAGTATACATGATTTGTGAGTTTTACTCCCTAATATTCAAAACATCAACATTCCAAAACTGAAAGAATCCATATCTGCTATCTACAGAGATGGACTATCTGTCAAGTAGTCACTAGGGCTGTTCTTAATTCTTTCTGTTTCTCTAGACATTATGTTGGCTTGCAATTAATGTACAGTGTCTGCAAATTCCTGAAAGGCAAAGAACCCATCGTAAACAGACTGTCAAGCTGAATTATGTATTTTTATAGCACTGATACATAGGCACAGACTGAATCCAAGGAAAGTTTAACAGATCTAAGCCTCAGTCAGACCAATATTAAGAGAAATCTGGTCCCATAATATGGGATACTTATGGAACATATGGGGTACTTTAGGAAATTATCATAATCATAGTTATATTTATACCTTGCCTTTTTCCACGACGGTACTCAAGGCGGCTTACAGATAAAAACAAGAACCTCTAAAAATATAGAAAACTCAATCATTAAAATACAATTAAACATCAATAGAATTAATACTATATGCACATATTTAATCTGTTTTAAACATACCAATAATTACAGTAAAAACAGTATGGCACCAGACCTTTCATTAAAAGAAGTAAGTTCCCAGTAGCCTACTGGAACAAGGTAGTCTTCACCTGCCAGTGGAAGGAAAGCAAGGAAGGAGCCAGTTTAGCTTCTCTAGGGAGGGAGTTCCAAAGTATGGGAGCAGCCACCGAGAAGGCCCTCTCCTTTGTCCCCCACCAAGTGTGTTTGTATGAGTTCAACTAAGGCAGCATGCTCTTCAAGATTTCTGGTTTGGTTGTGGGAAACAGACCAAACAAACAAATCAATCAATCAATCAATCAATCAACCAATCAATCCCTTGCCTGATTTCTATATGTAAGTTACCTTGCAAAGTTAGTTTTCAAAAACACACACACACAAAAACAGTTGCATCATGCTTCTTTATTCCTAACAGTTCCTAGAACATTTTTTAAGTATTAGCTTCATGCAAACTATAAATATGTATCTAGACTTGCAGTTTTTCATGCATAGTAGACAATCTGCGGCTACTTACTGGAATATTGCCCACGAAAATATACCTTATTAAAGAGTTATACTGATCGCTTTGACATGAAGTCTCACATTGTTTCTCTTCTTAGCAACAAACAACCCAGCCACCCATTTTATGAGCCTGGCCAGTTTTTTCTAATTTAATATGCTAATTTCTTTTATCAGATGTCTACTTTGCAATCATTGAGGCAGGCTACTTCAGGATTCTGTCTCAAGGACATACACATATCTGTTTTGGAAAAAATGAGAAGCAACATTGAAAGAAAATGAAATTTGATAAAGTTACAGGTCTGCTGATACCCCAGTTTTGCATACTAAAAAATGAACATGGCTTCTATTATCAATATGTCATAACATTTAAAGAAAAAACCTAGATCATGTCTTATAAATGCTTCTGTATCATTATATTCTAGAAAACCTGGTGCCTTTTATTGGCTTTCCTCTTGTATCTTGCAGTGTTTATTCTCCTGAGTGTTTGCTACCCTATTAAATAATAGTGTTTTAGTTTCTCTGCTTGACATTTGGATAAGATCTATTTATATCCCATAAGATGGTAATATACACAGTTTTAGTGACATATGAAGACAAAACAGCTGTTCGGTCTTCTTTATTTTCTTTTTGTTACTATTTTCTTTTTATATAGATGTTGGGTCTCTCAGGAGCAAAACATCTGCTCTATGACTTTGATAACAGTTACTTTCAAAATAAATAATAAAAAATACTATATATTAAAATACATAACAAGTGCTTGAATCTCCAAAGGAAATAAATATGTGCTTATGGTTATTTATAGTTCTTTCCCATTCTGCTAGCTAATTAAATTTGTGGGCCAGGATTCTTGGCATGACCAATTAATTCCTTGATCTAAACCATCCCTTTAGTGTACTGAATTTTTATTTTATTTTATGGCATTTGTCTCCTGCCTTTCTATACACATAAACAGAGAAGCTTATAACCATAAAACAATAATCAAACAGCAATGAAGCGACAAGCAATTTTTTAATGCAATAAAGAAACAAGCAGTGTGCTTCTGATTATCAGTTGCTGGGCATCGCAGGAGGGGGGAGAGTGTTATTGTGATCAAAAAAAGATATGAAAAAATACTAAAAGCAGCAACCAGCAATAAAAGAAATATAAATATCCCCCAGTGCCCACTAGACCAATACCAGTTTTACTGCTCCTCTAAAAGCAAGCAAGGATTGGGACAGGCATACCTCTGGGATGGGGCAGTGATGCTCACCTGACCTGTCAACAGCACCATGGCTTACTGGGGTGTAAAAGGGCAAGGCGGTGATGAGGTCTTCATGGTGCAAGAACATAGAGCCAATCCTGTATTCCTACTTGCACATTTGTACCTCTCTCCCCCACTAAATCACAGCAGTACTGGTGGCAGGAGATCAGGTAAGTGCCACCGCCCTGCCCCACCAACTGCAACTATCTATGTCTCTTGCCACCTGTCAGTGATCTGAATCATAGCCTCCTCTAAACTGTCTCTTGAATCCAGTTCTTTGTGTGCACTACACACACAACCCTGAGATGCAAGTTTACTCAATCATTTAAATGAAGAAAACAGCAATGTGTGCACAGGTATGCATGTCCAAGTGCTTCCTCTGTTGTAGTAAATGGAGAATCCGTTGGGGGAGAATTCACTGCATATATTGGAGTCTGAATGAATAAGAGAAATGTATTTTTTTTAAAAAAAATTAGCACGATCCTGCCTTTCTTCTTCAAATAGAGTACATTAAGAAGTCTTCCTTATTTTGAGGCTTTAGGGAGTCCTGAGAACTGCCTTTTAGTTTTATGAAAAGTAAGTACAATTTAGTGTAAATTGACACATAACATTCCCCTTTATGTTTTGCACCCCAGATTGGAGAGTTATTGAGCACGACTCATCCTGCCAACAAAGCCAGCTTAACGCTTTTCTGCCCTGAGGAAGGGGATTGGAAGAATTCAAACCTAGACAGACACAACCTTCAAGATTTCATCAACATTAAGCTAAACTCTGCCTCTATCTTGCCTGAAATGGAAGGACTTTCTGAATTCACAGAGTACCTGTCAGAATCAGTGGAAGTGCCATCACCTTTTGATATCTTGGAGCCACCAACATCAGGAGGTTTCCTGAAGCTTTCAAAACCTTGCTGTTACATTTTCCCAGGTGGAAGAGGAGATTCTGCACTATTTGCAGTCAACGGATTCAACATGCTCATCAACGGCGGGTCAGAAAGAAAATCTTGTTTCTGGAAACTCATTCGACATTTGGACAGAGTGGATTCAATTCTGCTCACCCACATTGGAGATGACAACCTGCCAGGGATTAATAGCATGTTGCAACGGAAAATAGCTGAATTAGAAGAGGAACAGTCTCAAGGCTCCACTACCAACAGTGACTGGATGAAAAATCTAATTTCACCTGATTTAGGAGTTGTATTCCTTAATGCCCCTGAAAGCCTAGGAAACCCCGATCCTAATTTTCAGTTAAAAAGAAGTGTAGAGGAGGCTTGCTTTACCCTGCAGTACTTAAATAAGCTGTCTGTGAAACCAGAGCCTCTTTTTAGAAATGTGGCAAACAGCACTGAGCCTATTATCCTTTTTCAGAAAATGGGAGTAGGTAAGCTTGAGATGTATGTGCTCAACCCAGTCAAAAGCAGCAAAGAGATGCAATATTTTATGCATCAGTGGACGGGTACAAGCAAAGATAAAGCTGAGCTGGTGCTACCAAATGGTCAGGAGGTAGACATCCCAGTTTCCTATTTGACTTCCATCTCATCCTTGATTGTATGGCATCCTGCAAACCCTGCTGAAAAAATAATCAGAGTTCTTTTCCCAGGAAACAGTACCCAATATAGCATATTAGATGGACTAGAAAAACTCAAACATTTAGACTTTCTTAAGCAACCAACAGTTACACAGAAAGACCTAACGGGTAACATGGTGAGCCCAGCAGTAAAACAAACTAAACTGAAGCAGCGAGCAGAGAGTAAGGAAAGTCTTAAGCCTGCTGCAAAATCCCTGTCTAGCAAGACAGTCAGAAAAGAATCGAGAGAGGAGGCGTCTGACACAGGGAAGACTAGCCCACCTGAAAAGACTCAAAGGGTAGAAAGTAAAGAAAAAACAACCACAAAAAAGGACAAACCAGCAAAAGCTGAGACTAGGCTTTCTGTGACAGAAAAGGATCTGACAGCTAAGGAACAGCAGCTGTCAAAATCTGAAACAATTGAAAAACAAGCAGCAGATGTCAAACCAAAAGTAGTAAAGGAGAAGCATGTGAGAAAGGAAGTGAAAGTAAAATCTGAGGAAAAGCAAGAGGAGAAAGAAAAGCCAAAGAAAGAGGTGTCTAAGAGAGAAGAAAGGATAGTGGCTAAGAAAGAGGAAAAGCCTAAAAAGGAAGATACCAAGAAAGATGTGAAGAAAGAATCTAAAAAAGAATCAAAGAAAGAAGCTCCCCCAAAAGAATCTAAAAAAGAAGAGAAAAAGGAGAGCAAAAAAGAAGAAAAGAAGGAGCCCAAAAAGCTTCTCAAAGAAACAAAGAAAACATCTGCCTCTCTGCCGGAGTCGAAAAAGACTACAACAAAGCCAAAGCCACAAAAGAAGGAAGAGTCTGTCAGAAAAGAAAGTGGGCTTGTTGGGAAACCAAAAGAAAAAGTTAAAAGCAAGACAGCAAAGAAAGAGATCAAGGTTGCCGAAACGCCTGCTGCAGTGGCTGCTTTGGGAGCTGTCGCTGCAACCGTAGCAGCTGTAGGTGTTGCAGCTGCTGGAAAAGAACTCGAAGCGGAGAGGTCCCTTATGTCTTCACCAGAAGATTTAACCAGAGACTTTGAAGAACTAAAAGCTGAAGAAGTTGAAGTAGTAAAGGAAACAAAGCCTCAAGTAGAGATAATAGAAAAAGAAGGCAAGTTAACTGATATAGAACAAAAGGATTATGAAGTTCAGAAAGAAAAAACAGAAGGGCCTGCTGATTCTCCTGATGAAGGCATAACTACCACTGAACCTGAGGGTGAATGTGAACAAACTCCTGAAGAGCTGGAGCCTGTAGAAAAGGACAGGGTTGATGACAATGAAAAGTTTGAGGATGAAGGAACAGGTCTTGAGGAATCTTCTGAGGCAGGGGACTATGAAGAAAAGGCTGAGACAGAGGAAGCCGAAGAACAAGTTGTCAATGAGGAAGAAGAGGCACCACTAGGCCTCAGAAAACAAGACCTGAAGGATAAAATAGAAACTGGGGAGACTGACAAAGAAATGGCTGGAGCATTTGAGCATGAAAAAGCTAAAGATTTGAGATATGATGAAAAAGCAGAATTTAGAGCAGAGGGTGAAGAGCGAGATGAAGAACATGTAGATGAAATGGTTGAAAAGGCAGAAACAGAAGAGAATGAGGAGGAAGACAAAACTGAGGATGTCAGAGATGAAGATGAAACTGAAAAAATAGAAGCTGAAGAGGATTATGTTATGGCTGTGGTGGACAAAGCAGCAGAAGCTGGTGAGATTGATGATAAATATGGCATGCACCTAACCACTCCAGCTAAGTACTCAGAACCTCCATCTCCTGCTAAAGAACCAGCATCTTCAATCCATGATGAAACGCTACCTGGTGGTTCAGAAAGTGAAGCAACTGTTTCAGATGAAGAAAACAGAGAAGACCAGCCTGAGGAATTCACTGCTACTTCAGGTTATACCCAGTCCACCATTGAAATATCCAGTGAGCCAACTCCAATGGATGAAATGTCAACTCCAAGGGATGTGATGAGTGATGAGACTAATAATGAGGAAAGTGACTCCCCTTCCCAAGAATATGTTAACATTACCAAGTATGAATCAACACTGTACTCTCAAGAAGTTACTAGGACTAAACTTTCTCCCCTTCCTGATGCTTTCAATGGGCTATCTGAAGGATCTAAAACAGATGCTACTGAGGGAAAAGACTATAATGTTTCAGCTTCTACAATTTCACCGTCTTCTTCCTTAGAGGAAGACAAATTTGGCAAATCTTCCTTCCAAGATCTGTACCGCCAACGAGAAAGTGAAGTCAAGAGTACTAGTAAACTAGAAATTTCAGAAGCTTTGGATGACAAGCATAGCCCAACTAGGAGTCTAGATGAAAGTCCAACCCCTCTGTCACCTGTTGCTAAAACACCTCTAAGTGAACGTAGTGTGAACTTTTCACTGACTCCCAATGAGATTAAAGTGACATCAGAACCTGCAGCTCTCACAGCACTCTCTGAAAAACATGAAACCCATGAAGAGCACTGCCCCAGCCCCGATGATAAAACATTAGAAGTGGTGTCCCCTTCACAATCAGCTGCTGGTAGTGCTGGACACACACCATATTATCAATCTCCCACAGATGAAAAATCAAGTCAACTTCCTTCTGAAACTACTGGAAAAGCAGATGCTTCATTCAGCTTCGAAGTTAGTGATACCAAAGATAATATTACAAAACACAGACTAAGCCCAATGGATGAACCAGTGCCTGACTCTGAATTGCCTTCTGAAAAAGTGCTCTCACCTTTACGAAGTCCCCCACTGATTGGTTCAGAGTCTTCCTCTTATACATTTTTGAGTGGTGATGTAATATCTTCTGCTAGGGATACTGACAGTCCCTTTGAAAAGAAGAGTGAAAGAGATGGTTCTCCTTCACAGAAGAGCCCAGTTTCTGATGTTGCTTCTACAAACCTTTTCCAAGAACAGCAAGTTGAAAACGATGTACAGCTTTCACCAACAAAACTGGACTTTGTCCTAGAAAAGAAAAGGGATGACTTAGAAACTTCAGAAACTCAGCCTTCATTGGTTTTGGATGAAAGGAAGCTAGGAGAGGTTTCTCCTACACAGGTAGATATTAGTCATTTTAGTTGTTTCAAAGAAGACACCAAGATGTCAATCTCTGAAGGTACAGTCTCTGATAAATCTGCAACACCTGTTGATGAAGTTGTAGCAGAAGACACTTATTCACATATTGAAGGAGTTGCCTCTGTTTCCACAGCATCTGTTGCTACTAGTTCATTCCCAGAACCAACCACTGATGATGTATCTCCTTCACTGCATGCTGAAGTTGGATCCCCACATTCTACTGAAGTAGACGATTCTCTTTCTGTATCTGTTGTTCAGACACCAACAACATTTCAGGAAACAGAAATGTCTCCATCTAAAGAGGAGTGCCCAAGACCTATGTCCATTTCTCCCCCAGATTTCTCCCCTAAAACAGCAAAATCAAGGACACCAGTTCAAGATCACAGGTCTCCTGAGCAATCAACTATGTCAGTAGAATTTGGGCAAGATTCTCCTGAGCAGTCTTTGGCAATGGACTTCAGCAGACAGTCTCCTGAGCATCCAATAGTAGGTGCTGCTATGCACCATATATCTGAAAATGGTCCAACTGAAGTCGATTATAGCCCTACAGACATGCAGGAGCACTCTTTTGCAAATAAAATATCACCAGTGGAACAAGCATGTTTTGGCAATGATAAGGATATTTCTGAGATTATTTCAGTATCTCAGATAGAAGCTTCACCCTCTTCCTCCTCTGCTCATACACCATCACAGGCAAGTTCTCCACTACAAGAAGAAACTATATCAGGTGTCACTCAGCCTAGTGATATGCCCTTACATTCTGCATTTCCATCAGAAAAAGTGAACAGCCTTGGAGAAAAACTTTCACCAAAATCTGATTTATCTCCACTAACACCACGGGAATCTTCTCCTCTATACTCACCTGGTTTTTCAGATTCACCTCCTGTGATGAAAACAACTACTGCCGCTTGCCACTCACCTCCATTATCATTGCACATGTCCCCCGACAAATCATTTGGTTATCATACCTCAATAGTTGAAGACCCTTTAACAAAACATAGCCAAGAGCTCTTAGCCTTTACGGACCAGGAAGACATTCAGGAAACAACCAGATCGCCTGAAGCTCTTAAATATTCTTATAATGGAACTGGAAAAACTACCAGATCACCTGAGGCTGTTAGTTATTCCTATGACAAAACAGAGCACACCACTGGATCCCCTGAAGCTCTTGATTATTCCTATGTTGCGACAGGGAAAACCACCAGATCACCTGAGGCGGATAGTTACTCCTATGAAACAACAGAGAAAGTCACCAAGTCACCAGAAGCCTTTGATTACTCCTATGAAAAATCCACCAGATCATCTGAGTCTGTCAGCTACTCTTATGAGACCACTGGAAAAACACACATATCTCCTGAGGCAGTCAGCTTTTCTTATGAGACCCCTGGGAAAACTAGCAAGTCATCTGAGACTGTCAGTTACTCTTATGAAGTGAGTGGGAAAGCTATGAGATCCCCGGACACTGCTAGCTACCACCATGAGGCTGATAAGTACTTTGTTTCAGAAAAACCAGAAACCCGTCAAGATGTTGATTTGTGCCTCGTTACATCTTGCGAATACAAGCATCCCAAAACAGAACTTTCTCCCTCCTTTATCAACCCTAACCCCTTGGAATGGTTTGCTAGTGAAGAACAGTCTCAAGAGCAAGAGAAGCCGTTGACTCAGTCTGGAGGAGCACAGCCTCCTTCAGGGGGGAAACAGCAGGCACGCCTGTGTGGAGAAACTCCCCCAACCTCCGTCAGCGAATCTGCCCCATCACAGACGGATTCAGACGTGCCGCCCGAAACAGAAGAGTGTCCTTCTATTACAGCAGATGCTAACATTGACTCGGAAGATGAATCTGAAACTATTCCAACAGATAAAACCATTACATATGAACACATTGACCCTCCGCCAGTCCCCATGCAAGATCGCAGTCCATCGCCTAGACACCCTGACGTCTCCATGGTAGACCCAGAAGCCTTGCCTATCGATCAGAACTTAGGCAAACCATTGAGGAAGGATCTAAAAGAAAAGACAAAGACGAAAAAGCAGGGCACTAAGACCAAGTCTTCCTCTCCTTCCAAGAAGAGCGATGGCAAATCAAAACAGGTGGCTTCACCAAAGCCTGCTGGCTTGAAGGATTCGCTGGATAAAGTTTCCAGAACAGCTTCTCCAAAGAAGAAGGAGTCCGTGGAGAAAGCTGCCAAAAATGTCTCTACTCCAGAGATAAAATCTTCCCGTAATGAGGAGAAAGATAAGGAGACAAAGAATGCAGCCAACTCTACAACATCGAAGTCGGCAAAGACCGCAACTGCAGGTAAGAAGAAATGGCAAGGTTAATTCCAAAGAGCAGGGGAGGGGGAGTCTCCAGCCCTTGGGCCATACATTGGGCAGCCAGCCCCGCCCATCTGCCCCACACCTGACGTCATGTGCAGGCAGACATGTGGCTGCTAAGTGCAAAATCAGGAGCCTCAAAGTGCACTCCTAATTGTGTGCTTTCAAGCAGAAAGCATGCTTTGGCTCTGCTTCTCATCTGCTAATGGCTCGTCTGTGCTAGCGCGATCCCTGTGGGGAACTCTGACACAGTTGATGGCTGCAGGCAGCAGACTTCAGCTCTTCTTCCCATCAGCCACTGGTAAAGCCTCAGATACTTCAAAGCATGACACGGGGCTCTTTGCAAGCCCGGCATCGTGCTTTGAAGCCTCAACTTCAGAACACCCAATCATTTGTTTTCACTGTGACTGACAGGTGGGCAGCCCCACCTGTCAAATATGGCCTTGCAAAGCTAGGAGCAGAGAAGGATCTGGCCAGAAGGATCTAGTCCTACCCTAGATGCAGCACTTGTTTGCTTCAGCTACAGATTCAACCTATGTTGTGAAACGATCATCTAAAGAGAACGTAGCTATGATAGCGGGCCAGTTTGCACATAATGCTAAGGCAAACTAAGGCAAACTGCAATCATGAGGCATCCTGGAGCAAAAATCATGGCTTTTTCCCTTCTCTCCCAGTCCTGCTGCTGCCATGCTACCCAGAGCATGGCATGACTTGGCTTAGCAATATGTGTGAACATATGTGTTCATGGTTTCATCCACTCCGAACAAACTACAAGTTGTAGCCAAGATTGGCTCTTTGCTTACCATTCGTGACTTATTTTGCAGATACATAGCATGAGCTCAGATTTGCATGTAATGCTAAGTGAAACCATGGGCTGATTTTGGGTATTGAAGCAGCAGGGAAGAGCAAAGTGGCTGTTATTTTACCTCTGGGCCCAGACATGCTTGATTGTTCACAGTTATCTATGGTTTGGCTTAATTTTAAGTATGAATTCTGTTGCCTGTTTTTTGTACCTATGCTTATACATTGGTTATTAAAAACAATCATTTCACATATGCAACCATAAACCTACATAAGTTCCTGCTTTTGCTTTCCATAATTTTGATGCCATCCATTGTACAGTTTAACAGTATTTTGATCAAACGTTAATTATTCATGGATATTTGTTTATCCATTTGTTATTGAAGAATGACTGAGAATAGATCCAGATTTGACATGGCAGAAATGCTTGCTATGGATATTTTATATTATTATTATTATTACTTATTTACTTACTGTGTAATGCCATAGAGTTTGGACAATGTGCTGCTACATTTAACATCTGTGTAGGCTCCTATGTCTGCAAATTACACCCACCTCTGTGAAAAGGGAATTATATTATAGCCGCTTTTATATTCCCCTTTATAGTAAATGGGTAGGGGCATAGCTTTTTTCCGATTGTTTTAATTCAGTCCTGAATAACAGGTTGGACTGGGAAGACACACAGTGGCTCAAAAGCAGACAGGGCTGCTTCCCAAAATAGTGATAGAAGTTGAATGTTGTTGTCAATGCACATACAGGTGTTTGAAGCTAAAGGTATGTTACTCACACCTTAGGCAGTAAAAATGCTGCTGCTATGGTTTACATTGTGCTAGTAAAATCTGTTCCAGAAAGAAGGAAAGGCTTAGATACCATGTACATTATTGTTACTTTGGAAAGAATAAGGGTCCAGTTAGCAGGTAAAAGGTTTCTGAGAATGCCTTGACCTATAACATCCTTCATTGTAGAAATGAAACACTGTGTACATTTTAGGCAGCCAAGCAACTGGCTACAAGAAAAGGTCCAGAGGTGCCCATCAAAGAGTTTGGTATTGTATTGATTGCTAGAAGAACTATAGTGAAAAGTGAGGAAGGTGGAATATGTATAAGAGCTATTTCTTGTTTACAGAGTGAAGCCTATGGGCAGATCTTCCTGAATTTTCATGAATGCCTTGAACAGTAGAAATAGCAAAAAGATGGGTGCATGCAAGCATACACATAGATGTAATCCATGTTCATCATGCACTCCCCTGGTGCCTTAGCTCATATTTTCTGAAAGAACTGTGAGCATTAGAAGCTGCTAATTGTCAGCCTTTTAAAAAACCAAACCAAACCAGAATGGCTTTCCCATTTTGCCTTTGGTATCCTGCCTTTTTTGCAGAACTAGCACTGCAGTTAGCATGTGCTATTGCTTCTGTATATCCTATCTCTATTAGCCTTGTATTACCAGTTTCTTTTTCATGAATGGAAGAAGTACAATGGTAGCACAGTACTGTGGTAGCACAATACCCAGCCAGTTCTAGCTTCATTTTGCATATTCTCCTATGCTGTATTTGATTAGCATCCACTGTGATACTGAATCTCCTAGTATTTCTACTTCTTTATATAGGAAGCCATATACTGATTCCCATTCCCCTTCTTGCTTAATTTTTGGGGAGTGTTGTTGTGCAATAGGAGCATTAAACAACAACAAAGATGAATAACATGAGAAATTGCATAATGTTGAATTGTGGCTGGTGAGAATGAGTACTTGACCTCACAAACTTGGAAGGTGCTGAACGTAAACACAACCTACATCTTTTGAACAAGTTGAGCAACTGATCTCCTGATTTCTTCCTGGCCCCTTTCCCAAAAGTTCTTTTTAGAAAAATCTTACTTTCAGTTCTTAAACGCAGTTGCATTGCTGCTCTTATATATCTTGCAAGGTGCTACTGTTCTGCCATGGTTTTGCTTAGAGCTCTCATCCTAATGGTCTGGGTCAACCTTTTCCTGGTTCCAACATCTGAGTGACCTTTGAGCTGGCATTTGGGACAGTAGTTCTTCCAACTTGAAAACTGTATAGTAGAAGGACCTCCTTCAGGAATTTCCCAAAAATTTTGATGTTCCTTAAATTCTGTTGAAGAATCCTATTTTTTTGAATGACAATTTAATAATCACAGTTTCTGCATGACAATTCTTGAATTAACCAATCCTATTACATGATACAAAGTACCTGATGATGAGGGTTTAAAACAAAACTATATAAGAACTGATCAGGTATATTTTCCCCTCTTGTTCTCCTCACTAAGCAGTCTTTGATTCTTTAACTGTCATATTTTAGCAAATCTTTTAAGAGTCAGTAGTATTCATTGGGGAATATGTGTTCCACAGTCAAAGTGTGACAAGCTAGTTCTGTCCAACTTTAAATTACATGTTTTCTAAGGTCACATTTTCTCATCAATAACTCAGACAAGACCCTTGTGTGTGTTTGTGTGCTTTTTTTATTAAGGACCTGGAAATGTAAAACAAACAAAATCTATAGCTGTGCCTCCAGGACCTCCTGTGTATTTGGATCTGGTCTATATTCCCAACCACAGCAACAGCAAGAATGTCGATGTAGAGTTTTTCAAGAGGGTGAGGTCATCCTACTACGTGGTGAGTGGGAATGATCCTGCTGCTGAAGAACCGAGCAGGGCTGTCCTGGATTCTCTGCTGGAGGGCAAGGCTCAGTGGGGAAGCAACATGCAGGTAGGCTCTCCAGTATTTGTGAATTAAAATCTGAAGAGATAAAAAAGTGACAAGGAACTTTGAGAAATCTCCTAAACCAAGATGCTGAGAGGTGCCTCATATTTGATAACAAGTTTCTTCAAGCTTTTTCTGGTCACAGTGACCATCTTGCATGCCATGGTAAAACCAGAATGCATGGTTTATCATTACTATAAAGATCACTCCCATGGAAAAACAAGCACGGACTTAGCATTGTTTCTGAGTCAGGAATCATAGTTTATTTCTCCCAAACAAACCATGGTTGGCAAAACAAGAACAAACCTTGGCTTCACATGGCAATTCAATTGGAGGAAAACAAAGCAGTCTTTAGTTGAGTTGTCAGGACTTCTGCTTTGCTGCTCCGACCCTGCTAGGAGAGGATCAAGTTAGCAATTGTCTGTGTGTTCACTGTAAATCAATAATTATGGTTTACCATGGCATGTGAATACAGCCAGTGGGGAGGAAAGTGTTCTCATAAGCTCACGATTTAAAACAACAACTAGAGCTATATTGAAAATTGTTTTTTCTCTTAATCTTCCACAGTTTGTGTTAATTACTAATCATACGTTTTAACTGACTATTTGCATATTACCAAAACCTTACTGTAGGTGCCTTTTTCAGACTTTGAATGATGTTTAAGTGCAGAACTAGACGCAATGTGGTAGTCCCATGTCTTCAAATGCAAGGCATACCCAATTTTGTGTGTCTACTATATATTTTAATGGTTTCATGTTCTATATCCAAGATTTTGAGTTTGGCTTAAGTACATCTTTAAACATTGTGCTCAATGCTTGGAAACTGGTTTTCTGTGAGCCATTTTGGGGTAACATTTCAATAACCCAACAGCATGGTCAAGCTTTCTCAACTGGATTAATAGGCCTCTGCCATGAGTGTGTCCTTCTATATTATTTTATTTTTAGTTCATTTGCTGTTATTTTCTGCTTTAACTATTTTTACTGTGTTGTGTAGATTGCCTCAAGACACACATGCAGAAGGTAATTAATTAACAATTATAATGGACCGAGGCCAGTTATGGAGAAGCAGCTCTTCCGTGGATGGGGCTAAAGATGCCCTCAGCCATACAAAAATGTGATAGTGTTGCACATCATGTGTTCAGTATTTTGAAAAATGTGGATATGTAGGACGTAGTGCCTAAAATGTCAGAGGCTCCCATTTCACAATTGTAGAGGTTGAAGTTCTATACTGTACCCCTAGTAGTCTCTGTCTTGTTTACATAAGGACCATATGCCTTGAGATAGAGTTTAGATTTCTCAACATCTCAAAATCCACGTCTTCTGATAAATGTTTTTGTTGCACCTAGTTGCTACTGGTGTTAGCCACAGAAGTATTCTTTCAAAATGGGGGCCAGTATTCTCAAGACTTGCTCACACATTAATACCGCCTTCTGTTTGATCTTAATGTGTCCTCTGTTCTCGTATTCTTGTATTGCAGGTGACCTTAATCCCTACCCATGATTCGGAGGTGATGAGGGAATGGTATCAAGAGACCCACGAGAAACAACAGGACCTTAACATCATGGTACTGGCGAGCAGCAGCACTGTTGTTATGCAAGATGAATCTTTCCCTGCATGCAAGATTGAACTGTAGAAAAAGAAAAAGAAAAAAAGCAATGCATCACAACCTTAAACTTTGTTTCCAGACATTCTTCAATTTGAAAACACCTTTTCTAATGTAACCCATCTAATTCAGCTGCCGAACTATATATATATATACCTGCCAAATGCTATACTGTATCACAGTGATGCAAGTCACTAATCTTTTTTTTCCAGTCTTTTGCTGATTGCTAAGGGAAATAACAGTATTCCCACCATAGGGTTCAAATTACTGCAAAACCTGCAGATTCTGGTTCATCTCCGCTGAACAGCTGGAAACCATGCACTAGCAAACACTGCTGACTTCTGCCAGGTATGGGGGCGTTTGCCCTTGAGAGAAAGACAGGGAGAGAAAGCGAGAGAGAGGAGTAGAGGAGAATAAAATCATTAGTTTTGCATTACTCTCAAAGCAATCAATATATTGCTTCCTGCAGTCTGCCATCACATAAAAAAGAAAGATGTAGGTTTGCATTAGTCTGAATTACTGCAAGAGCGGGCGTTTTTAATTTAGTGACAAAATTAGCTAGAAAATTACGTGAAACCGAATGTGGCTTTGAAGGGACGTAAGATACAAAACACTCACTTGCTGTTGGCAACTTCACTTTGAACATGTCATATTCGCGTCACAGAACTCTCCTAGGCAATATATGCAAGTAGTTTGAACCCCATTCGGTTTAACATGCAAACATGTTGGTCTAAGGCATGCTCCCAGTGAAAAATACATCTAGTCTACTCTTAAATTCGACAAACTTGCATGCTGAAACACCCAAGTCACACTCAAGTTTACTGAAGCAACATACCAAAGCAGTTGGGAGTACCTATGGTAGACAATTTGCCTTAGAATGTGACTTGAATGTACAAAGATACTTGATGCACTTATTTTTTAAATGCAAGATAGCAAGTTTATAAAACATCTGTGTAGGATTATAGTTACACCAGTACAGAAGTATGCGTGTGCATGTGTGCTACTGGAAACCTCTCTGATTGGTCAAACAGCTTGGTGCTATGAATTATGCATGTAAGTTGAGCACTTCATTTGTGCACCTGAACAGCAAGCCTTTTATTTTATTTTTTTGAAAGTCTGCTTTTTCTCCTCCTCCCCCTTTTCCCTTGTGAAAGAAAGGGTGCCCGGTACCAGAAATTAACACATAGAGAATGTTGCAAAAGGTTCTCTGCACTCTGTACAGTCTTTTGGAGCCTTGTCTCACCTTATTTTGACAGTTAATTTAAGAGTGAATATGGGAACAAATGTACAGATTTGATTTTTTTTTTTAGCTAGGTGCGAACTTTTAATAGATGAATTTTTAAACAGAAGTTTTGTTTACAGGAAAATTGCAAAGAAAAAAAAATCAGGTGAAGGGATTTTTTTTTTTAAGTAGTTTTGTAAGACAAGTGCGTAATGTTATTTTGAGGTTCTGGTGAGAATGAAGTACTGTATTTATTTAACATAACTGCCGATAATAATTTTGCAGGCAGCACACTAAAAAATGCTATTATGTGTCAGTGATTAAAGAACCCAAGAACTAAAATGCAGGCTGGCTTCCTTTTAGCCAGGAGACTGCCTAGGTTCTGGGCTGGCCCAAGGGCACAAGCAACCCAACACTTGCTTGTGGCAATGTTTTTTTGGAGGCGGGATGTATCAACGAAAGCAGCTTTTGATTGGCAGTTGCACCGTGGCATTCTTTGGGGTTCTGCTGCAATGCACTTCTCCACCTGTTCAGGGCTACTAGTTGGGGCAGCAGAAGAACTGGCTCTACCTACTGTAGGTTTTCCTTTCTCCTGGTACCTGTCTTAAAATTAGCTCAAGCAAGTTCGTGCTCCCCGTATTTACAGATCCCTTCCAAAAGAAAAACTAGGATTGTGTGAATGTTGCAATTCTGTGAAGGGTGCAGAAAAGCTGATTACAGAATTCAGCTTTCTGAGAATTTCAGCGCTCTTCCTCTCTTTTTAACCCTTATGGTTACAGGGAGGACTCAGAGGAGTGGCTGGCGGGAATCTCAGTACCCTGTGGAGCCTTTTGCATTTTCCCAAGATTAGCAGTCATAAAATTAATTATGCAACATAAGAGAAGTCATGCAAATGTGCATAATTTATGCATCTTGCAGAATTAAGCTTCAGTTGTCACAGAATTTGTGTTACCTTGGGGCAGAAGTTTTGATTTTTTTAAAAAGCCAACTATCACGCACAGCTTGAGGGAAGGCTACTCATTATTAAGGCAGTTGTCAAACGGTTAGGGCATCACAGAACCTGTGGTAGTACCTGAAGCTTCATGGAAATCTTACTGGTGCTGGTAGAATATCTTGAGGACTGGGTCGCAGTTATCACTGCATATAACAATATCCATTACGCTTTATTTTGTGGTTTTGTAAGGAATTTATATGACCGCCGTAATAGGAATTTGCTTTGTTCTGTGCCAATTGTTTTTTTGCCGAAGGCTTTGATTCCCTAAATAGTGGATTTTATATCGTTTTATTTTCTATTATAATTTATTTCAATGGTTAACATTGTTTATTTTTATTTTATAGATGTGTATTTGCACTGCTAATTTTTAAAAATTATTTTTCATACTACTACTACCCCCCATTTAATTTGGGCTGTGTTAGCCCAGTTAATGCTGTGAAATATTGTTTGTTAAATGTTTTGTGCATTTTTTTTTAAAAAAAGTTCTAATATTTTATTTTTGTTTGACTTTTGTAGCGATGCTACTTTATTTATTCTTTCACCCAGGTCATTCAAAAGCTTGTGTTCTTGTGGTCTCTTTGCTTTTATTGGAATAATGTACATGGAAGCAACTAGTAGTAGTTTGGGACTCGCGTCCTTAAAAATTCCATATGATTGTGGTACGAAAGACAAAGGGAAATGTACTGTGGAAAGAGGCAGAATTTCTAAGTTAAGTGTATGTACAATGCTTCTTTCCTAATGTGAACAGCTCAAACCTAAAGAGGAAGTTGCACCACAGCACAGAGTGGTTTGTACCAGTATAGTTAAAACAGAATCCTGAAGTGGGGGAAGTTAGTTCTGCTACCTGTAATTTGAAACTGCTGGCATCATGAAGCTGAAATGCTACATAGCTGATGAGCCCTGGGTACTCCTGCCTGCCCCTTTTGCAGCTCAACACTAGCTTTTCGTAGCCCAGCTACACAGCATCTCTGATGTGGTGCATCTTGGGCAGTGCCCTCGTCCACACTGGATGAGTTAGCACAATACCATCAACAGCACATTAAGTGTGCCGATGCGCTGGCCACAGCTGTTACTGCACCACATCCTGAGCTTGCCTTGTTAGCAAAGGGTCAAGGAGGATTGGCCTTTTACAGTCTTAATCCCGTTATGGATCGAGCAGCAAGTCTTGCTGAGTGCAGTGGGGCTTATTCCCAAGTAGGTCTCCAGGGGTCTTCAGCTTTGGTTCTACCAAGTTACTAACACAATATTCCATTTATCAATGAACTGTGCAGAAATGATTTGTTTTGTGACCTGCCCCCCACTTTATATGTAAGCAGAAATTAAATCATTTTTAGTGGGAGTATATTTTATAAACATATTGCAAATAAATAAACAGAAGAATGCCGTTAACAGCAAGCGAGTATGTGAAAGTAGCCACTTGGCCTGTTTCCAAACAAGCTGCTTCTTTTAATTAAAAAATGAAGACTTTCTTTTAGTTCAGCCCTAAATAGCAATATTAAATGAATATGTACAAAAGAGAAGCTGCCATCTTCACAAAAGAGAAGTGGCAGTCTTTCTAGTCATATGCACACCAGCAGTCCCATAGATTAGTTGAAATCAGCATAGCAGTGCAGTCCTATGTATGCCTAACTCAGAAGTAATCCCCACTCAGTTCAAGGGGGGCTTATTCCCACATAGGTGCATGTAGGATTGCAGCCTCAATGGGGTTCAAATCCGGCCTTAACATTCCTTCACTCTAAGAACATCCTCAATCGTTCTCATACATATTTTGTTGTAGGAACAAAAATTTAATCAGGTATTTACGTTGGGTGCACTACTTCTTCTTTTTAATGCCTCAGAAATGTTTGATAGCCCCATTCAGCTCTTGGATATCAGCAAACATTTTCCTGTATATAAAAAAATGATGCTCTGTATGGCTTCATCTCAAAGATCTCAGTTGCGCAGAAGCCATGTCCCTGATCAACCTGCACACAGAAACATGCGCCCAGGTCTGCAACCCAATGTGCTTCTTGAGAACTGGCTCTTAGGGGTGTGAGAACCCTCAGGAACATCTTTTCAAGGATACAGGGCGATGGAAAGTGTATGAGATGGATACCCATCCCCCCCCACCATGAAGGGGAGTGCCTTCCTCTTGTGCAACAATTTATTGGATAGCCTGAGCTATCCGTTTCAGGATTCTGAATAAGATTGCAAAAGTGGGGTATAAATTTTCTAAACAAATCTGCTTTTTACGCACACACAAGTTTTCAATGGCAGCCAATTTTGGCGGTGTTGTTTTTTTATTAAAAAGAAAAACTCCTCTTGACCAAATTAATGCCTTTCTTGCCCGTGCAACTAACCTGATTGTGTTAGTTACAGCCATACACAATTAGCTTATTGACAGTCAACCAGGAAATGCCATGGATACTGATTCTGAGCTCTGCTGCTCAGCACAGATTACTAGAAGCATGGTTCAATATTGATTAGCCTAATTTTAATGTGTCAATATTTGAGTGCTGATAGCACTCTAGAAAATGATGGTATTGCCCATTGGTAACATTCCCCTAATCGTAGCCTTTATGATAGTACTATTCCATTGAATGAAATTCAGTGACTGTTTAGGCGAGATCACAGTCCATTTCCCAACTTGACAGTGCAGTCCTATACATGTCTACCCAGAAGTTAATCCCCAGAGTTTGGTGGGATTTACTCCTAGGTAATTGTGCATAAGATTGTAGCCTAAAATGGATCTTCTTTTGCATGCCTTTTCATCTTCATATGGTGGGTCTGGTTACAACAATTCCTACCTTTTTGATTCCATTCCCATTCTTCGTCTCTTTGAGTTATTTTTAACTTCTCATACTGTGGTGAATGGATCCAAATGTGTATATGAATGTATTTAGCTGTCTTCAATAGCTTAAGCAGTTTAGGAACCTAAAAACACTGAACTGAGAAAATAAATTTGCTGGGGAAAATTCCAAGTCTCCCTGCCCCAACGCTTCCTGCTCCAAGGAGACGCTCTGCATTATAAATTTTATGTCCTAGGCCTCTTCTTTGTCCATATGTAACCAGAAGTTCTTGCTCAGAGGAAAATAGTAGTTTTTGTGGTCTGGCATTATTAAGCAATGGGGGGGGGAATGCAATCTTTACACTTACAGAACAAAAAGAGAGTTTCTGTAAGTGATAATATTCTCACTGAATAGTTGACAAACCACCCCAAAAACAAAACAACAAAAAACCAGTCCAGGAACAAGCAGTTTTTCAAAATGCATTTGCAAATTGCATTATTTGCCTTGTTAAAGATGCTTGCTATTTTAAAAGAAGAAAGTTCGCTGTGATTATAACAAAATAAAGCAAGAAAAATGCAGCATCTAAACCTTGAACATTTATGGGGGGGAGGGAATGCTTCTCTGCACTGAATTAGCTTTAGGAGCCTCCATTCTATTCATACAAGACTGGGCTGTACTCACATTGGTAAAAGCGCAATTCTGAAGTTCCAGGATGCTTTCACATGTTTGCATGCAGCCATTTATTCTTCCAAACCATGGCGAGAAAGTCTTGTTGCTGGCTGAGAAGCTCCTCACACACTCCTCTCTCTCTTGTTCCGAATGGTCTTGTTTGTGTCGGTCTGCAGCTGTGTATGGTTTTATGTCTTATAATCCTTCATCACCTCTATTCTATCCAGTCATATCTAATGTAGAAAATTAGTTTCCAGTGAAAGTAATATGTAGTGCTTTTATGATATTTGTGTGCAATATCCCCTCTTCTGTTGAGGATATTTGATGTAAAGGAAACAAGCTCAGTTCCACAATAAAATACAAAAATAGTTATAAGTGTCAGTGTGGGTTTTTTTGTATTTATATGAGGATGCACTTTCAACTCTCTTCTTAAATCGCATTCCTGGAAACAGCAAAGGAAAGAAAGTGTTGCAAGATGTAATTATTCTGTAGCAGATGAATTCTGTTAGTAGATGTGGGAGACAAATGGGGTGTGGAGTAGCCATCACAATCACAGCCTACCCGTGAGCTTCCCAGGGGCATCTGACTGGCTGCTGTTGGAAGTATTGCGGCTGTCATTGACTGGTTGGATGCAAAGGTGTGGTGGGAAGAGGGCTCGGAGCCCAGGGATTGGTGGTGGGATGACAGTGAGTGGTCAGAGGAAGAAGAGGGAGCAGACTGAGAGGAGGAGGGGTCAGAATCTGAAGAGGCAACAGGGTTTAGTGAGCAGGAAGAGGCTGTAGCAGAGAGCAGTTCAAACTCAGAGGCAGAAGCAGAGGCTGGAGAGGAAGTGGACCAAGAGGCAGTGATGAGGCAGGCTGCTGAAGAATCCAGGGAGTTCCCCCCCCCCTGCAACCAGCTTGCCTCCCCCACAGGTCTCCTAGAACATGCAGAGAAATGAAAAGAGCAGAACAGAGATTGGTTGTGCACAGACACCATCCATGACTGCTTGGGGAAAAACCCTGGAGAAGAGACAACTGTGGGAAGGCAGGTACCTCACAACTGACTCATTGGACAGTTACGGTTATGGCTGTTATGATCAGTTTGGCACATAAAACCAGTAGCAGTTATGATGAGTTTCCCACACAAAACCAGTGGCTGCTATTTTTTGGGCAGGGATAAGAAAGATTCCACCTCTCATCAGCTACAATTGGTATTATTCTCCAATACATACACTTGGAGGGGGGGAGGGAGCCTTCCATCCAATCAGTTGTAATTTGGATTGTTCCCAAATTCAGGCATAAGATGAGCTGGTAAATGCTGTGACTTGCTGGTAGTGCCTGCCAGTATCTCTTTCAGGGTATATGAGATGCCTTCTGGTCTTAAATCTATTGTTGGCCTGTCCCTGCTTAAGTAGTGAGTTCATAATCTGGATACCCCGGCTAGCAAATGTGGAATTATTTTGCGTAGGGAGTGGAGGAGCAGAGGGTTAAACCGCAATATACACTCAATTAGCTTCTGCCAACCTGATTCCCTGCAGATGTTTTGAACTACAACTCTCATCAGGCTACCTACTACAAAACATCAGGAGGACACCAACTTGCTGAAGGCTTCTAGGCATCTCTTCGAAGATTTCCAACCAAATGATGTATTGATCTCCCCTGCCTTGGCCCTGATCGGCATTGTAAGACCTACAATAGAATACAATAGAGGAATGACTGCATCTTTTGGTTCAGGGCTTTAATATTGATCATGACATGTTTGTGATGTATCTGCAAGATCTGTCAGACATTTCAAGTCTGCACTTGAGACTGCAGCAGAGCTTTCAGAGGGTGGCAATGGGGGATTTCTCAGCTCCTCCTGCTCTCTCTTCTCTCTCTTCTAGATTCTGTTCCCTCAAGGTTTTATGTCATCCCCTTTTCAATGATGAAACCACTGAGCAAAAACCAGGTGCTAACAGCATGCTGAGGACGCTCAAGTTTCCTCTTTCCTTCCTCTCCTTACTGCTCCTGAGAGCTAATTCTGGCAATCTAAACCTGTTTAAGCAAATCTGGCAAAAAAGAAAAAACCCAAGATTGTGACAAAATAGATTGGTAGAAATAAAATGTATTTGACTATCTGTCTTGCACATACCACCTTGCACCCAAAGATCTGTAAGTGGTGCACAATAAAAGGAATAAAGGTAAAGGGACCCCTGACCATTAGGTCCAGTCGTGACCGACTCTGGGGTTGCGGCGCTCATCTCGCTTTATTGGCCGAGGGAGCCGGCATACAGCTTCCGGGTCATGTGGCCAGCATGACTAAGCCACTTCTGGCAAACCAGAGCAGCGCACAGAAACGCCGTTTACCTTCCCGCCAGAGCGGTACCTATTTATCTACTTGCACTTTGATGTGTTTTCGAACTGCTAGGTTGGCAGCAGCAGGGACAGAGCAACAGGAGCTCACCCCGTCGCAGGGATTTGAACCGCTGACCTTCTGATAGGCAAGTCCTAGGCTCTGTGTTTTAACCCATAGCGCCACCCGCGTCCCTTATAAAAGAAATAAAAACATCTAATTCAAAACTAAAATGGATAAAAATACAAAGGGCAGGAGCAAGAACTCCAAAACAGCACCTGTATTGCTCAAACACCCAAGCAAAGAGCCAGGCTTTCAGCTGGCACTGGAAGGCCAGAAATGCAGGTGCCAGTTGCATTTCAGGAGGAAACGTGCAGGAATGCTGACTTACAATACACATATTTTAATCTATTAAAAAGTATATACAGTGGTACCTCGGGTTACATAAGCTTCAGGTTACAGGCGCTTCAGGTTACAGACTCCGCTAACCCAGAAATAGTACCTCGGGTTAAGAACTTTGCTTCAGCGGCAGCACGGCAGCAGCAGGTGGCCCCATTAGCTAAAGTGGTGCCTCAGGTTAAGAACAATTTCAGGTTAAGAACGGACCTCCAGAACGAATTAAGTTCTTAACCCGAGGTACCACTGTACTGACCTATCAAAAACCATCAGGGGGGCATACAACAAAACAGAAAACACCACGAAAAACAGTACCAATAATAATCAGGCATATATATTGACTGCATAACACAGAATTGATTCCCCATTTTCCTGGTATCTCGGTACTGAAAGATGCTTAAATGATTGCAGTTCCAAGTCTGAAAAGACTGAAATAAAATTGCCAGGCTATTCTTGGGGCTTTAAGATTCTGGCTCCACACAAACCGACATCAGTGCAAAGGACAAAGGCAAAGTGATACTGATCGATTCAACAGCACCTAGAAAAAAGCCAGGGTACAATGCAAACTGTCTGGCATGCCAGTCATATTCTGTTTTAACCAGCTATAATATCTGGAGGCTGGATCTTGCTGTTTCACACTGTTCTGAATGTGAACAGAATTATTAATGCTCTTTTACCAGCTCTGCTACTGCTGTATCTTGATTCTACGACAGCAAAATACAGACTAGCCTTGATCTGAGATGGAGGGAATTACATGTGCAATTTCCCTCTTGTGAATAATGGATACTGACCTTCTCTATTGGATTGGCAGCACCGTGAATAATGAAGGGAAGGGAGGGAAGTTGTATATTTGCTTACCTACTCATTAAAGTATTCGGAGGCTGCTGCGAATTTGAATCAGCAATTTGCATTTCAAATGAAACAGAACTCTTAGTATGCAGATATTTTGTACGCATTGCTGGACACACGAAACCCCCAATCAAAAGCTGCCAAAGCAGATTGAAGCAAAGAGGTTTATTTAAAGGCAGGCTGCCCTTACAACCACCCCCACCCCCTTTGTAAGATGTGTTTGTTTAATTTGTATACTGCTCTTCATCCGCAGATCTCAGGGCGGTTCACAACATAAAAATACAATATAAAACCACAAAATACATGATGAAAACAAGAACCAGAAACCCCACAAAGGAATGCCACCACCAAAACAGACATGTGTTCTTTCCATAGCAAGCTCCTTGCTTATCCATCTGCCGCTCATGAATCCTATGGATGGAAGAATACATTCCACAACTTATAAAAAGATCAGAGGGAAAAGGCTGAGGCTACAATCCTGTGCACAGCTAGGGATGGAGGAGAAATTAAAACAGTCTGCATTTTAATATGAGCTTACCTAATAGATGCTTCTATAAACCAGAATAGAGCTAATCCTTAGAAATTTGCACTATCTGAATTTAGTAGCGCATCCCAAAATTGGGAACAAAAAGAAAACACACAAAAAAGAATGTACAAGGATGCTTACAAAAATGTGTGTATTAGGAAACTGCAATTGTCAGATACAGCTACCCCTAAGCACACTTGCAAGTCTCACTGACTACAGGAGAACTTACTTACAGTAATCATGTATATTATTATTATTATTATTATTATTATTATTGAATCCGTAAAAGCTCTTCAATTAATTTGTAGTACAAGTATGCTTGTCTTCATAAAACAGGATTATTGCTCCAACTTTAAGAAAGTTAAACAAATAGATTTAACCAAACAAATAGATTGAATACTAGCACTGGGCATTTATTTCATCCTCAACCAACTTTTATGCCGTTATTCAGTGATCTCCACGAAAATGCTCACATTCTACAAAACTGGACGAGTCATGCAAATTGTCAATCAGCAGTATGGCTGCTCCATTACTATTTATGGTTGAAACAAATTACACACATATGCAGTCCGTTCTATGTGCCTGTCACTTTGCACAATACAAAATGCACTTCCTGAACCCAAGGCCAAACCAGGGTTACCAAAACTTTTCAGCTGCCTCTTGCAGCTATGCTTGTTAACCAAAGCAGGATCTGCAGAGAGCTGGAAGTGGGGAAGTTTATCTCTGCTATGTAATGCTTTCCTTATGGAGTCCTGAAAAAAATATATCAAGCTTTGGTTAAAGGAACAGGAACAGGCCACTATCTCTGATCCTACATTAATTTATTGGTGTGTAGGTACCCATTTAAACATGTGGAATAAATACACAGAATCCAGTAATTTCAGAATTGGCCGAGAGCTTTGCTGGGCAAAACAGGGCCAGCTTTCACCTACAGCCTTCACTGTCCATTAACACAACGCTAATGTGCAAATGCGCTGCTCTTTAAAGTCTCACATTAACAGTATTGAGAGCCATGCTAAACTTGTTACTGCTGTGAGAGAAGTTTCTGAGGATCATGGTGCTTATGCTCTCTGAAAGAGGCCGTTCAGGGCTCTCCCTGTGGAGGGTATGAAGCTGCTAGAGGAAGCAGAGAATCTGGAGCTTTGTGGCACCTAGTCTCTGTGCAACCTGTAACCACAGGCAGAAATTCCCCAGACATCTTTGGAAATGCTGGAGCACAGAATAATAAACACATCATTATGTAAACAAGAAGGCATGGCTGTTAATTCCTGTAATAGCACCTGCACAACAGACCCCATAAGGGCTGGCTTAGCATCTTCCTTTTAGGAGTAACATTTGCATCTCAAAAGGGCAGAATTAATCTGCTAGGCAAATCCACAAGTTCTCTCACCCAGTGAAAAGTAGACAAATGCAAAGCAGCAAACTCCATTGTATAGCCCGAGTTCTCTGCTTGTGGATTACATCATCCTTATGCGTACATTAGATGTCTGCAGTGCCTAGAGACAGACAGGTTGTGTATCCATATCAGTGACCAGAGAAGGAACGACCGCTGAAAAGAGTGCAGAAAGAAGAAACGTTGTGGTGCACCTGCAGCAGCACCACCAGACACCTTCATCTGCCCCAGCTGTAACAATACATGCCTGTCTCATATCAGTCTCTACAGCCACAGAAGGCACTGCAACCTTCCAACAGTTTGACTTTACCCCCAAAGGTGAACTCCTCCCGAGACAGATGGATGCAAAAAATGTGTACATTTTGTTGAAAAATTGCAGGTTCTATTTCCCCCATAAACTTTATTGTAATAATAATTCATTATTTATACCCCGCCCATCTGGCTGGGTTTCCCCAGCCACTCTGGGCAGCTTCCAACACAATATTAAAATACAGTAACGGATCAAACATTAAAAGCTTCCCTAAACAGGGCTGCCTTCAGATGTCTTCTAAAAGTCTGGTAGCTGTTGTTCTCTTTGACATCTGGTGGGAGGGCATTCCACAGGGCGGGTGCTACTACCAAGAAGGCCCTCTGCCCGGTTCCCTGTAACTTGGCTTCTCACAGTGAGGGAACCGCCAGGAGGCCCTCGGCGCTGGACCTGTGTCCGGGTAGAATGATTGTGGGGGGGGAGACGCTCCTTCAGATATACTGGACCGAGGCCATACTGTGAATATTGCATGTCAGTGTGGACTATACAATGGTCATCCTCAAGAGATCTGGAACAACTGGAGGCAGCTGCAGGAGACACCATACGTACAGATCAGATGTCCTCACTCAGCATGTATCTCCCAAATGAGAAGCATCCATGCAGCTAGATGATTTCTCTTTCCACACCAAGGAGCTTTCAGTGTCCCAGGGCCAAAGTGGTGGAAGACCCACTCTGTAGTAAGCTTGGCTTAACGGTTGACTCAGGCAGGAAATATATGGTAAGTATGTGAGCAGAAAGGAAAAGGTTTCAAGAGAGTCTCAAATGACCGGGGGGGGGGGGGCTCATGGAAGGTTTGGGAGAGAGACAAACAGCTTATTTGGCTCTGAAGTTTTCTGAACAAGGAAAGACCCAAGAAGGCTAAATATATTCTTCTATAGGAGGTGGAACACTACAATTACTGTAAGACTGAAGATATGAAGAAGAGTCGAAGCTTTAGCAGATAGGCTTCACCCCAAAACTGCTATCTTTAATAGTAGTTATTAATATGATGCAGCCTGCAAAATAAGTATAAAGGTTCCAGAGTCCCAAAAGTTCAGGTTTATCTTACAGGAGTGACATATTTGCCATTCCACAGTAGCTCCATCCCACAAAGGTCCATTAACACACAGGAACCATGGGGGCAACGAAGCTGATCGTGTGCACTGAGAATAGGGCCTGATGTATCGTGATAGGCCTAATTACCACGTTTACAGTCGTGCACATAGACTGCTACGTGGGTTGGAATGCACAGCCACAGCAAGGGGCAAACAGCCAACAGAAAAGATAGAAAACGAACTGCAAGAACGTTCACTCTGTATGCACATAATCTGGACATTTTTGTTTGCCCAAGCCGTAGAGCTGTGAAAGAGTATCAATCCATCTTGCTCACTGGGATTATAGGTACATTTAGCCCCAATAGTAACTCTCAAGTAGTGGTGCTATAAATGCCTGTGAAAAGCTTCTAAAAACCCAACAAAAAATGGTGGGTTTTCACTTGGCATCTAAAAGGCTGGAGAGAGATTACATACCTGTGGAGTCACCACCAAAAAGGCTCCTAAGAGGCCTGTGTCCTAAAACCCCTGGGGCAACGGTTCCTCCTGAATGAACTTTCTACAGGTGAAGCCCTGCTGCAGATTCCAACTTATAGGTAGGCTAGGTCAACTTCTGGAAGAAACAAAACCTCTTCTATCACAGCCCCCATCTTGTGGAATGCCCTCTGGACAGGGAAGTACCTATGGTCCTTTACCAGCTGATCTAGCCTCCTGCTGCTGTATTGACAGGGCATGGAGAAGAGAGCAGCTCAACACATGGTGATGGCTTCCAATGCCTAATAGCAGGGCTAGAAAGACCCTTGCCTGAAATCCTGGGGTGCTGCAATCCGTCTGAGATGGTGTGATACAAGGCGGTTTTATGTGTGCTGCCTCCAAAGAAGACTCCAGATCTTAACTCACCTGGTGACTGCTTGTGATCCCTTGAACAAAGCAAACAGACAACATTTTGAACTCCTGTTGGTATCCTTTTTTTAAACAGCAATACTGACTGTGGCCAGAGCACTTGGAATGTACTGTCTCACCCAGCCTGTTTTAGAAATGAATCACTTTATTAGACGACAGGTAGACATAACACATAAGAGGCAAAACTGAGGGCTTCAGAGAAACAATTATAATTACAGTGGTTTTTAAGGGGGTGGGGAAGAAGCACTTTTGCTGCAAGATGGATCTGGAAAGGTTTCATCTGCATACAGTCAAGGCCACATCACACGTCAATCTTCTGCGTTAAAGAGATGCTTTTGCTGCATTCTGGGCTTCCAGCTCCTGCCTGGCCTTTTCCCTCAACTCTCTCTCCCTTTCAGTCAGCAGCGTCCGCTCCTGCTCCCACTCCTTCAGCTTCTCCTTGTGTTTTGCAATGTCTTCCACTTCAAATGCTGGCTGCTTTTCCTCCACAAGCTGGGTGGTCAGTGTCAACAAGCTTGCAGATTCCACCTTGCCAAGCGACTGCAGCTTAGAATTCAGCTCCTGTCATAGCAGGGGTGAGGGGGGAAGAAAAGAAAGGAAAAGAAAGAAGAAAGAAAGAAAACCGCTAATCAACCAGTCGCAATACATCAACAATCCACATGCCCGGCCTGAGTAATCTTTTCCCCCTTCCTCTTTCCCCGGAACTGGAATGTGAAATTCTACAAGTCGGCACCGTGCAGCTGACTTGCGTTTGTCCTGGAAAAACGTGCCAGCCGCAATAAAGGAGCACTTCTTCATTCCTTCTCTCCGTCCCCAAAAGAAAAAGAGAGGAAAAAATGATGGGGTGATGGAACAAGCAAAGGGCAACAATAATTTATAGACTAGATTTTTATGATTTAGCAATAACAAAGCAGAAACAAAAAAAGAATCAATCTTTAATTCTGCTAAGTGCTGGGATAGCTGAACTTGCACGATGACTGAGAAACATCATTAATAAAGACTCGTTATGCTAACAAATGATGAATGGCCAGCCGGCAATCTAAACATCCTATGGCTCCCCCCGCCCCCGCCCCCCCATTGCTGATCCAAGGACTCGCCCTGAGTCGCTTTGGCTAACCTTCCGCTCAACAGATGGGAATCATTTAAATAGGCTTGTCCTAATGGCATACTAAATAGATCCCACGAGCCCCTGTGCAACTGCCCAGCACACATTCCTCTATGGCCCCCTTTTTAATGACTCATGCGATTTCAGGCTCAGCTCGCTGGATGCAGCCCCTTTACTTTGCTCTGATTCTGCTTGTGTGGGTGCACCAGGGTGGGCTGCATGTGGGGGTACTCCATTGCAGGCAGGCAGGATTCGGCCAGGCAGCTGGGCAGTATATCACAGCAGAGTTCCACTTCTATCTGTGGTGTAGTGCTTCTCATGACACGCCCCAATGCATCGTAAAAAAATATTAATTCACTTAAGTGCTTTGAGATGCGGGGCCATTTGTGGTTATGGAAGTTTTACTGGACAGCTTGATGTTCCCCAGACAAAAGGCAAATTAATTGCCCTAATGGAGAAGCCTCCAGGAAAATGAATGGGAAGAGAGCAGCCCTAGCTAGGAAGGATGCAATAGGACAGCCGGAAGCTTCTAAACAGCCCTGCTTTAAACAACAACAACAAAAATCCTTGGTCACTCACCAGGAATAATATTATCCTCGGATGTGCATTTGTACCAAAACTAGAAGATACCCATAATTTAGAGAGATACAGGTTAGCTAGGACTGACTATTAATGAGGTGAAATAAGATGCACAGTGAGCAGGGCTCGTTTATTTATTTGTTATCCCATTAGGAATTCAGGATGGCATCAATCAGGGCTGCAGAATCTGTAGCTCTCCAGATGCTGAACTCACAACTCTCATCAACTCATGCCAGCATGGCTGTTACTGCAGAGTGAATGTTTTGGATATTTATATATATATAGCTGACAGATGAAGAATTGGAAGTTCTCCTTTTTTCTCCCTTTCCTCTTTTCCCTTTCCCCTTCCTCTCTTTTTCTTCTTTCTTTCCCTTTTTTGGCTTGTGTTTTTGTTTAGATAAGTTTATCTTTGGTATTATAAAAAGATACTGAGCCTTTGATATTAACTTTCGCATATCATTCCCCCCCCAAGCTTTAATAAAATCTATTTCTGGGGGGCAGGAGGCAGCATAGCCAAATGTCAGGGGCCGATGGAAGCTGAAGACCCAGAGTGCTAGAAAATCGCTCAATCTTCCCCCATTTCCATTTTATCCTCTTTAGGCTGAGAGATAGAGACTGAGAAAAGGTTAATCAGTAAACAACATGGCAAAGTAGAGACTTGAACCTGGTCTCCCCAGTTCTAGCCTGAGGAAGGAATTCAAGGTAGCACTATGGCAATCCCTCTGTTAGTGTGTGCTTTTCAGCTTGGCAGATCAAACAACCCCCTTCTCCGCCACGTGGCATGCTGGCCTGGGGAGTTTCCCTGGGGGTTTCCCCTCCTGAGCCAGGAAAGGGGGAGGGAGCCCCATTGCAATAGTAGAGGTCCTTGTGTGGGCATCTGATAACGAGACTAGTTAACTGAATCCTATCCTGCTATCCCACCCTTGTGAGATTCGTGTGCAACACAGAAGAGGAAAACCTGTCAAACCACAGGGCAGTTCTACTAAGGAGAGTATCGCTAGACTGCAATTCCTGCTGTCAACAAGAGTTACCACACAGGCTGTTTCAAAGACCTCCTGGGCTTCTCCACTCCCCCCAGTCTTAGTTCATGTAGCCTATAATTTCCATAAGCCATGCAATTTCCATCTCCATGTTTACTCACAACCACCCTCCAGCATGGGGCCTGGACGCAGTAGAGAGCTAAAGCTTTGTAGCCGCTGCAATGCAGAACTGTCTGTTATGCAATCACTGCTTGGGCCTCCCATCCAAGGAAACATCATCGGGCAGCTCCCATGGGGAGAGAGCAATTTTGTCATGTTCTGGACCATTGACCTTCACAAACTATTTGCTGAAGCAACAGACTATGTATGAATTCAGTCGAGCAAAACCCGAAGATAAACAAATGCACAGAGTTGGCCAGACTCACAAGAGAACTGGAGTGTTTCAGAGCAGTATCACTGGAATATGGGAAATCCAGTTCGTATGCTGGCAGGTTCTATAGAAATGATACATAATGGCAACTGAAACAAGTTTTAGGTGGGCTGGCTGGAAGCCACCTGTGTATAACTCTGCCATAGGACTTTATATGTGTTGTTTATGCATTCTAATACAGTGACACCAGATGGCACTGTGGAGTTCTGTTTTTGCCAACCCGATTTCTCATACAAGGTCTGTAACATGTTTAACCGAAATGCTTCTTTGATGTGTCTTGATTGAGCTATATTCTGCCTTGCTTTGTATGACTCGATAATTTTTTTAAAAAGCAAGCAAAACAGAAGAGTTTCTAGGACTTTTGATTAAAAACACTTAGAAAAGTGAAAGCAGATGCGGTTCTGAAGCATCAGGAATGCTGTTGTGTACTTCTGTTATCCACACCCTAAGCAATCTGCTATAACAAACTTCCAGGAAACTTTGAGGACAAAATCACCGAGATCCAGAAGCAGCACGATGCCATAGTTAAGAGCATGTACAATGGAGGTTGGTCTACAGCACACATGTTCCCTTTTGACCCCGTCCATCTAGGTTTCTTTTAAACTTGCTGAAGGGGATTGACTGGGTGGGTTCAGAGGGCAATTAAGATGCTTGAACTCAGGATGAAAGGGAGAAGAGGAAGGCACAGTTGGCAAACCCTCACTGTGATCAACTCCCACCTGGAAACCTGTGTCCCCACTGTGGAAGGACGTGTGGGTTCAGAATTGGCCTCCACAGTCACTTATGGACTAACTGTTAAAACTGTGTTTATGGAAGACAATCTTACTCGGCTACAAGTGATCGCCAAAGAAGAATGCTTCATTGGAGGAGGGGAAGGTACCATCTGCCTTGAAGGAAGTGGTAAATAAGGTAGGAAGAATGGTGGCGGCAATAGGTCTAAGCCGTAAAACGCATGGGATATTGCCATAGGTAGGACAGGAATTTACTCCAAGCCAATAGGTGGACTGCTTCTGAGATAGGTTGTGCTGATTCACTGAAATGGCAAGGGGAGCTGTTGGGGACTGCAATGGAATTGGCCAGTGCAGCTACAATTTTATTTAAAATAAAATTTAAAAACAACATAGTGGTCCATCTGAGGATGAGAGGCCAGCAGGGGATGATCACTTCCAACTCTTTTCTGGCTGCAGGGCTGAGGCTGCATAAACCAACCGCCAGATTTATTTTCTTCGAAGTAATTTCCATTAGTCCTCCCCCACTCCGTAATCTTCTTGAGCCTTTCACTCTCCTGACATAAAAGCACTTGGACATCTCAGTGGCCAATAGCAGGGGACTGTACCCTTGCACAAATAATATAATGTAAATTTAGAAGAAGAAGAAAGAAGAACTGTATTTAGTTTAGTGGAAATTATATCCTGTTTAGAAAAGTGACCCTGTTCGGAAAGGAACTGAGCCATCACGCTGGGCATCTTGCTGAACAAACATACCATTAAACCTTGCTCAACTGCTATCTGAGTCTCATTTTTTAAATTGTGCTATTTCTGCTGCTATTCCTTGGGCTTTGTGGGCAGAGTGTGAGAGACATGGCTTTGAGCAATCTTCCCAGACAGAGAGCTAGACCATTCTGCCATGCGGGGGCCTGGAGGGGCATGTCTGGAGGAGAGCGGATCAGTGCAGAAGACCCAGAGCCCAAATACCAGTAGCAAAATAGATGAAAAAGTTATGCAACTATATAAAGCATTAACAAAATGCATTTTAACTTTATAAATATTAAACATTAAGTTTAGTCTATAGCCTGACAGTTATCCTTATGCCTTGCACTCCTTAGCATAGAAATAATGCAAGGCAGCTTCTTACTGTGTCATTGGGAAGAATGTGGCCTCCACATTTTTCATTAATCTCAACAAGTAAGAGGAGCAGAAACTTATTTTTACCTTTAACGAAAGCTGAAATTTCAGGGAAGGGGCATGGGATGATCCTGCAAACCCTCCTCCTGACCTCTCAGCTTCAAGTGTTTCCGACCTGGTAGAAGCTGTTCATAGAATAATTAGAGGTGGAACATAAAAATCAGCTGCGTACTGAGTCACTGGAAGCTACAATTCCTTCCAAGCATGCATGTTATCAAACCTACTGCTTGCTTGTCTTGTGACAGAGGCATGGGGTGGGTGGACTATCACATTTCTGTAGGCTGGCAATGCATTTGCAAAGCTGAAAAAAGTATTACTTGGGCAAAACGGTGCAGAACTCAAAAGACACAAAATATGATGCTAACTATATAGCTTTAATTCAGGGACAGGAAACATGTGGCCCCTCCAGATGCTGTGGGACTCCAACTCCCATCAGTCCTAGCCAGCATGGACAATGGCAAGGGGTAATGAATATAGCTCAAAACCTAAGAGGACCACAGGCTCCCCATCCCTGTTCTCACGTTTTGCCACTGGGGGGAAAGCTTCCTTATCATCTACTGTCGGCCTATACTAACCAGTCCACCAGGTCTCTTACAGGCTCACTAATAAAAAGCTTTTCTTTTTACCTCCTCTACGATATAATCAGAGAACTTTCTTGCAAGCGTCCCTCCCTGGTTCATTTCCGAAAGAAACGAAGCCTACATTCCTATGCACACCCAATAAAAAGGTTTAACATCTGTATAATACATTCCAGTCTTCAAGCTCTCTTCACATGCACTGTAGCTGTAATCTGTAGTCTGTAGTACTACTATATCTAGCTGTAATCCTCACAACATCTCTGTAAGGGTTGCAGATGTAGGGAGCATGGAACTGAGGCTGAGAGAAAACAAATATCCCCTAGTGAGTTCATGGCAGGGACAAGATTTGAACTGGGAGAAATTTCCTGATTCTTAGCTCAGTCTCTATGTGGCAAGTCCTATGGAAATCTGTGGGGTTTACTTTCGAGGAAACATATGCCGGATTGAGCTGCACATTTCATTCAGCAAACCTGCCAAGACACAAACATCTCACCAAGGAACAGATCCTTAGAACAACACTGTAGGTATAAATCTGTAGAATACTCTCTGTGCCATTTCTATAAAAGGGTGCTTTCCCCAGTGACAGGGCGATAAATCATGCAAAAACCACAATGAGGGAGAGGGAGTGCAGGAAAAGGCTGGGCCTCAAAACGAAACAAAAACCCCAGGCAAACCATCTCATTTACTCGTTTAGTGGACCTTCTTAGAACTAAACACAGGACCAAAATTGCGACCACTTTCTTACAGTCGTTAGCAGGCTGCGTAAGGGGGAAAGACCTATTAAACCTGCATTGACCCAAAGAGGGGAATGCATCTAAACTGTGCCCTTAGATGCCAGAGATAGTGGAAGACCAAACAACTCATCAGGAGTGACACTCCATTTTAGTTAGCAGGAGTTCGGCTTACCAAGTCTGATGTATGAAATGCAAAAATAACATCCCTGCAGCCAGGCAGCAGACAAGGGACACCTTTTAGAAAGGCAATTCCCAGTTTGAAGTAGTAAGAAGATAGCTCAGTTGGTAGAACATGAGACTCTTAATTTCTGGGTCATGGGTTTGAGCCCCACATTGATCGAAAGATTCCTGCATGGCGGGGGGTGGGGGGTGGACTAGATGACCCTGGTGGTCCCTTCCAACTTGGCAGTTCTATAACTCTATGAATTCAATGTCAGCATCCAAAAGCCCCAATAGCATTCCCGGTGGGACACCAATGGAGCCTTAGTGTCACAGAATAAAGAAAAACGAAGGTGTACTCTTTTCCTTTTTGCTACAGACAATAACGCTAATTAAAGCCAGCTGGGAAGAGGGGAAGCTGAGAAGCTGCATACCCCAAATCGGTTCAAGTACTCAGGCAGTCGTGACATCTCTGCTTCTTCCGATTGCACTTGCTTCGGTGTTTCTTCTGAGTCCTTGGTGTCCTCTGGGGAAACTTCTGTCACAGGGATGGGCTGCAAAGTGGCTGCCAGAACATCAATCTTTGCAACAGAAATAAGAAAAAGATAATAAGTGCTGTTTAGAAAAACTGAAGGGCATCATTGTTGCCTAAATTACAGGGATGGTCAATATACTGCTCCTGTGGGCCTTTTTATGCAGCTTCTGGATTCTTGTTAAAATTCCTGAGAATACCACCTATTAGTTTAATAAAGGAGGGGCATTTCTAACCTTTATGGATCAAATTTGATCACACAAGAGCAACAATGCTAGAGGGTCATAAACAGAAGGCCAAGCAGACAATACTATAATTCACTGATTTTCAAATTCAAGACTTTCCTGTCTTATTAAGGCTGCACATTTTTTTCTCCAGGTCCTACTGCAGAAAAATGGATCAGGGTCTCCGAGACGGTCTACTGTAGACGGAATGCATAAATTTTAAAACCATAAAGGCACAAACAAAAAACATAATTTGATAGCATCAGCAGTGAATTATTTTTACCATTGCTATGAAATGAAACCCTGGGAAATTAATGGCGAGTCTTGTTTTTCTTTTGAAGTGCCTGCACGGTGGCCAAAGTTAGTGAGCCCAGCCTTTAGTGAGTTGATTAAGCCCAGCCTTTCTGGAATTACTATTGATTTTATGATTGGCTCTGGACAGGTCACATAGGCTCTTACTGATATTCCACAATTATTACATGTATATTGAAAGAGATTATTGTACACTTATATAAAGTCAGCTAGTATCTCAATTCCTGTTTTGCTGAAATGCATCATGAGCTCATTGTGTTCCATTTGATTTTCAGTGGATTCATCTATTGGCTCCCTCTCTTTGATAATGGACAGGAGAGAAAGGTAGGCCTGGATGGGATGGGGTGAGGCGACTCTGCAATGGAAGCCACCTGGGGGGCAGGGCAAAAGCTGTATTTTAGACAAGGCAGAAATGTAGAAGAATAGGAAGCTTGCAAGGCACTAGTAGCTCCTGTTCCCTTTGTGTCAATGCCACATCCAAGGTCACTCAATGAGGCCATGTGAGGAGTATGATGGATGTGGTTCTCCAGGACTCTCCTGGGCCATGCCAAGTCCATACTCGTCTCCAGCCCTTCTGCACACCCTTCAGTGGTTTCACTTGGCTGGAATGTGCCCTTGGTCTGCGACAATGCCTTTTGCTTGACTGGGTTTGTGTGTGTACATGGCTGGCATGTTTCCTACTGCACAAAGTTAAGAGTTGCATGCCAATCTCTGCCCACTCTTGCCTCTGGCTTTGATCATCACTGGCATGCAGGATGCCCAAAAAGCAACGCGGCCCTGACTGAAAGAGGTTCCCCACCCATGCATGCCAACAGGAGAAATGATTATTTCATACAACTCTAGAGAAGTTGGAAGGGGAAATCTTTCTCTATTAACTTTACTCTCCCTGCTGAAATACGAGAGGCCCCATCAGCATGGGCATTCCACGGGCTCCTAAAGACAAACTTGTTTAGACAAGCATTCCCCTGATGCCCTGATTTGAACGTCCTGCTTTATTTGCTGTTTTAACTCTTTCAGCAGGGTTGCTTTACTGTACATTTCAACTATGGCTGTTTATTTTAATGCTTTGATTGAATTGTTTTATGGGTGTGTTTATATGTTTTGTATTTTTTATTTATTTGTAAACAGCTTAGCAACAGTATAAATAAATAATCTACACTGTGTTTTGACTTGAGTCCAGAATACCCCATTTATTCTCCCCACTACATGAGGAGCAGAGGGTGAAAAGGAAACTCTGCCAGGCACTTTGCCTCTTTGGCACCCTCCAAGTCAGAAGCAGAAGCTGAAAAGTGAAAAGTTGCCCTTTCTAGGTATGCCTCTCTTGTCGTTTGGAAAGGATGTTCCTCCTCAAGGTGAAGAAAAATGCCACTGAATGCAATCAGTTCAACAGAAATATGAGCAACACAAAACTTCAGGGCGAACAGCAGTAGCCACCAGGCTGCTGGTCTCCTTTGAAAACCCTTCGGCTCTCTTCTCAAAAATGCACAAGGCCCTGCTTTGTAAAACAACAGTTCTCCACTTACAGCTTCCTTGCAGAGCTTTGTATCATCAGGAAGCAACGTCACTTTCTCCATCACTTGCAAGGCTCTGTTCAGGTACCCGGGGGTCCACATGAGCGGCATTTTGTGGTACACAGCTCGTAGCCCCTTGTGCAGCTCCACTTTTCCTGTTATTATTAAAACAGACACTGTGAGTGTTACTGCATTATTTAAAGTAGAAAGAACCGTTAAAATTGGAAGCATCTTTCCTGTACTCAAAGTAGACGAGATGCTAAACACATCACTGTGAATCATGTCAGTGTCTTTACTTGGACAGCAAATCCAGGGCGCCTTGGTTTTCACTGGGGCTACAGCATGTTGGAAGAGAAAACTTAATTATTTTCTCCCCTGCTGGGGTCCTGATGAAAATCTCTACTTGTTTGCTATTAACATAGCACCAAGGGAAGAGTTTTGTCAGGACAATGGTGTGGGAGGAAAGAGTTAAACCTCTGCTTCCATTCCCACCTCAGTTTGGCCTCAAATAGTCATTGTTTGTACCTGGAAAAGAGTAGAAGTCAGTCAAAAAAGCAACAATGGGGTCTTCCTGTCTCTTTCTTGCCACATTATTCCTCCCAAACATACAACAAAACCCCCTCGTGAGGGTCAGGTAGATCTCAAGAACTACCTCACATGGAGGAGGAGTGGGAATCCTTAGTCTCCTGCTCTGCTTGATCATATCTGTAAGTTTCCTGAACTTGGAAAGAGCCAAACAATGTTCAAAATATTCACACTATTTTGTGTACAGTGAGAGGAGTTGGAGGATAGTGTTAGACTTAACTTGCACATGACATATTAGTGTCCTTTATTACCTAGAGACAATATTTGGTTTCCTTGATTATTGTATACTCATAGCACCAAGGGCTGCAACACATATTACTGTTTTCCCAAGCGCAGGAAGTTACACAGATGTCTTCAGACACATATCTGTTTTTCTATTTTGAAAGACCTTTTCTTCGTATGAAAATTGTAACACTTCAAGTAATCCTAAACTATGTGTGGATTAAAACCTGAGCAATGGCTAACCTAAAATTATTTATTAGCAGGATCCACCCCTTGCTGTTGTCTTTCTGGTGAAACCCAATCATTGATGTTAAACATTTCAGATGTGGCCTTGCTTCTCTTACTGGAGTTTCTATCACCTTTAACTGTCTATGCTAATCACAAAGGTACATCTAACAATGAAAACCACTGTGACACACCTTCATCTCTCTTCCCCAAACAGGGAAGCCACAGAGAAGCACAGGAACGTGTGTGCAAACAAACGCTCATTGGGCGATGGCTAAATATAAACTGCTAAGGTGCTCCAGGCCAGTCTATGCCCACAGACATCTTTCACTCTTTGCAGAGGTCTAGTCCATTAGAGCTGGCAAGACTGCAGAATATGTGACAAAGCAGAAAATAGCTTTTGATCTTCTGAATCTCAATGTCAGCAGGGTCACTAGCACACAACAGTAAAATGATTTGCTAAGTGCAAGGCCTTCCCATATTATTTGGGCTATATTTAAATATACATACATACATACATACATACATACATACGTCTGCAGTAACCAAAGAGAGGAGGAATGCATTTATCTGTCAATAGCTCAAGCGAAAAGCAAACCAACAGTTCTGCCAATTTGCGGCAGTTTTCATCTTGGTTCCTACTGCATCTGCAGTTTTGTCTTAAAGTCAGGTAAAATCAGAATCAGCGCCCTCCTCCTGACCTGTCACGGGCATTATTATCATTGTTAACAAGCTGTGAAACTTAGAGAGAGAGCAACTATCCAACGTTGTTTTTTTTACTAAAACTGTATTGCACCTAAGGGTAAACATGCCATTAACAGCTAGGAATGGAGAAGGGCAAAACTTTCATGGACTTTTAACCTTGTATGAAATAAAATCATAATACAACGTAGGAAGGGTGTTGAAACAGGGGACTTCAGACACTGTGGCCTCAAAATTAATCCCACCTCCCCAAAGGTGTGGAATTTCAGTGGGTTTATGGAATCATGTGGGGAGACAGGATGAAGAGTTGCTCTTGAGTTGACACCCTTCCCTTTCCTTCCAGGTCAATATATATAGCTTCTTATATCTGCTATTGGTATTCTGGTGATTAGGAAAATATGGAAAACAATTCTTTATTTTAGGCATAGAAAAAGTTTTTAAAGGTGTGAATTCAAAATGCACCACAACCTGAAAAATCTGGTCCCATTCTGAGCTGGGTCCTGTCTCCTTCAAGCTTGGCCCAACTCAAAATAAACACCACACCAACCCTCTGCTGGTGCTCTGCTCTTCCACCCTTCTTAAGGAATAAAGGGTCTTAGTCTGATACAGAAGAAACCTCACAAGGACTCATCTTAGATGCAAATGATGCCTAGAGCTTCATCTACTGCTAGGGATCATGGTGCTTGTAGTTTGAAAACTGCAAAAGGAAGGACTTCTTCACAGCACAACTGGAAGTCACAATATGTAGCAATAGCCACCAACTTTGATGTCTTTAAAAGGGGATTTGACAAATTAATAGAGGATACAGCTATCAAGGACTACTATTTTTTATTGATGTTGTATATCGTCCTACACCTGTTGATCTCAGGGCAGTTCACAGCATAAAATCACAATACAGTGGTACCTCGGGTTACATATGCTTCAGGTTACATACACTTCAGGTTACAGACTCCGCTAACCCAGAAATAGTACCTCGGGTTAAGAACTTTGCTTCAGGATGAGAACAGAAATTGTGCTCCGGTGGCGCGGCAGCAGCGGGAGGCCTCATTAGCTAAAGTGGTGCTTTAGGTTAAGAACAGTTTCAGGTTAAGAACGGACCTCCGGAACAAATGAAGTACTTAACCCGAGGTACCACTGTATAAAAAACAGAAAATACATAATAGAAACAAAAACAGACAACCCAACTAGTCCTAGTTAAGGACTCAAGTACTTAAACTTTGCAGGGGTCAGCAAACTTTTTCAGCAGGAGGCCGGTTCACTGTCCCTCAGATCTTGTGGGGAGGCCGGACTATATTTTGAAAAAAATAATGAACGAATTCCTATGCCCCACAAATAACTCAGAGATGCATTTTAAATAAAAGCACACATTCTACTCATGTAAAAACAGGCTAATTCCTGGACTGCCGCAGGGCGGATTTAGAAGGCGATTGGGCTAGATCCGGCCCCCGGGCCTTGGTTTGACTACCCATGACTTAAAGGATAATTACACAAACACCCACTCACCCACACTCCATACTAGGTGGCCTTGCTCATGGTTCCCTCAATGGACATGGTCTATGGGGCTGCTCATATGGCAGGGCCTTCTCGGTAGTGGTGCCCGCCCTGTGGAATGCCCTCCTATCAGATGTCAAGGAAATAAGCAGCTATCCTATTTTTAAAAGACATCTGAAGGCAGCCCTGTTCAGGGAAGTTTTTAATATTTAATGCTGTACTGTTTTTAACACTCGATTGGGAGCTGCCCAGAGTGGCTGGGGAAACTCAGCCAGATGGGTGGGGTATAAATAATAAATTGTTGTTGTTGTTCAAGTAACAACTTAAAACACATTTATTTCATCTGGCCTCTGGACAAAATCAGAATTACTCTGCCATATCACTGTCTGTTAATACTATATCCAATGTTTTATTTTACTGTTATGTTTACTTGTGCATTTTTATGATGACTGTTTTTAGCAACCTCTGAGCTGAGCATGAGGAATAAATAAGCGACCTTTGGTATCAGAGGCATCAGTATATCTATGAATATCAGTTTATGGGGAGCACCAAAAAGGGGAGCGATGCTCAGATCCTGCTTGTGGGCTTTCCATGGCATCTTTTTGGCTACTGTGGGAGGCAAGATGCTGGACTAGTCTTTCCTTATGTTCTTACTAACTGCATACCCAGTAGAAAATGGCACCCTGTACACTACTTGCAGTAGCCTTGTAGGCCCTGTTTTGTGTTGAAGTGAGCCATCCATCACTTGTTACCCTTTACTCTTTTTCCAAGGTAGGTATTCCTGCCTGCTCCCCAGCTTGGGGATAAAGGGTGGGAGTAGAGAGAGAGAGAACTTGGCAGGAAGCAGGGTTCATACATACAAAGCTCAGTTGGCAGAGCATAAGACCCTTAATCTCAGTGCCGTGAGTTCAAGCACCACGTTGGGCAGAAGATTCCCACATTCCAGGGGGTTGGACTAGACAGTCCCTATCGTGGTCCCTTCTGACTCTACAATTCTATGATTCAACCAACTGGGATTTTCATGCATTCAGCATGAATTTAAAGCAACAACAACAACATCCAGTTGATTTTTGAACCTCACACATCTATGATTTATTTGGACTGCATGCCAAAACACAAAACTTGATTTAGTTCTAATTTTGCAACCCGTCAAAGGCTATACAGTGGTACCTCAGGTTACATACGCTTCAGGTTACAGACTCCGCTAACCCAGAAATAGTACCTCGGGTTAAGAACTTTGCTTCAGGATGAGAACAGAAATCGTGCAGTGGCAGCAGGAGGCCCCAACAGCTAAAGTGGTGCTTCAGGTTAAGAACGGACCTCCAGAACAAATTAAGTTCTTAGCCTGAGGTACCAGAGGGCCTTCTCGGTAGTGGCGCCCGCCCTGTGGAACGCCCTCCCATCAGATGTCAAAGCGATAAACAACTACCTGACATTCAGAAGACATCTTAAGGCAGCCCTGTTCAGGGAAGTTTTTAATGTGTGATATTTTAGTGTATTTTTGGTTTCTATGGAAGCCGCCCAGAGTGGCTGGGGAAACCCAGCCAGATGGGCAGGGTATAAATAATAAATTATTATTATTATTATTATTATTATTATTACCACTGTATTAGAATTTAAATCGAAGAATCTCACTAATCCAGCTACTTTTAATCAACCAATAAAGCAGCACGGTAAAGTGCTTGTAATGAAACACTATATAACTTACCGAGAAGTGCTAAGCCATACAGCTGGGAACTGAATCCCACCGTGTTGGTCTGCTTCAGGCCTGCCAAGAAGAGGGACGCTCCGAGATTCCTCTCTTCCTCCCACTGAAAATAGCAAACATTGCTGTTACATTTTCTGTCACATCTGGTGCTTGGTTTTCACCACCATGCAAAATATATTCTCTGATACAAGCTGGCCCAAGTTGACTCTTCTGTAATGGAAGCTGCTAGTCAGATGAATGGAGCATGTATCCCTTCATGTATCTTACCATCTCAGCCACAGCTTACCGTAAGTTCTGATTTGGTTGTCAAATACTTGTACATCACGTAGAGTGAGAGAAGTTGTGTAGAAACTTCGTCAAAACTTTCCTGTATCATTATCTCAGTGACCACAGCCATCGCATCTAACAATAAACAAAACATTTAAAAATTAAAGGCGTGGTTTGCCAAGACTCTTCTTCCCACATTAGTTTCAAAAGACATGAGTGTGCTTTCCTCTTTTACACCCGAATCTTGATGTGCAAAAAAATGCAGCATCAGAAGAAGAACACATCTGCCTTTTGCAGAACCGGGAGGCACATAAGGAAAACATTTGGAAGCAGTCACAAAGCTGGTGTATCTTATCTATGCAACAGTTCCGCTCTGTGCCAGGAGACCTTCCTTAAAATTAAAATGGGAGTGAGAGAGGATAAGAGTCATGGTACTTTACACGTAAGGACTTTAAACTCACAAACACCCTAAGCAAAGAATACTTCATGGACTGTGTCAACAAAGCTAACTCCAAAATGAATTCAGGGGCTTAAGGCAAGGTCTCTTGACAACAAGCCCTAAGTTTGCTGGAGCGCACAGCATCTCGATACGAGCAACAATGCACAAATTCTTGAATGATGTACCATCTGGAATTATTTCCTGAGTGGCTTTAGAGGTGCTTAAGGAAAGGATGGCACTTTCCATTAGGAGGCCGTGTCAGCTAAAAAACTTTGGAAAATAATGTTGATACAGAGGAACTCTCAGTCAACCCATGTTGAAATGCACTGGGTGATTTGATTACATTAATACCCCCCCCCTTGATTTTTACCTCCTCTCTTGCAGAAGGGCTACAGAGGGTTAGTAGTAGAAGATGCACTAGGCATGCAAAAGATCTCTGGCTCATGACTGGCACTGGGGTTGAGAAAAGAATCTTGCTGGAAATGCTGGTGCCAGTTGATGTCAGTGCCATGGTCAGATCACTTCCTGGTGCAACTGGACTTCTCCGTGACCCTTCCCCTCTGCAGGGAGGCGGGACCGATTCAGATGGTCCGCCCCGCCCTTGTGAATCCAAATGGTTTCCAGAGAGTGGTGAGATGTTTATCATGTTGATGGCCTTTCAGCTGATTCCCTGGTGGCCCGCTGGGCTGGAAGTTAACAGAGCTATTGACTGTTTTTGGCTCTAAGCGCCCTCTCCGATTATGAGTCCGGACAGCCCACGTGGTTTTCACGATCTGAAAACAATGAAACAATGTCGGTAGAGGAGCGGCTAGAGCGCCGGTGGCGGAATAGCCCATTCTAGATCTGACCGGACAGGTTAGAGCTCAATCTTGACCTACCAAGTGAGCGATAGCGGCAGCGAAAGACTTTCTTCACGCCTCTGTGCATCTACGGAAAGCTGTGGCAGGAGACTCTCAGGTGGTGCATGGCCATGGAACCACCTGTCCCATCAAGACCCAGTAAGCAGCATGATCTCCTGCAATGACTTTGCAGTTTTTTAAAGATCATTCAGTATCTGAATTCGAGAGAGGTGAACTCCACCGTGGGGCTGGGGCCGGGCGGGAGGTGCTGGGTCCTGTCTGGTCAAGTTGTGTGGATCAATTCCAATCTATTGCCCGAGGATGTGGACAGGCTGCTTGGGCTGCAGTGAGCCAGCCACTTCACCTCCTTGATCACTTGCCCATCCTGGCTTATAAAGCTAGCAGGAAGGACTGGGCGATGGGCCCGTGGGGTGAGTAGATGCTTCCCTCCGTGAGAGCCTTCACACCCGCTAGAAGAGAAGCGATTATTAAACCTTCTTAAAAACCATCTCTTTAGATGCGGCCCACACGATAGCCAACTATCGCAGTCTCAAATCTTCCATTCTTGACAGATGAACCAAGGCAGTGGTTGCTGAACAACTCCAAACACGCCCTGGAAGAAAGCCCAGACCATTTGGATCCTTCAGTCGGGTTTTGAGCCTCATCATGGGACTGAAACTGCCTTGAAAGTGGCACTGGTTGATGATCTCCGGCGGGCTAGGGACAAAGGTGAGAGCTGTTTCTAGTTCTGGATCTCTCAGCGGCATTTGATACTGCACTCGACCATAACATCCTTCTGGACCGTCTTGGGGGCTGGGAGCTGGGGCCTGTTGCACAGTGGTTCGCTCCTTCCTCTGGGCCAGTATTCAGAAAGTGGTGGTAGGATGAGTGTTCAGACCCTGGGCCTCACTTGTGGGGTGCATAGTTCTATCCTCTCCCCATGCTGGCATTTTACATGGGCCACTGGAGAGATCATCAGGGGATTTGGTGAGATTGTCAGTATGCGGGTATTTAGCTCTGCCTCTCTTTCAAATCAGAACTGATGAAACAGTAGAAGGTCCTGTGTGAGTGCCTAGAAGTGGTTGGAGGTTGGATGGCGGCTAACAGATTGAGGGTTAAGATCCTGACAAGACTGAAGTACTGTTTTGGGGGACAGGAGGTGGGCAGGTGTGGAGTTCCTGACCTGATGGTGTTCTGCTAAGGACCAGAGTCATGAGCCTAGGCGGGTCATTTTGAATGCAGCTGTCCATGGGGCACAGGTCAAATCTGTGTCAAGGCAGCTGTTTGCTCCATCTAGTCGCGAGCTGAGACCCTATCTGCCTGCGGACTGCCCCTACTCAGAGTGGTGCATGCTCTGGTTGTCTCCTTAGTTACTGCAATCGCTCTCATTGCAGGGAGGCTACCTTGAAGGTGACCTAGAGCTACAACTGGTCAGACGGCAGCTAGACACGCTGATGACCAGGAGCGGCACCGGACCACATAACACCGGTCTTGAAAGTTCTGTTGTAACTCCCAGTCGTTTCAAGGCACAATTAAGTGCTAGTGTGACAGCACCAAAGCCCTAAGCGAGCGCCCAGTCCAACGTCTATCCAGAAGGGCGTCTCACCCCATTCGTTCTACCGGACCTGAAGGTCAGCACTGGGGGGCCTTCTGAGCGGTTCCCTCACTCTGAAACCAAGTTACAGAACCAGGCAGAGGCCTTCTGATGACCAGCCTTCCTGTGGGCCTTTACTCACCAGATGTCAAGAACAGCAACTACTGGAGCTTAGAAATATCAGACAGCCCTATTTAGAAGCTTTTAATGTTTGATATATTATAGTATTTTAATATTCTTTTGAAGCCTTGGGTGGCCGGAAGTAACTGATTAGTGATTATAAATAATAAATTATTATTATTATTGTATGTGTGTGTATTATGTCAAAAATACTGAGCTGAAAGGATCAATGTCCTGACTCAGTAGAAAGGCAGGGTTTCTTTTGGCTCCTCGGCAAACCACGGCAAATCAGATGAACAGAAAGAGGTCCAAAGGCGGCCATATATAAATATGAAGAAACAGGGAAGATCACGATGACCAGCAGCTGACATATGCTTACTTACCTTCATAATTCTCATCCTTTATAAAAGAATCCAACAATATATTGAAGGTAAAATAATCTGGGATAATTCCATATTGAACCTGCAAAAAACAAGCGGAAAGCACAACAGTCAATACATTTTGATGTATTTTTAATCTTTGTTGGAAGTCCATCCAGATGGGCAGGGTACAAATAAATTATTATTATTATTATTACATCTCATCTCATTTTAGACTATGATACGATTGTGTAGCACAGTAGGGCAAGGCCAAGGGGATGCCTGGACCAGTAAATCTCCCACTTTTACTTGTCTTTCACTGCTTGAAATGGGAGTAGGATAAAGAATGTCCTTTGGAACATACCACTGCTTAATACTGACCAGGCAAGCAGAAAACTGCAACTGCATGTAGCTGGCCATTCATCCCTTACTGCCTATCCACTTGGGCCTTCAGATGTTCAAAACTGGTAGCATGGATTGTTCTGAGCTGTGTTCTTCGGGGGGGGGGGGGCGACCTAGTAAAGCCACATTTGCTGACTTACAGCAACGTCTCTGCTCTTAAGGTAGTCCTTCAACAAGGAGGAAGACAGAGCTCTACATGCAGCAATGATACTGCTGCCACAGCTTTTCTTCACCATCACGAAGTCTTTGTCTTGGTTTTCATTGATCTGGAAGGTGCTCTGGGAGCCTTTAAAGCTGAAGAGCAGGGTTTTAAAAACGCTTCACAGAAACAGCAGTCGGAAACTTGTGCATTCATGCAACCATCCACCTGTATGAATGCATTCTTCTACCGTTCCCTATAGTTAAAAATTTGCCGTAAGATTGCACAGCCATACATTTAGCGATGTGCAGTGTGGAAGAGCCCTTTATACTCTATGCCAGAGGCAAAGATTGTTCAGGGATGACTGTCACTTCACTGCGTTTCTTGCCAAGCGGTAGATTTTAAGGGGATGGTTCCTGCATAATTTTCCCCACAAGTCTTTCGGTCCTCTTAGGAACAAGACCTAATTCCTTTGTGCGCAGACATAAGAATGTCTCTGCATCACTAAAGCAGGAGACATCATCCGCTGCCAACTTAAAATCTAAGCTAAAAGGAAAAGCCAAAAAGCTAAACAATAAATGCTGCAAGGATCATGTGCTTCTGGGAATGCAAAGATGGATATCTACAGGCAATTATTGCCCACTCCTGTTCAAAGCATTTCTGAGTCGGGTAGAAAACATATTGCTGATGCTGCCTACAAGGCTTCCAGCAGGTTCCACAATACCATACTCCAAATAAATTAAATAATTCATTCAACACAGAACTTTAAAATAAGCGGTGGGCACAAGCCAGACAATAAAGAACATTTTCAGGTCTGACTGATTCCAGCAGGAGATCTATATATATATATATATATAAGCATGGGCTTAACTCCCCATCCGCACTCTGAAATAGCTGGTACTTGTTTAAATTTGGCTGGTCAGCTCCACTACAAAAAGGAAACAGCAGAGATTGCATGAAGTTTATCTAAAATTCCACACTTTTATCGTAAACAAAGAATACAGTCTTCTGAACAGGAGACACATTCACAGAAAGGTTTCAGATGTAGCTAACTATGTACGTTTAACAACATTTCAAAAATGTCTTGTTCAAGCATCACCTTATTTTGCAAAGTGTACAAAGCTTTATCCTGTGCCCCAAACTTCAGGCATTGCCTGATCCAGCTGTGGATGATCCAGTCTCTCAAGTAAAAGCAATTTGGGCTGTGACGAAACCTAAGGGATGAGACAAAACATAAAAAATTAAGAGAGACCCGGACGCATGCTGGCCTACAAAGGTATGTGAATTAATTAAACATAAGCGGTATAAAACACAGATTTTCTTTGTAGTTTCAGGGGGTAGATCTATAAAGGGAGCTGGATCCAGACTTAGTCATGTTTAGTACAGTCCTATTGAACAGGACCTAAGCCAGGCATGTCCAAAATCCGTTTCGAGGGCCTAATCCGGTTTATTGTTTATTTCCTAGGGTAAAATCCTAAAATATAAAGAAAGCTCAACAACTTCAATCCTAAAAAAAGGTCAACAACTTTGGTCAGCCCTCACAGCCCTTCACTTCATCAAATCTGGCCCTCTTTAAACAAAGTTTGGACACCACTGTATAACCTTGTTCCTTGTTTGTTTAAAAGGAAGGGAGAAACATGAGAAAACCCTCTTCCACCCAGTATTATATAGAAAAACACCACCACCCCTGCCTTCAAAATGCATTTTCACCTCTACCCTTGTGGAAGTAGCAGAACCACCTTTCCACATGACAGAAACAGTTCTGTTAAGAGGTGCATGTGTGAGCTTTTCGGCCCAGTGCCAGATACATCCACCTTGTTTTTAAACGGCTACAGAAGGACCTAGTGTGGAATTCAACCAAGTTGTGTGCATGGAACAAGGTCCACTCACATAATTGGCTTTCTCCCTCCTCTCTCTTGCTGCAAGCCACCCACTCCCTAAATATGCTCTGGAGGGAGATAGAACCCATAATAAGTTTAGGGGGCACATGAGGGGGAGGAAAGGAGGGGTCCTGTTGATTTTATTCTGTACACACACACACACACACACACACCCCTAGTGCTACGTTGAATTCTACCTTCATGTTCTATGAATGAGTTAGTATGCAGGATACATCAAAATGGAGTTATGCCGGAGATGTACAAAAAACTGCCTCTCACATGTTACTCAATGGTGAAATGGAAGTGCTATGCAAGTAGGAAGCTGTGGAAACTTGTATGTAGGTAGTCGGATATTGCTGAGAGCAGCATAATATGAAAGTTATTATCTGAAGCGCTTTCCTAAACAGAGGTAGCTATTTTAGAAAGCAGGATAACAAAAGAAATAAACCTATTTCAGAAAGTTAATATTAATATTCCATAAACTATCAGACTAAACAGCCCCTCGCATTGTCAGCTCATGGATTTTAGTATTCAGAACAAGCTGCAGCAGATCAGCTTCTGCCATTGTGATCTATCTATTATTATCACCGTGGCTGGGGTCAGGGGTTCAGCATTACTGGGCACTTGCCAAGGCTCGCTGCCCAGCAAGGGCCCACTGCCAATCCCGTCAGCCTTCTTGCCCTGCTGTCGCTGCCTGTTTCCTTGCCCTCTCTCAAAGAGCAAGCAGTGAGATGAGCAAGGAGAGGCACTAAGCTCCACGTGTCTTGTCCTCCCCCGCTAGGAGCAAGTGCAGGCTGGGCCCAGAGGGAGAAGCAAACAAAGGAGCAGATCAAGGTGGGTGAACTGTGCACATTCAGGGAGGGAGGCCTTGCGGGAATGTATTTCCCAAGGCAACCCTTCTCCCATTCCCTCCCACCTCAGAAAGCAACAACACCCTGCACTGATTGTTGTATTCTGTACTGTCTTCTTATTTATTGTTGGCTATATTTTCAAAATAAAAGAGAAGTTACTTCCAGGTAGGGACAGTATTAACCATGAGATGAGCCCTGTTAGGCTTAAAGGGTGCTGCACGCTCTGGCATGCGCACCACCAAAAAGCTTTTCCCAAATGGGAGAGCACGGCCTGTGCTGGAGCAGCATGCAATTGTGTTTTGAGATGTCTCTGTGCAGTTTACACCTCAACAAAAATACATGTGCATTATATATACAGTGGTGCCTCGCAAGACGAAAAGAATCCGTTCTGTGAGTCTCTTCGTCTAGCGGTTTTTTCGTTTCGACGGATTAGCGGATTAGCGCTATTAGCGGCTTTTAGCGGCTTATCAGCTTATCGGATAAGCAGATAAGCGGCTTAGCGGCTTAGAAAAAGGGGGGGAAAGGAAAAAAAAAACGCAGGAACTCGCAAGACATTTTCGTCTTGCGAAGCAAGCCCATAGGAGATTCGTTTTGTGAAGCACCTCCAAAACGGAAAACTCTTTCGTCTAGCGAGTTTTCCGTCTTGCGAGGCATTCGTCTTGCGGGGCACCACTGTAAATACAAATCTCACCTTCAACTCAGCTTGATTGCATATGCGACCATTATAGTGTGTGAGAAGCCTTTTGGCAGCAAGATGCAAAGCTTGAATTGGGCCCCAGAGCCTAGAATCAGGCTCTTTGTGCAAGACAATCTACAGAAGGTCAAGGCATAAAATCTGGTAAACCAAAGTAATTGCCCAGAGGAAGTCATCCTTCATGGACAAAAGAGGTCCAAAAATAAAAACACCAACAACAGTAGTGTTGAAATGCCACAAGGTTTTAGGGCTAGAGAACTACTTTACAGTGGACGCTAGTGGTTTCCAGACTAGGATTTAGAAATGGAAATGTTGGTTTAGGTTGTAGAAAAACATATAATTATCTTCAGTGTTCCAACAACTTTCTCATAAACTCTCATGCCCTTAAAGTATTCCTAAAGGACAGAGTTTTACAATCGACAGTTAAATCCGGGACTAGAAAATGCTAGAGGGGGCCTTACGTTTATCTGTATAAAGAAGTGCCACAACATTTTATGGGGGGAATTAATGGTATAAAAGAATTCAATTGTGTTTAATAGTAGGAAGGAACTGGGAGGCGGGTGGGTAGGGCTGAAGGGGAGAAGGAACTCCCTCAACATTTGTCTCGATCGTTGTCTGAGCCTCAGACAGAAGAACCTAAAATCTATGTAACCGTGAGCAACAAGGGCTAGCAAGCATTAGATCAAACCCCCAGTGAGCTCTAGCCCAGACCTCTTTTTGAAGAACATCAGGATGAATGAACAGCACTAATACGCAGATGCTAGCAGCCTGGAGCCAAACTGCAGCACCATTTAGTGGTAGGATTGGTTCTTCCATCTGAATGAGCATGCTTTCCAGAACATTTATCAGACTATTATAGCCACCAACCCTTTTCACTTCCCTCTAGTGAGTTTCAGAGAATTGTCCCTTATGGCTACCGGCTATACAGATTACCAAGGGGAGGAGGGAGGTTGCAGCAGTCGGCCGTGTTAGTAGAGACCCAGCTGCTAGCTAAAGGATGTATATATGCTATGTTGAAAGTGACAGATTATCTCCCTTCATATTAATGCTAGACTTATGTGTGGTTTTTTAAAGGCACATTTAAAATATCAAGCCATGAATGTCCATTTGGATGATCTAATTGGTTCCTACATTTCTTGCTTGAACTCTGATATTAAGAACAGGAAGATCCTATATTTGCTTTCATTAGGGGCCTGGCTCAAAAATGCTTGCAGGAAGCATCAATTACAGGCAATCAGGCTGAATCATATTATGATGGATCAATTACCTAATTGGTACTGACTGGCTCACTAGACAGCGAGAGAAAGAAGAGGTCAGACAGCAAGATCTGCATCCAGTCACAAAGAATGGAAAATCCTGTATGGGGCCCCAATTATCTCCTAAGTTTCCTGTTCCAAACTGGCTAGTGTACGGGTGAGATAGCGAGTGGTCAGAATCGTGGATAGCAGGACTGCAACGCTGGATGCAAAAACAGGATGGGCCACAAGGTTCACTGTTAAGGAGCGAGTGTTGCTCCAACACTGGCCTGGAGCAAACAGAAAGGTCCTACAGGGTGAGGTGCGCGTGAAGCCAAGAAGCCTAACTGAGAGTTGAAAGGACCACACACGGGCCAGAGCTGGAATGCTTCCTGCAGCCTTGGTTGGAAGGTGAGATGCAGGTGGTGAGCCCTTTTTCTTCCATGTGACTATCTAGCAGCCACACTTGACAGCCAGCCACCTGTGGTAGTTCGTGAATCCTGTAATCTTTGTCGCGACATATGCTGCCTTCAGTTTCTTGAAGGAAGGTGGAGCATAAGTGCAAAAAAACCCAACCACAATAGCTAAATAATCTATGCACATACAACTGCCTGCGCAAAGGGTCTGGTACATGCAATTTGGAACTCAAGACATTTCAACATTGCTGCATGCTAGCAAACTGTAATGTCTTGAAATATTTACTTGTATTCTCTTTTTTTTGCAATAATGTTTATTAAGTTTCTTATAAATGTAACACATATTGTAAAAACAAATACAACAGAGAATAAAAAAAGAAAAAAGAAAAAAAGAAAAACAACATAAAACAAGTACAGCAAATAACAACAAATAAAAAATATAACAACTAACACATAAACAATACAAATTGATTATTTAGTTAAACATCCAACGTCATAAACATGTTGCTTGACTTCCTCTGGTCCCTTCCATCTGAATTTTCCTTGTAACTAAATGTAGCAGTTTTCCAATATCATTATTCCAAAACAATATTCTAATTATAGTCCAATTTATTAACTTTTCTTAATATTCTAAATCTCATTTATTTAATTAAATACTAATTCAATCCTAGGCCTGATTAGTACTTTCAAGTATCTTCTAATTTTTAATATTACAATATTTATTCAGATAGTCTTTAAATTTCTTCCAATCTTCTTGATGTTCCTCTTCTTTCTGGTCGCGGATTCTTCCAGTGAGGTCAGCTAGCTCCATAAATTCCATCATCTTCATCTGCCATTCTTCCACCGTTGGTAATTCCTGTGTTTTCCATTTCTTGGCTATTAAAATCGAGCAGCAGTTGTGGCATACAAAAATAACTTTACATCTTTCTTGGAAATATTTACTTGTATTCTTAAAAAAATTCTAACAGAAACAAATTTAAAGCTTTGAATTCATTTAAATACAACATTTAAACAACACTAAGCAGAATTCTCCATTAATTTCCCTCTCTACTCCATTACTTAAATGCTCTTTGCCATTAGAAAACTCTTGAGATATTTATACAGCATGTAAAATTAACGTTCTGTACTCGATGAAGTTTGTTGGCTGAATATATAATGTTGTTAAATTTGATCTCTAGAGATTTAGGACATTTTGAAGGGGGGGATGAGTTGAGGAAACCTACAAGTTTCCAGTCAGTGGAGATGCTACACATTTGTCTTAAAAAAAGAAGAAAAAAAAGAAAAAGAAGTATTTAGAGTATCTGTTTACCAGCAGCTTAAAGCACAGATCTGATAACAGGGATATGCTTTAGACAGCATTGCATAGTATTGCAATTAAAACAGAAGAATATATTTACTGCTAAGAAAACCAGAGTTGGTTTACTGCTAAGAATATTTACTGCTAAGAAAACCAGATGGATGTTCTAACTGTAACAGGAACTGGAAATCTGCTTCTTCAGAATTTCCAAACGCTGCAGTTTAATGCAAAACACACACCAAACACTATTTGCAAAGGGTACCAGCTCCCCTTGGGAATGGAACAAGTCACAGCCCTGGATGGCCACAAGAGGAATGGCTTGGGAAGACATGAATGATGTCATGTCTAGTATAACTTCTCCCTAGCAACAGGATTAACATTTGAAAAGGGGATGAGGGTTTCAAAGAAAGGAAAACAGAACCCACAACATATTTCCTAACTGGCCTGGGGGGGTGGAGTGTGACAAGTCTCTTGCTAGTTGTGACAGACAGGAGCACACAAAGAAAGTAAATGCAAACATACACACACCTGCTGACAAGAGGCTTACAATAGTTGGGGGTGGGGAGCATTGGGGGCCTTACTAAAAATATGAGCTAGACAGCTTTGATTAACCAAACAGCAACACCAGAGCACTGTGGGTTATGTTCATGACACCACCTCTAGTTTTATATGCCTCCCAGGTATCACTTTGAGGCACAGTAAAGGTAAAGGTAAAGGGACGCCTGACCATTAGGTCCAGTCATGGCCGACTGTGGGGTTGCGGAGCTCATCTCGCTTTCCGGGCCGAGGGAGCCGGCGTACAGCTTCCGGGTCATGTAGCCAGCATGACTAAGCCGCTTCTGGCGAACCAGAGCAGCGCACAGAAACGCCGTTTACCTTCCCGCCGGAGCAGTACCTATTTATCTACTTGCACTTTGATGTGCTTTCGAACTGCTAGATTGGCAGGAGCTGGGACCGAGCAACGGGAGCTCACCCCGTCACGGGGATTTGAACCGCTGAGCTTCTGATCAGCAAGTGCTAGGCTCTGTGGTTTAACCCACAGCGCCACCCTGTGGTTTAACCCACAGCGTCCCTTGAGGCACAGTAGGGCAGGAATAGAACAGATACAGAAAGAAAGAACTGCCCCTACTAAGAAGATGTGGAGTTTTCAGGTCCATGCGTTTTCCAACAGGAGCCCTTAAATCTTACCATTAACAACTGTATCAGTCCAAGATACCAGCCCATAGTGAGCAACAATTCCTACTGGGTATGTCAGTTTCTAGACCCAACAAGTAGCTTTCACTCATATTCCCCTGTTACAACGTAGGTAGCCAAGGAGCAACTGGTGAGATTTGTAGCTTCAAAAGTTATACAAACATAAAATCATGGTTCATTTGAATCATGAATGGCTGCTGTAGAATCATAAATGTAGGACATATTGCCAGATTTCTAGACAACTCTATAGCCATTTTGAATGTTCCCCATCCTGCCCTCACTGTGGGTGTGGAAACATGTGAATTCTGAAACATGGTAGGAAAACCTTCAAGAAAAAATATTCTTCAGTACTGTATCATAAACTTCCTACAAAATTCATTTGTTCCCTTACTAAGGTTATATTGCAGAAAGATTGGCTGACAACTGCTTTGTCCTTATCTACAAAGACAAAATTTTTGGGACTCATTTTGTTCCTCATATTCTTAAGCCTGGGGATTCTTTCTGATTTAGGATTCAAGCTGAAATGGAAGATTTCAGGGCCTTTTAAAGAGATGTTTCTACAGTTGCTTGCTCTCTCTTTTTGTTCCTTCCCACTTTTCTCTTTATGTTGCCTGCAGACAGAGTTCATCTGGTTTTGTCTTTCTATGGCACCATTTTAGATGCTGGACAGATAAATATTATTTTTCTTTAAGCAGAGAGAACAGTTTTGTTTGCCAATAACTTAGCATGAAATTAAACCAGTCTTGTTACTCTGGTACATCATAATAATTGGCTCCAGATAACCAGTCACAGCCATTGCCAAGGTAATGGCAACCAGAAAAACAGTCTTCTTCCTGTGATAAATAAAGGCTGAACAGCCATCCCTCTCTCTCCCTCCTGTTTAGCGTGGGCTAGGGAAGAGATACTGGATTATTCTGTAACGGAAAGATAATGGATGTTAGAAGCAGCAGGATCTGGCCTGGGTGGGGCAAATGCCACTGGCAAATAGTGGGCAGCAATGGTCCCTTCCAACTCTGCAGTTGTCGAGGTGATTAACTGCCTAGAAATTCACTCTGGGATGATTATGCCTGTTGATTATTTGGGAAGAGTGGCCTGAAAGGCAAACTGTCACTCCGAATATCAAAGCACCAAAATGTGTTTTTAAACAACAACTTCAGGTGGATTCAGACAAACAACTGAGGTAATGAGATGGTGACTAGCCACCAAAGGCATGGATCACTCATGTGAATATGTGACTCATCACTGTCAAATAGCTATGGTGTAGAATTCAAAGAACTCTAGGTAACCTCACCTTTTGGTTGCTGCGGCAGACGCCCCTTTGTGACTTTCTGCCTTTCTGAATCAAGCGTCAATTGGTTTCATTTGGGCTGTTTCCAGAACAAATGACTGAAGGATTGGGATGATCACTTCTCTTGTTGAGTAGCTCCATCAATAGTAATAAACACCAGCATAAGTAGAGAGATTGAGCTGTACTCACGGCAGAGCCAAGTTTGGGTACTGTAGGTTACCGTGCTCAGATGACTGTTGGTAGCAGTGTGTGCACGACCGTGTGTAAGGCTCCCTAAGGACCCAACACTCCATTCAAGAAGGGTCTGGTTCCTTTTTGTCCATTTTAGTTCCCTATGACCTGGATGAAAACTCAAAAAATGGCATAGTAGATGCTTTTAAAAATATGTATTATTATTATTATTATTATTATTATTATTATCATCATCACCATTCAACTGAAGGAATTGTTAGTATATCTCTGCTCATAAATCTCGATAACAGGATATAACTAGGCTGTGCAATATGTACAAGGACCCGAGGAAGACTGGGGGTGGGGGTGGAATGTGTAATCTATTTATTACAGTTCCTGCGCAAACCTTTCTGAAAGGAAAGAGAGCTGTGTGGAGCAGTGCTTGGTGCATTGCATCTTAAGACTACAGGAAGCCAGCTATGATAATCGAAAGAATACCCAAAGGGGACCCAAATGAAGAGGGGACCCTCTGGCACTTCTTGTGTACTGAATGGAAAGACCATGAGGTTTCCCTGTGGCTTTCTGCTATCTTTATTCCTCCACATTCCTTATCACCTATTCTTTCAAAAGGATAGATCCCTAAAGAGCCCCGCTGTAACTCTGGCCTTCTGTTCTTTAATATTTATGCAAAGAAATCAATCCGACAGATCCTCAGAGCCACTGAACTAGAAGGCATTTCCAAACTCTCCCTCTCAAGCAGCGGAGGATGACTAAATCATACTCACCCCAGGATTACGCTGAAATTTCTCCAAATAAGATAGAGAAAGCTCCACGTAAGAAACACTGTCACAGCCTGTGAATTCTTCAGAAGGCCACATTTCCTTGATCAGCTGCCATCAGCTGTCAAGGCTTCACTCTCAAGCAGCAGCCAGGACTCTAGCACAAAAGAAAAGCCCACTGGATGAAGAGAACCAGTGGAGCAAGCCACAGCCCCTTGAAGTCAGAGACCTCTGAACTGAGAACTCCCCTACGACAGATTCTTTCTACACCCTCAGGCTCCTCAGTGCCTGCGCCCCATCCCAGCAGGCACAAGGAAGGCACTGACTGAAAGGTGACAGAGTGCTAGGCTCTAAGCCAGAGGACTACTTTTTTTAAGGCCGTCCATTGTTGGCAACGAAGCAGAGTCTTGGAGGAGTAGCCTGGGTCAAGAGGGATAACAGGTCTCCCTTGATCTCCAGACTTGTCTGAGCAAGTTGACTGCTTAGAACTAGCCAAGGTCCTGTAACTCAAGCCTCACTATGCAACCCTGGGACGTTACACCAACACTTAAGTGCAAAGAGTATGAAGGCAATACCGGGTCTGGAAGGCCACAGCCCAGCTTTTTCCAGCTCTTGGAGCAGATGAGAGAGGCAGAATGTGCTACCTGCCAGAGGGTCATAAAAAGGGGACTAGAATCTCTGTTTCAACTCTGTAAGAGGAATGGAGGATCTGATATATACCAGTGATTGAGAGTTTGGAGCCACAGCCAATAATTCACTGAGATTACTTAAAGAGGAACAAGAGGATATAATTTGTGTATACAGTGGTACCTCAGGTTACAGACGCTTCAGGTTACAGACTCTGCTAACCCGGAAATAATACCTCGGGTTAAGAACTTTGCTTCAGGATGAGAACAGAAATCGCATGGCGGCGGCAGTGGGAGGCCCCATTAGCTAAAGTGGTACCTCAGGTTAAGAACTGTTTCAGGTTAAGAACGGACCTCCAGAACAAATTAAGTTCTTAACTCGAGGTACCACTGTATGCCCTTAAAAGCAGAAGAAACAACACAAGGATCTTAAAATTTTTGTTGGGTGCTACTTCGTTTCAAACTGCTGTATTGACGTGCTCATATTTGTACAGCAATCCAGAAACCCAGCAGCACTGTAACTACATACAACTTCAATGCTACACCCAAAATTTCATGCATGCAACAGCTGATTTCAGTGGGATTACGTTCATGCTTCTAAAATAGAAACTGTAGAGAGAAAAAGCTGTCTTTCTCTAAATGTAAAAAGGAAAAAGGGGAAAGGGTGAGAGAGCAGTACTTACTTACTTACTTACATACTTACTTACTCACTCACTCTCACTCACTCATTTAGTATACTGCCTTCCATCCATGGATCTCAGGGCGGTTCACATCATTCATATCCAGGACAAAGAAAACTGGAATTAGCAGGAATTAATGCAGTGGAGGCTGGTCCATTTGGGACAGGCATGTCCAAAGACCATTTCAGGGGCTTAATCCGGGCCGCTGGTCGGTTTAATTCAGCCCCTGTGGCAGTTTATTTCATGGGTAAAATCCTTTTAAAAAGGTCAACAACTTTGGTTGGCCCTTTGGTTGGCCCTCACAGCCCTTCACTTCATCAAATCTGGCCCTCTTTGAAAAAAGTTTGGACACCACTGATTTGGGCCAATGGGGCATTTCCTCTGCCCTCAGCCAACCCCTGCTTCTTACTTATAACAAGCCCAGGGGGTAGCACTGCCTGTCAGCTTCTTCCTCCTTAGCCTCATTGTTGCTCTTGAAGAACTCAGCAGGGAAGAGGATGGGTAAAAAACTATTATTAGTTGGCTCTGCCCATCAATGGCTCTGCCTCCACTTTATGTTGGTCTCTCCACCTTATGCCCTACTGGTTCAAACAAGCACAAGGCACCACTGAGGTTGTGACAAATTATGGAGTCCCTAGCTTAAGAATTTGCTTTATTTCTAAGTTCTAAAATGAAGTAGCCCAAGTCAAAGGTTTTTTTAAGATGGGGTTGCCCTATTTCAAACAGTGAAAATCCAGACAAAGTTGAGCTGTTTTCAGTTTTGCCCAAAGTTGTTGAGCCCAGACACTACCGCAAACTGCAGTATTCCAGATACGTCCGGATGATGTATGGCAACCCTATTGGAACCACGTTCCATAGCATACATACAGTATGCATACACTGTGCATGAAGTATACTTGCTCGCCTCTGAAGCAGCCAAATGTGCCTATTTTACCATGTTGCCTATGCACCAGGGAGCTGTTTCCAAGTTCTTGCTCAAGGTAAATCAGATCCATGTGTCTTAGTGAAATGCAGTGGCATACACTGCATGTATGCATTCCAAAAATCTGCATGTGAACATTTATTTTTCTAAACAGATTTCCTGCCCTACCTCCACCCCGGTTTACTTCAGATTTTAACATAATTTCAGAGGAAACCAGACAGAAAACAAACGCTTCAATTGCTGATGAAGCTTTCAAACTGCCAGAAATAAGCTGATCTACTGGAATGAATCCAAAGCCACTTCACTTTGTAAATGTAAGTCATAGCTCTCTGTGTTGAAGCTTTAGCTTTTAAAAAAATGCCACGTTCTCTCTTCCCAGGCATATTTTTAGGTACAAAGCTTAATAATCAAATAGATTCCAGGCAGGCTTAGTATAGAAACTAGAGGGCTTGGGAGGACATCACCAGGAAATCTCCTTTGTCGCCATTTCAAGCTGTAAGCAGTGGAAGAAATCCTCTGCATTATAAAATAAAATAAAAAAATAAAAAAGGCCCAGGGGCACTGATCACGTCTCACTGTCAAAAGAAAACTGCCCCACAAAACCCTTTGCTTCTTGAAAGTTGGCTTTTAATCATCCATGAGTAAAAGAAGCTTTCCTTTTATCTCCTGGCCTGTGTCAACCTTGCATCCATTTATATGTATGCATGCACATGCCCCCTCCTCCTTTTCAAATCCTTGTACAACCTATTCAGTGCACAAGTTCTTATAAGAACAGTGCACCCTTTAACTCTACATCCCAGGGAGTAAAAGAAGGGATTCCCTCCCAACCCAGCTTTGTAAAAATTAAAATTTCCAATGGCATTAAGGAAACATTTCCTCTGTGCAATGTGTCACAAATCTATTTAACAGCTACGGCAATTACTATTATTATTTAAACCTTTTACACAGCTACTGAAATCAAGGGGAAAGGAGAGAATTTCAAAGCAAATAAGGACAAAGAAGTAGCTTTGCCCGCTTCCCCACTGAACTAGGCCTGTTATTTACATTTTCCAGTAAATAAACTATGAAAATGCAATCATTATTCACCCACTCTTTGAAGAAAGGCTATCAGACATGCAGAGGGGGGTTTTTTTAGCCAAGAATTTAAAGAGATAACATTAATTTTGAATATTTTGTTATAACCACTAACATGGAACATAAAGGCTATTTTTTTAAAAAAAACACAAGAACACCAACCTAAGCTACTGAGCATCCAAAGGAAATTTCCTTCAAAATTATGAAATTTATCCCAATAAATCTGCATATAGGATAGGTTTACTATCTGCTTAATTATATGGATCTCAATTTGGGCAATCACTGAATGATTTGGTCCAAATTAAACACATGCTTGAATTTGGCTGGAGCTTGCTAGATAATTGCACCTAACATTGTACAACAATCCATATAGAATTATAGAATTGAAAGCTATTTCAAAGGGCAGCTAGTCCAACCAAATCATCTAACCAAGGACTGGCACAGTCAGCTTAGACATCACTTCTCATATGTTGGGGCAGGGGGAAGAGAAGGGTGAGTTGTGGTATAAATGCCTAAAACTCCAAGGTTCAGTACACACATTCTTTAGCGACTGCCTCATTCCGTTGCACGGTCGTAACTGTACCATTTATGCACCAAGCTCAATGCAACAGCATTATCAGCTGCTGGCCACAGTTGTGGAACTACCTTGCCTCCAGAGGTCTGCCCAAGCCCACTCCCAAGCATCCGTCAGGAATCTTGAATCTTTTAACTACTAGCTTCATGGCCTGAGCCTCAACACTAGCCTAGCTGAAACTAGCCAATCAGAAGCTCTTCAGGCACAGGATTATGGTATGTTGCCTCTGGAATAAAACACAGATGCATCAGACCAGATGTGCTCATGCACAGGATTTCTCTATGCAGATGTCAACTCCAGTTCAGTACTGTGCAAGATGCTGGCAGCTAGGACCAGATGCATAGTCCCACTACTATGCACGAATAACAGCTGAATAGGATTTATGTCAAAATCAAACCCTTGGCCGTAGCATCTAACCCACAGGTCTCCATGGGTACAAAAACACAAGCACCAGTTAGGTGCAGTTTTCCAATTTCTTTACATATTAGGATTATTACATATATGATGTAAGAGGGTTTTGCTTGTTTGTTTAAAACCCCTAAACATAGCTTTGGAATCTTCTTTTTTAAAAAAAAAAAATCCTCAAAGGATAGGAAAGAAGAAGAAAGATCAATGTTTCCCTTTTGTTGTCGTCACTGTTCAGTGATGTATGCCTAAAGAACAAACATTTTAAGAACTAGTTTCCCTGAGGTTTTGCTCTCCTGTAATCTCCCTCCCATTCTTCCTCTCCTTCTGTAGGAAAAAAAGAATATGCTTTTTCATGTATAAATAAAGATCAGATACTGTTTTCACTGTAAAGCTACAAACTCTTTGAAATACTTAAGAAACCAAACTGGGAAATGTCTTTCTTTTTTATAAAAAAAAATCTACTCACAATAAAGAAAACAGTCATTAAGGATTTCTTCCTCTTAAAAATTACTTATGGGCTTCACCCAGTTGAAAATGACTGGATTTGAATACAAATTCCTTTAATAATCTAGTGTTAGAGCACACACTCTGATAGGCCCCTGAAAACACTGGAGGATGATGGAGTGAGCTGTTACTATAGCAACCTGAAAAGAGATTCTCTGGTGCTTTCCATAGTCCCAGCACAACTACAATAAAGTCTAATTTACAGCCAGACATTTGCTTGAGTAATATTTTCCCCTGTTGCTTATGTCATTTATATTATTATTTTTTAATGAGCCATTCAAAACATTTAACTTCTTACTTTTGAAACATTATCCAAACATCAGCAAGTCTGTAATGCAGCAGATAAAACTCATACAAGTACTGTTTTTTTCAATAATGCTTAAAAGGTCAGGTTTACTAGTTAGCTGCATTCCTTCCTCAGTGAAAATTATACAGAGCCATAACCGCAAACAGGATACAAACGGTATTTCGATTTCTCCCCTTGACCCACTGTAGATGTATGTAGTTAACCAATTCCTCACTATAATAAGGACACATTGTTGTGGCAGCTATCAACTCTGAATGGGGGCACAGAGCACAATTAGAGAGGAAGATATATCTGTTCAAGAGCAGGCAGCAAACAAGTCTACGCTACTAACTAATCACATACTTAAGCTGCGAACACTTCATGCAGTGTCAAATAGGGCACATCTTCAATGTTTAAACAAGGCCTCTGAAAAATGCCTGTATTTTTTAGCGACATGAGAGCTTGAAATGCTTAACTGTTTCTGTAATTAAAAGAGCAAATAATGTAAGGGTAGGAAGCCTTCAGAGATATGTTTTCCATATCTCTGGGAAATGTTTCCCATAACAACACAACGAGTAGACATTGTTTGTTTGTGTGAATGAACAAGGTAGCACATCCTAGATCTCAGTTATATTTCATGTTTTGAGCTGAACCGAGATGTAATCTTCAAATTCTAGTTGTGCGCTGTTGCTGTTTTAATGAGAATGGCAATCTTAAAACTGTTTGGAAAATCCCAAACCCTAAAGTAAAAGGCTAATAAAAGTTCATTAGTAGTACTAGTAGTCTTTCTATGACTTTGTTGTTCCATTACTTTTTGGATCTATCATTTTCAAACATACGGAGGGCTGTCTGTGGCAGACTGGAGTTGGAGCCCAAAATCTTTGGTTGGCAAAGGCTCAATAGATTATAAACCTGATGACAGGACCTGTGTTGTTATTAAATCTTTGTACAGAACCTGGAAAGCTTAATTTAAAAACTTGGTAACCGAATTCAAATTTGGTATGATATAATATGAAAGGAACATGCATCACATGGCTCTGCTATTAGTAAAAAAATGTTCATTTGCAACTATTTTATTTTTGCTTAAGCCATGCTAGTGTGGTATCTTTTTGCACCCTCAGCCCCTCATTACTTCTGTACAGGGCAGCTGCTGCTATACTCGTTCGTTCCTACCCACTTAATCTCCTAATTCTTCACTATGACAACCATATTCCACTGTGTGCGCCTGCCCCCAGCACTGCACCAATCGAAAATGCCAGAAATATAATGGATGAGATGAAATGTCAAGAAAAACAAATGGAGGCCTTGTATTAAAAACAAATCAAGTCTCGCTTCTTTTTACATTCAAACACAGGTTAGGAACACATGGATCTGATGTTTGAGGCTTCGCGCCCAGGGGAACACGGGTGTGCAGGGCATACCAACAATGCCTTACTCCTGGGAAACAGTCATGAATATGTTACCAAAATCAGCCTCTCTGATTAATGATGCACCCAAGATGTCTACCTTCAAGCTGTGCTGCGGCTCATGACTGTGAAGTCACATGCCAGGCTTATCATGAATACGTAATTAATTTTTAAAGCCTTATTGTATTGAACAATATTACACTGCCTCGATTATACCCAGGAGGTAATGGGGCTCTAACAATAAATTGTTGTACAATTAGCTCCATCTGCCTCCTTTGGTTATTAGCACTGGTGACACCTTTCTTCCTATGAGTCAGGATTAGATGCCAGGGAGCTCTCTTTACCAGGAGAATGAAGAAAGCAGAGCCAGCCTCTGTGTGTGTGTGTGTGTGTGTGTGAGAGAGAGAGAGAGAGAGAGAGAGAGAGAGAGAGAGAGATGTGCAAATGAGAAAGATGGTGAGCACAGGTGACTATATTTTAAGTGAGCACATGCGCCAGAGAGGTGTGCTGGGCATTTGTGAAACGCTGCTGGTAGGAAAGTACCCTGGGAGGTGAGGGGAAGCTCTCATTAAATTTCTGATAAGCAGCTGCTATTGGATGATCCCTCAAGAGATCAGAGTCTTACAGCAGCGTGGAATAGATAAGGGAGCTGGCCTAAATCAACTTAATCAATGAATCAGTGGCCTCAGCCAGCTCTGCTATTATGCAGAGTAGGACAGCCGCCTCGGGCAGCTGACTGTAGGTATCATGAAAGGGCTGCAAATTGCTAAAACATTTAATTTATTATTATCATTATTGAACCTCTACTGCCAGCGAGGAGGGCAGATGCTTGTGGGATTTCCTGTCTCAGGTGCCAAAAGAATATGACCAGCTTTGGATATTATGCATCGTACCATAGGCAGCAAAGTCTTGGGTCAGCCCTGACTAGGGGCAATTGGTACTCTTTTCCTTCACTTGGAGTGAGCGTTTTGAGGACTGGAATACTTACCGTATTGGCTTGAATATAAGCCACACCTTTTTTCCAAATTCTGACAGTGACAAGTTAAAGTGCAGCTTATATTCGCAACCTTCCCTTTCCCCCAACAGCTCCGGGGAGGCTTGGGAGCAGCAGGCGGGCTGCGCGCCGTTGTCCCATGCTCCTGGGTTGCTCTCTGTGGGGGGAGGGAAGGCCGCTGGCAAAATGGCATGGGGGAATGTCTCCCCCCCTAAATTCTGAAGGTGCGGCTTATTTGAGGGTGCGGCTTATATTCAGGCCAATACGGTAAATCAAGCATATCTGGGGGGCCTAATTTGGCCCACCGGTTGATTTAATCCGGCCCCATAGTAGTATATGTCCTGCGGCAAAATTCGAAGAAAAGCTCAGCAAATCCAAAAAAAAGCTCAACAACTTTGGTCAGCCCTCATGCATGTTCATTTCATCAAATCTGGCCCTCTTTGAAAAAATTTGGGCACCCCTGTGGTAAATGCTGGGGTCTGACTTAGGTCCAGAAAGCAGAAAAACAGCAGACACTTTATCTCTATCAAGTTTTCTTCTAAATGCTTTGTGGAGTGAACAACTAACAGCCAAATAACGTCACTGTGAAGTCACTAGAAACAAACCATCCATCAGGGGAGAAATAAGAGCTACTCCAAACAACCCCATTTATCAAGTGGTAATTTGAAAGGGAATGAGTCACTCCTGGGAGAAGAGACATTCAATTCTTAATGCTGGCTCAACATCCAGATGAGAGAATTCCCACACAAGAAACCAGAAGTAGCTTAATCTTTCCAGGAGTTACTATCATAGTGCACATTCACACTTATTGCTAGCTTTGTGGGTCTTGTCTGAAAGCATTTTAATGGGAAACTTCATCAGTCAGCTCCCGTAACACAAGTAATTAAAAGAACCAGCTCCTGTACACATAAAATGATCTGTACACATAAAATGGCTGTCGTGCAGAGGCTGCTTTAAACAGATTTCTTCAGCAATTGCATCCAGGCAAAACAGTGCAGCAGTTAAAATTGCTTTCCATTTATATGGGGCACAATTCAGCCAAAAGTTTAGTAAGTGCTTAATTCTCCCACTTAATATGTTTAATATGCTTCAGGTACTTTATTTCTATTTTACTTACAACAAAGATAAATACAGCTCTATTACAAATACAGCAGCAAAAATATAAGATTGGGGGGGGCACCTGGCTTACTAGTAGTACATGTGAAAAGGATCTGGGGGTCTTAGATGTATCAACAGAAGTATAGTGTCCAGATGAAGGAAAGCCACAGTACCACTCTATTCTGCCTTTGTCAGACCCCAAATGGAGACCTGTGTCCAGTTCTGGGCACCACAATTTAAGAAGGATACTGACAAGCTGGAAAGTGTGCAATCAAGATGATAAAGGGCCTGGAAACCAAGCCTTATGAGCAACTTAGCTGGAGTTGGGTATGTTTACCCTGGAACAGAGGAAATATGATAGCCATCTTCAAATATCTTAAGGGTTGTAACGTGGAAAATGGAGTGGATGGGGCAGCTTCTAATAAATAAATAACATTAAATAATTGTATATTTCATTTATATCCCAGCTTCCCTCCATTGAATTCAAGGTGGCGTACATAGTTCTCTCCCTGCCCTGCCCCCCCCCTTTATCCCTGCAACAACCCTGTGAAGTAGTTTAGGCTGAGAGACTGTGACTGGCCTGAGGTCACCCAGTGAGCTTCATAGCTGAGTGGGGATTGGAAGTCTCTCAGGTCCTAGTCCAAAATTCTAACCACTACACTACACTGCTTATTTTCATGTTGCAGGGTTTTTATGGGGGGGGGGAAGACTGAAGCAAATCATTATTTTTAAATGAATTTTTTACCCATTTTTTACCATGAGGTCCCAGGGGTGTCAACAATATTAAACAGTATTAAAATTAGTTGAAACGATTCACAATCAGTAAAACAGGGTGAGTCCTAAAATATGTATCTCAGGTTTCAAAGACAGCATTCAGCAGAAACTATACAAAGGAACCAGATGAAACCCTGTGGGGGAGGGAATTTCAGATCTTAGGGACTGCCACTGAGAATGCCATGTCCTCGGCCATCTCCTTCCCAAACCTTTGAGGGTGGCAGAACTACAAGAGGATCTGCACGGAAGCAAGCAGTATTTCACATATCAGGAGCCTAAATCATATAGGCCTAAACACCCATGTGTTTTACAGTGGCTTGTAATTCAAGGCAGAAGTGAGACTGGACTGGGCACTTTCTGTTCCAAAACAACATGCAAAACACTGGCTAGTTCATCCCACAGAGAGAAGTCATGTTCTCGCCCTCATTTATAACAATAATCTTTTTCCTGCTCTACTTACAACTCAGGCATTTAAAAAGAAAGAAAGTTGAGTGAACTGCCACTGAGGAAAAGGTGGCAATGTATGTGCTATAAATATCGCACTGTGTTATACAAACCTGAGAAATATCTTTCTCCACTTTTCTTTTTCCTTGCCACATGGCTGTAGCTGTGCATTTCTGCACATTTTGATTTTCTTTAGAATTTAGAGCATATTTCAAACAGCCTAGAATGTTTGCATTTACTGTTTCATTACCATTGGCAAGCTGGGTACTTCACTGAAGCCGTTTCTGACTTGCGAAAAGGAATCACATTAGTTTCTGAGGCTATAGATCCCATCTCACTACCATTGTCGTACAAAAATTAGGTGATATTTAGCGAAGTTCCACTCAGAGAAGACCCAATGAAATTAATCTACATGACTAAGTTAGGTTCATTAATTTCAATGGATCTACTCTGAGTAAAACTCAGAATTTCTCCTTTCATTTATTGAAAGAAGTGCAAAAGCTCAGAACACTATACTCTCTCTCTCTCTCTCCATGGTGCAGTATGCAAGGTTTTAATTTTTTATTTTAAATCACATTGAGAATTGGGGGCAAAGAGGAGAAAGCAAGCTGAAAAACACAGACCAGCTAGGCCCATGTATAATATTCACCAATTTCTCTGAGCTGTCAATTTATTTATTTTTCCAGGTTGGGCAATGTGAGCCTTGGAGCTATTTTGCAAGTGGGAAAAAGTTAGTTTCACACCAAATGTGTATTAAATAGGAAAAAGCAGCCAACCACAGCTCCCCAAAGTGTGTGCCTGTTATCCTTTGTTCTCTTTGTTTTGTTTGATGTTTAGGAAAATGAGTGCAATCATAACTAACAGCTAATTTAACAGTGAGGTTACAATACAGGAAGAATGTGCTACTTTTAAGCAAAAGGAAATATGTCGCATTCAAACAAAAAAACAAAGAAACCGAAGAGGAAACACTATTATTCCTGAGTTGGCTGAGCAGTTCACAAATTCTGAAGACTGATCAATTAGCACTTAGGAAAATCTTTCCATTTGCCAGTTGGTGCTCAGGCTTGCCTCTTAATTAGCCCTTCCAAGCAGGCGTATTTCCACGACACTGGGGGTAATGGACAATGAAATATCCTTGTCCTCCCCCAGCTCCACAGACGCTTCCCCTCCAAACTTCTCCAGGAAAGACTTGGCCAATTTGCCACTATCATTTCCATAAATCTCATTTACACTCTGTGCTCACAGGTCCCATCGCTCCCCTCCTGCCCACTTACGGCATCCCTTCACTGCCCATGCTTAGGTGAGGCAAGACAGCTATAAAATCATAAATGAGTTTTCCCTTGAAATAACAGACCAAACAGGTAATTACAGGTTACTAATGAATCCAAAAGAGCTTGCATTGAAAAAGAGAAATCTGTGCGCAGTTACTTACCTGTACTAGGCAGGGAGCCAGCCATGTTTACTGTACCATCTTGGCTGCCATCTGTATTTTCCAGCTACTGCTGACCTTTCTACAACTTCTAAACCTCATTTCCCAGCTGTTCCTACATAAGCAGGATAGCTAAGAACGAAGCAATAATTAAACGCTTCTGATGCCAAGATGATATGCAAATTAAGACCATATCTAAGGTCCTAGCCAACGAGATGCTGGTATCTTTGAATAATGAGTCAGTGGTAGCACTTTCGTGTTTAATCTTTCACACAGCCTTTGACATTTGGCAGTAAAAAAGTGGTGCGTGTTTTTTTTAAGGGTAAGTGAACAAAGCATTTATGGATGGTGATGTGTAAGACATAAATAAGTCAGTACCATAAAGCTGCGTAAGTACTTTTTTTAGCCAAGTGAGGTGGGTGTTCTTTTTTAATAATTAATTCTTATTGCTTTTTAAAATATACAAAAAACACAACTATAGCAACATATACAGACAACGTAAACTATCAGCTAATCAGAACGGGCATTTTATTAGAGACACATAACATAAAGAAAAAGAAAAACCATGCTAAGTAAAAGGAAGGAAGGAAGGAATTCCAAGTTTATCACATTTTGTTGGGTGAGTCCTTTAATGTTCTTTTTTCTCTAATAAACTAATAAAAATCATACCACCCTACAATATTACCTTTCTTCAATTGTCCACTGAGCACTCTTTAAGCTTCTGAATTAGGGTCTCTACTAGACCTTATGATACTAGCAGTGTTAGAAACTTAGATAGAAAAGCTAGAAGCCAAATGGCTTCTGGGATCCGAGTTGTGGGCACCAAAACAGAATCTTTAGTCGCCACATTTTGTGGAGGTTGGCAACACTTTTTATTTATTACTTTGATAAGCATGAACTAATACGCAATTCACATAAGAGACACATTGTTAAAATCACATTTTTATCAGAAATTGTTAATACATGTTTAATTTGATGTTTACAATAAAAACATCAGTCCCGTACTTCGGTTTTCAAAACATTCTACTCTTTATTGTTAAACTTCTTAACATGTTGTCTATCTTTAACATATACAGTGGTACCTCCGGTTACAGACGCTTCAGGTTACAGACACTTCAGGTTACAGACTCCGCTAACCCAAAAATAGTACCTCGGGTTAAGAACTTTGCTTCAGGATGAGAACAGAAATCGTGCTCCGGCGGCGCGGCAGCAGCAGGCCTCATTAGCTAAAGTGGTACCTCAGGTTAAGAACAGTTTCAGGTTAAGAACGGACCTCTGGAATGAATCAAGTTCTTAACCTTAGGTACCACTGTACTTTGAGGCTTCAAAGCACATACATTTCAGTAATCCTTGAGTGTCGGCCAGGCGCGAAAAATGGCACCCAGACTTTTTGAGGTGCTCACAAATGGAGAATCTTTAGACGCAAAATGCGCCTGCCACCCTGCTAATTTCGATCCCTGGATACAAGCATTCAGTTGTAACACCTTTCATGTACTGCCAATATATTGCTACTTTGAGATGCGTCATCAGCAAGAGATGCACACTTGCTTTTAATCGGTTTCCTGCATGAGCAGGGGGCTGAAGTGGATTGTATTTGAGGTCTCTTTCAATGCTATGATTCTACTGTCAACAAGGCAGTTACTATGTCCTTTGGTTTCTGTGAAGCCTTCTAGCAGTGTTGGTTAAAGGGATAATGAAACCTGCATTTCACCCTGAAAGCTATTAGAATTCTCATTGCACCATTAAAAATAAGAGTGAAAAATATAGGTATAAAACTGGACCAACCAATTATTCATAATATGTAAAAGTCAAATAAGGAGCCGCGTTTGCCTTTTGAACTCTGTCAGCAATCCTCTCTACTGGTTCTTCTGATTAATGCAATAGACCCAGAAGTAGCCTTCAACTCTCACAAAGACACACAAGACCTCAAAAATAGCAGTTTTAATTAAATTATGACCTGGAGAAAAACCAAGCAGAAGCAGAAGCTGTGAACAGGCATGTCATTCCACATATTTTATTCAAGGCAAAGCTGGTGGCTCTGTTCTAGCTGCTCAGTTGCACATCTACATTTTGCAACAAGAGTCCACTGCCAGAGGATAGTAGACCAAGTATCCAAAGCAAGACTAAAGGTTATTTAAACACTCACAATTCTAGCTGCAAAAGGGTTGCCAACATGATGCCTGCTGGTGCCAGTGTGCCCACAAGCATCTCCTATGGCACCTGCAGGCCATTTCAGCAAATATCGCCTGAAAAATCTACAATGCATGGGAAACCTGTGTGCTCTTCCTGGTCAGTCTCTGTTTGCACTGGCTCTGACTCTCCTACATTTAATGCACTGCTTTAAGCAAGTCCACATTTAATTACAGGTCAGGACTGAACACTCATATTCCCTTCCATTCTGAATACAAAAGATGAGGGAAAGAGCCTCTCTCTGTAAGTGCCTGATATGTGTGCCTTTTGTTTCTTTTGCGGGGGAGGGGGGACTTAAGGGGCAGGCATGCCGGCACCATTTTGTGTTCCTGAATCCTTTTCTGTTATTTTAGATGTGGCAGCCATTTTGTGTTATGTCACCTCCGAACACAAATCAGCGTTTTTGTTAATGTACCCCCTGGACCCCCCTCAAAATTCCAGATGTGATTAGTAATCTGCAGGAAATAAATGTGTTCGGCTGAATCAGATGTACCAGATTCTTAATGAAGGGAGAACTCTGAAGGAACTGCCTTTGCTGGTTGTAATTAACTAGTTTTACACTTGAAATCATACATGAGTTTCAACACTGTATAATGAAAAGAGAGTTTGACTTGAGTACCATTTTCAAAACGCAACTTAAAATCACATCATCAGCCTTTGGTCTTAAGAAAGTACCTTCTTTTGCTACCATGGCTCACTTTACGTAAAATGGGAACAACAGCAGTCTATCTCAAAGCAGTGTTGTCAGAACATAAAATGGTGATGGCTGTCACACACCTGATCCATTAAGGCTTCAATCCCACGCATACGTAACTGGGAGCAAACCAATTAAACAAATAGGGCCCTACTTCTGAGTAAATATGCACAGGACTGGGCTGCATAATTGGTATAAAAAGTGCTACAGAGAGAGCCATTTTGGTGTCAGAGTTAGGGCTTCCCACTCAGCCATGAATGCCGCCACCATCATGGTCTGCCAGCTTCACCTAACTTGGAGGGTTATTGTATGGCTAAAACAGAAGTGAACCACATATGCTGCCCTGAACTCCTTGCAGACAAGTCAGAATAAAAACATCAGTAATGCTAAACAACATTTTGCCACATTTGCATTCAACATTACCATACCACAACCCCAAGCTCACCTAGCAAGGTGAGAATGCTCAGTGTACAAATCTAGCAGTCAATGAGTCTAGAGGTTACCATACAAACAGCAGAAAGCCACATAATTACACCCCATATTGGCCCCTGTCAACATATCTTCACTGGATTTGGCAGCCAGCATTCTTGCCATGGCCCCCCACCCCACTTCCGGAGGGGACAGGGCCCTCTGACATTATGCAGAGCTTGAAACTCAGGACAATTGTGAAGAACGGCAGGAGTTCAAACCCACGTTGCTAAGCTTCAAACTACCAGGAAGCAGCAAGAAGTCTAATAGCTTTCCAAGTTTCTGTAACGCTTACTGCAGCATCAGAGAGGGTCCCTGACATTCTCCCATGCTTCTAAAGTCAATGTGGCATCATGGAGAATCCTCACACTTCTCCAGGTGCATAAGAACAGTGAGGGCTTTTCCTGTTCCTATTTTCTCATCAGAGTAAAAGATTTACTCTCCAGGGCTGAGCTGGTTAATGCATTTATGGATCCTTGGTCACCTATTGATTGATGATCTGCAATATAATTACAAGTAACACCTAACTGTCCCCAACCAACAGCTTGACGCAAATAATATATTCAATAGCCTTGATTTCTTTATCTCATAAATCAAAGTTTGGAAACCAAAAAAGCTTGCTTACTTGTAAAGATAATACTCCGCTTGATCCACTTGTTCACGAGAAGTAATGTTGTCTATAAACTGAAGGAGAAAAAGATGGTCAGCTCAGAGTGCAGAATGGTGCATACCTAACTAGTTTTGTGAATGGTTCAACAAGTGTTACGATTTGCAACTGAAGAACATTACAGTTCCAATCGCTGGCCAGGTAAATGGAACATCATATGATTGTACTGAACACAAACACAGTCAATTACAATTGGGACATATGGCGAGCCATTTACAAACCAGTTGTAACTAGGCTACTCAATTCTATTCCCCGTTCCACCTGTTTTCCTGCCCCCACCTTGCAACTGTCAGTCAGCAATCCTTGGCCTCTGAAGCTCACTCAATCCTCAATGGCCTGTTTTTGTGCTTCACCTCTCTTAGCCCTCCCCCACAAAATATTTGTACTTCTACAAACTTTGGGGTTCCCCCAAATCTGCTAATGCCTCTATCTTGTGCAGTGCAGGACAGGTGTCACGCAACGGCACAGACGTCTGAGCATCAGAAATAGAGGGAACGACTCCACATTATTTATGTAGTTGTTAAATTTATATGGCTGCCCATCTTTGCTTTTTTAAAGATAGGCTCGAAATACACAGTAATAGTGAAAGGGAACAATGGCTGGCAAAATCTTGGGAGATGAAGCATGAGTAGGACATCCAGTGACCATCGGGTGGGGCTCCAATATATTGCATAGTTCCTTCAACCTTTCTTCAAGCAAAAGCAAAAAACAAATTATGTAAAACAGTTGAAATATGCAAAACTTGCTTAATTTGCATAATCTATGCAGCTCACAGAACTCCACATGTTTTGGTAACGTCACAGAAATTCTTTTTTCTTTTTTCAAAAAATGCAAAGTGCATGTAGCGTCATCAGAAATCATCACTATGAAGTCTACCCTTCATGTTTTCATTTATCATTTCCTTCAGAAACGCCAGGTCGTTCCCCATTTCTAGGACATAGTGAAACATGAAACGCTGGGAAGCCTAGGAGAGAGCACAGCAGGACTTCATCAAAGGCAATGGAAGCTCCTGAGAGAGCTCCTGAACAACAACTACTACTAATTAATTATTATTATTATTGTTCGTTAAATTTGTTCATCACTTTATGTTGCCCAAGGCAACCCAAAGCAACTTACAACCAAACTTCTAAGCTGTAGCAGGTGTAGCTTCTCCTATCACTACAGCACTGTGATGGGAAAAGTCCTGTATGGTGAAATCTTACTGGGCTGGTGGATCCCTATTTTCCAGTATCTGTCAGGGGCAGAGAAAGAGCTACCCACTCTTAAGTCCTTGGATGTCACTGAAGAGCAATCATCCATTCTCTTGACTTTGGGGATTAAGGACACATGTCCAGTTCCACATGAATGCAGTATATTGAGCTATGTATAATTATCGGTGAACTGGAAGAAGCCAAATGGAAGCAGCTGCTTTCTCTTTGATGTGGTACCGGAATTGGAGAAAAACACCCAATTAAATGAACAAACAGCATGTGCTGCTCTGGTTTTAAATGAAATGCTTTTTTCACAACACACTTAGCTGACCTATGGAACTTTCTTCCACCAGCTTTAGTTATGGCCAACAACATAAGCCATTTTTAAAAGGGGGATAGGGCAAACATATTACCGTATTTTTCGCTCTATAAGACGCACCAGACCATAAGACGCACCTAGTTTTTGGAGGAGGAAAACAAGAAAAAAAAATATTCTGAATCTCAGAAGGCAGAACAACAAGAAGGATCGATCCCTCTTGCTGTTCTGGCTTCTGGGATAGCTGCGCAGTCTGAATTCGCTCCATAAGACGCACACACGTTTCCCCTTACTTTTTAGGAGGGAAAAAGTGAGTCTTATAGAGCAAAAAATACGGTAATTGAAAACAGAAGTATCAACAGTATTAATATAGTTCATTTTTCCTCCATGAAGAAAAAGCACAGCTGTTGGTAGAGCAACTTCATTTTCAGAAGGACCCCGTTTCAATCAACTGAGTCTCAGGTGAAAAGAATCAGGAAGCATACAATGTGCAAGGTTCTGCCTGTGACCCTGAAAAGTCACTGCCAAACATAGAATAGATCAGAAACAGGAAACTGATAGCTCCCAAGATTTTTGCAGACTACAACTCCCATCATCCATGACCATTGGTTATCTGGCTGTGGCTGATGGGAGTTTGAGTCCCAAAATAAAGTAGACAATCCTGGCCAAGCTGGATAAACAGCCTGAGCCTGATACAAGGCTGTGTTCCTATCATATAATATCACAGGTTGCCTATTTTAAGATATTCCATTAATTTATCTGGACTCTTTTCAAGCCAGGTTCAGGCCCAGGTATAGCATCCAAACCGATCTTTGTAGGGAGAGGTCTGGGGGAACGATAGTTGATTCTCTTTGAGGGGCCCTGCACTGCAGTGGTTTCATTTCTATATATGAGACGATAGCAACTGGAAACTATTACTTGACAGCATGTGAGTTAACTTGTGGTGTCCCACAGGGGTCGACCTTGTCCCCCACGTTATTCAACATCTATATGAAGCTGTTGGGAATGTCATCAGGGGTTTTGGGATCCTACTGATGACACACTACTTTATCTCTCAATGCCATGTGAATCAGGAGAGGCGGTTGAGATGCTGGGCTGCTGCCTTGAGATGGTAATGGGCAGAGTGTGGGCCATTAAACTGAAACTGAATGCAGACAAGCTGAAGGTGCTGAGTGTTGTGAGCTTTAGGGTCCAGGAAGTGAGCAGACAACCTTTTCTTGACAGGATGTACTCCCCTGGAGTGATCAGGTCCATAGCTTGAGTTGGGGGTGCATCTTGAACCAAAAATTGTCTTTTCATCTGACCTCATCGTTGTATAGATTTCAAAAAAAGGTCAAGATGCACATTTTTGTCCAGGCCTTTGTGGGTGGAGGACGAGACCAGAATATCCTTCCCATTGCAGTGCTGTAGTTATTTCCAACTGATTCTCTAATCTGTGGTTTAGTAATGTTTATGCAGAACATTTTATTTGAATTGAGCAACATGTAACCCTCTCTGGGACCATAGGCCCCAACTCTACGGGGCTGAGGGCCCTCCCAAAGTAAGCAGGGACAGGGCTGAGCCCCCCCAATCTTGAGGGGCAGGGCCCCACCAGGCCTCCCCGCAGTGGTGGAGGGCCACCCCAGGGCCCGCAGCCTCCGCCCAACGTCACATGTGTGATGTCACAAAAATATGATGAGTCCCCCCCCCCCATATTGTCACATGGAACTGTCTGGGACTGTGTGGTGAAGTGTGGGCTGTATATGACTACAAATAAAAAAATGTAACCCACCAGAGGCTGGGATTGAAAGACAGGGAATGGAATATTGTATCAGGCTACTAGTTTGATAAGCTATTAGTTGTAGAATGCCCAGTACACTTTAATATGAATACAAATAATTAATAACCATCAAGTGTCCTCATGTTTCCACATCTGGACACTACAAGAACATCTGGCCTAGTACGGCTACAGTGTTCTTTTCCAGGCAGTCTTATCTTTCTTTCTTTTTCAAAATCCAATTTAGTTGATTGCCTTGATGCTATATTGACATGCATGACCTCCACATGCCAGCAATACTTTATTGACACTTTAGAACTTGGAATCTTATCTCTAGGCCTGGGGGAGTTAAGAAGTAGAGCTTGTACTACAAAGCATTAGCGTTATAGCCAAAGAAGGTCAGCTCAATAGTGAGACAAATAATGTAGATTAAAAAGTAATAACAAAGCTTGAGAAGAGAGATTAGAAAGAAGGCACATCACACTGAGGCAAATCATCTCAACTCATCTCAGGGCTTTAAATGACTATCATTGTGCCCTCAGCACAATACTAACTCAGTAACTTTAGATCACAGTATAGCATATGCAGCAAAAAATATTTCAGTTCAAGATCTCCTGGAAGAAAAGAGGTTATATCTGACTAGGGGCTTTTTAGCGAGGGTTGGGGGTATTGTGGCTTTCATCTTTAGCCAAACTGGAGTTTGCATTCTTACCCGGAATACAGTTAAGGAGCTGACAGGAAGCTTTCTTTCATAGGTTCTGTCCATCAGAGTGGCTAGTTCACCTGTAGAAAGAAAATAAAAAATATTCAATTATCACTAATCATTTCTGAGAAGGAAAAAAAACCCAAAGGAGTATAAACAAAGTTACTCAGTGATCTGGACTAAAAGACAGATAAAAGCATTTAATGTAAGCCTCCATTTTTAAATATCAGCCATGGAAATGTAATAACTTCTCCTCACTCCAGCCATAGGATTTGCTGCTAGCCTACTCATCAAAAGTTAGCACTGCCTTCTCATGGAAAAGTGGACATGGAAGTTAGCCTTTCTTCCTACAACCATAGCTCTATGCCAGGCTTTCTCAAACTTGGGTCTCCAGCTGCCTGTGGACTACAGTTCCCATCATCCCTGACCACTGGTCCTGCTAGCTAGGGATGATGGGAGTTGTAGTCCAAGTCTGGGAAACCTTGCTATAGAAACACAGCGTAAAGCTGCATAAACTAGAACTATGGCTTTTGAACTGGACACAGACTTGAAACATGTATGTTCCGAAATTATCAGAATGAAAACTGAATCTGCACAATTTATTCCAGATGTAGACTTCTGATTTTCTATTTCTGAACTTTCAAACCCCTTGGGCAAATGCTGTTGAACTACCACTCTCATAATCTCATAAGCCATTCTTGCTGGGGCTGATGGGCTTTGTAGTTCAGCAACATCAGGAGGGCTAAAGGCTCTCACACCTCCCACACAGTAAGCCCTACTAGAGCAGGGATGGGCAACCTGTGGTCTTCTGGATGATATTGGCCTCCAGTTTCCATCAACCCCAGCCAGCATGGCCAATGGTCAGGGATGATGGGAGTTATGGTCCAGCAACATCAGGAGAGTAACAGGTTCCCCACCCCTGCAATACAGCTTCATCATGCTAATCATTGGTGCACAAGACTCTTTCTTTGGTAGAATCATAGATAATCTGGTCCAACCCCCTTCAATGCAGCAATCTCAGCTAAAGCATCCATGACAAATGACTGTCCAAGCTCTGCTTAATAGCCTCCAAGGAAGAAGAGTCCACAGCCTCCCAAGGGAGATAATGCCACTGCCAAACAGCTCAAAAGTTTTTCCTGATGTAGTCTGATGTCTTCACAAAGTACTTGGAAATCTTTGCCAGAGCTTTTGCTCCAGTATAAAGCGTGCTCTGCTGACACACATTCACCAGCCCCATCGTGAAATGCTTCAAAAACAGGTAGTAGAAATCAGGTTAACTGAACAGAGTAGCAGTTCTGCCAGCAAAGCTTCAATTACTGTTTCACTACTGGGAAAGAAATGAATAATTCATTTTGCATTTGCCTCTTTTATACACTTGCAGCATTCCTGCAAAAAAGATAGGACTTTCCCTTGATTCATCGTATGTACTCTGTGCAGCTTGTTATTTAATATTTTAAACTCTAGTTGTCATTTAGTCAAATTGAGTCTCATGTGTCAGATAACAACAACAACAACAACAACAACAACAACAACAACAACAACAACAATAATAATAATAATAATTTTATTATTTATACCCTGCCCATCTGGCTGGTTTTCCCAGAGAAGGCCCTCTGCCCGGTTCCCTGTAACCTTGCTTCTTGCAGTGAGAGAACCAGCAGAAGACCCTCAGAGGAGGACCTCAGTGTCCAGGCTGAACAATGGGGCAGGAAATGCTCCTTCAGGTATACTGGGCTGAGGGCCTTTTGGGGCTTTAAAGGTCAGCATTAACACTTTGAATTGTGCTCAGAAGTACACTGGAAGCCAGTAAAGATCCTTTAGGACCTGTGTTATATGGTCCTGGCGGCCACTCCCAGACACTAGTCTAACTGCTGCATTCCGGATTAGTTGTAGTCTCCAGGACACCTTCAAAGGTAGCCCCACATAGAGTGCATTGCACAGCAATGCACTCTACGTGGGGTGTATGTACCACTCTGGCGAGACAGTCTGCAGGCAGGTATGGTCTCAGCCAGCGTACCAGATGGAGCTGGTAGACAGCTGCCCTGGACACAGAATTGACCTGCACCTCCATGGACAGCTGAGTCCAAAATGACTCCCAGGCTGCATACCTGGTCCTTCAGGAGCACAATCACCTCATTCAGGACCAGGGAGTCCCCCATACCTGCCCGCTCCCTGTCCCCCCAAAACAGTATTTCTGTCTTGTCAGGATTTAACCTCAATCTGTTAACCGCCATCCATCCTCCAGACACTCACACAGGACCTTTATTGCCTTCACTGGTTCAGATTTGAAGGAGAGGTAGAGCTGGTTATCATCTCCATACTGGTGAATGCCCAACCCCCTGATGATCTCTCCCAGCGGCTTCATATAGATGTTAAAAAGCATGGGGGAGAGGATGGAGCCGTGAGGCACCCCACAAGTGAGAGCCCAGGGATCTGAACACTCATCCCCCCAACACCACTTTCTGAACAGGAAGGAAGGAAGGAGTGTAACCACTGTATAACAGTGACCCCAGCTCCCAGCTCCTCTAGGCGGTTCAGAAGGATGTCATGATCAATGGTGTCAAAGGCCGTTGACAGATCCAGCAGGACCAGGAAACAGCTTTCACCTTGGTCCCTGGCCCGCAGAGATCATTGACCAGTGTGACCAAGACAGTTTCAGTCCCATGATGAGGCCTGAATCCCGATTGGAAGGGATCCAAATGGTCCGCATCCTCCAGGCTGGAGTTGTTCAGCGACCACCCGCTCAATCACCTTGCCCAAAAATGGAAGATTTGAGACTGGACGACACTTGGCCACATTGGTTAAGCGTCTGTTCCCAATATGAGCAAGACTATTCTAATCAGATCCTAAGTGGCAAACTCTTAATTTAGCTGGATCAGTTCTTTATCAGTATAGCAAGATTACAGATGCCCTGGGTACAGAACGCAAATAGTATTTCCTTTAAGGCACTGTTTTTCTCAAACTTGGGTCCCCAGCTGTTGTTGGACTACAACTCCCATCATCCTAAGCTAGCAGGACCAGTAGTCAGGAATGATGGGAGTTATAGTCCAACAAGTTTGATAAACACTGTTTTAAGGGCTAGGGAGAAAAACTTACTAAAAAGAGACTTCAGGCACCTCTGGGTTGAACAGTTATTGGCTAGTTTCCAATCTCCCCTTTTCAGTGTGGGTTGTTACTCAGGAGAAAATTGTCAATCTTTGTCTGGTGTCTATATTACCTATGGTGTACAAAAGATATATATTGTCCTTCTACAAAGCCCAAATTACTGAAAGTGGTATGGAAATCTCATGAATCAGCCAAAGAAAATCATAATTAATTCTAAATTCAGAGTGACATCCATCCAACAACTAAGCATAACCTTCCAAAATAATGAGATCTAAGATTGCCTATTGATGAAATTTGCTTTACCACTGTCTGTAGAGATTAAAATTCCCAGTCCCTATAAATGGGTGACTCAAGGGACTTGTAACTAGGAATAAAGCTTTTCAACTCCCAAAACTGCTGGTTCAAATCTGGCTCAGGTCAGCACCAATCAATGGAAGGTTATTGTATAATAGCTGCTTGGTATCCTCTTTGAAATAAATCAGTGGTCTCAAGTTTAGTTTCTAATGGACAGGAGGAAAAACCACTAGCACAAAGAGGTACTGTAGATTGCAGGCAGTCTCCTTAAGGATGTCAGTACTCTCATATGGCATTCAGTATTTCAATATGTCAGTATCCTCATATGGCATTCAAAAAACCACTGTTAAGCAGTAAATTTCTCCTGCGGTTTAGAGAAATAATGGGATTTTCATATGTCACGTCCGAGGCCTCGTGCGACCTTCAATGCAACTTCTGGTTTTCTACCAGATGTTACGTTGGAGGCTTTGCAAGGCCCTGCATGTTGCCTGGGAGGTTAGCACCCACACAAAAAATAAATCTGTGGGCCCCTTAGAGTTGGCACCAGTGCTTGGCAAAGGGGCACAGCCCTCACCCCATAAAGAAGTAAAGAAGAACCCTTTTGGAACAGACAAAATGGCCTATCAAGCACCCAGCATCCCATTTCCCATAGTGGCCAACCAAATGCCTACACGAACACAAAACATAAGGGCAACAGACACCTCCCTTTGTCGCCCCCTTCTACCTGTATGCTGCATCAGCATCTGATTCTGGAGAAAGCATATAACTAGTAGCTGTTGACAGCCAATGGCCCATCTAATAAAGCATCCTTTCTTCACAGTGGCCAACCAGATGTCTATGAGGAGCTCAAAAGCAAGACCTGAGCTCAAAAGCACTCTCCCCTCTTGCAGTTTCCTGCAACTGGCATTCAGAAGCCTCTCACCATGAAAGCAGAACATAGCCATGGTGGTCAGTAGCAACAAATAGCCTTATCCTCCATAAATGTGTCTAATTCTCTTTTAAAGCCATCCACATTGGCAACTACGGTATATCCTTGTGTCTGTGAAAAGCTATTCCCCCCCCCCCATCCTGACTCTCCCTCCATTCAGTCTCACTGGATGACCCCAGGGTCTGATACAGTGGACGCTCGGGTCGCGAACATGATCCATGCCAGAAACACGTTCACAACCCATGGAGTTCACAACCCATGGAGTTCACAACCTCGTCTGCACACGTGTGGGTCGCGATTCGGTGCTTCTGCGCATGCGCCAAAACCCAGAAGTAACCCGTTCCGGTCATTCCGAGTTTGGTGCGGTGCGCAACCCGAAATCACACAGCCTGAAGCGTCTGTAACCCAAGGTATGACTGTATTATGAAGGAGGGAGAAAAACCTCTTTTTCTCCACTTTTTCCACATTGTGCATTAATTTCATGAAGCTTGCTTTATTCACTTGAAAGCATTTATAAACTGCTTAATATTTTTAAAACCTCTAAACATTGTACAACGTAAGAACAATAAAAAAAATCAAAACAAAGAAACACAACATAAAACTTGTAAAACAGTAATGTAAAGCTTTATAAAATCAGGAATTCAAACAATTTTTTTAAAAAACAAGGTCCTAACTTAAGGATCAGGGAAACCTTGGGCAAAAAAGTGTGTCTTTACGAGTTTCCATCCCCACCCTTCAATACTTGCATTTTTCTTTTTTATTAGACTAAAAAAACCCCAAACATTTCAATCTTTCATAGCCTAAGAATTGTTCTAGCCTTTTGTTTGTCCATTTCTGCACCTTTTTCTGCACATTCCATCCCCTTTGTCGACACCGAGCCCTGGAACAATCCCATGATTAATGCTTGCATTCTTTCCCTTTTCGAAATTAATCAACCTGCTGTGTAATCACAAAGGTGTTTCAGAACCACAACCCACTTTAATGTTCTTTTTAAAAGAGTGGTGAAATCCAGGCTTTAACTGCTATGTCTGTGAACAATAGAGCCTTTAAATGGTGCTAAGGGAAGATTCATCCACACCATGGGCACTTCATGCGTGACTCCCCCACCCACCCACAGGAGAAAATGCAGAGCAGCTCCTGAAAATGGGGAGCCCCAGCAACATCCACACTTGTGTACATCACACAGCACCAACATTTCCCCCTTACAGAGAGATTATCTCCATCATGTGCAATTGTAATGCTTCCCTGAGTGACCATTGTTGCAAAACTAATGCATCCCTTGATTGAGAGTTGCCATCATCTGCAAAGACAGCACTGCCATCTTGTGATCAAATAAGAGATAATGCAAGATTACTATTTGCAAACTGAAAAGCCCAGATTTTTTCAACGAAATACAGACAGGAATTGTTACATTCCACATCCAATTATTTATCCCAGTCTCTATTTCTTTGACCTTCTGTCCATTCAGAATCCTGACTTGGCAGCTTGCCTCCTAGGATTTCTGCCCATTTTTCCTTCAAAGTTAGATGGTCAGCTATTTCTTCCTGCCTAAATCATTGATTAATGCATCATCTGTTAGCATTAATCCTGTGGGATTTGACTGTCCAGTATCACAAATAATCCTGTGGGACGTGACTGTCCAGGATCCTGTGGGATTTGACTGCCCAGTATCAAGGGCATAGCCACTGATGAGGAGCTGGGATGTGGGATGCCATGATAGAACCATGGGGAAAAGTTATGTTACATGTTATGGGAAAGAGGAGAAATAACTTCCATAGAAACGCCATTTGCAATAGCAGCCCCCGTTCTGCTTTGAAAGGCTCTTGGATTCTGCAACCACAAAGGCCGCATCTACACTGTACATTTAAAGCAGATTCAAACCACTTTAAACAGTCTGTGAACTGTAGCTTGTTAAGGGTCCTGAGAGTTGTTAGGAGACCCCTATACCCCTCAGAGAGTTATCATTCCCAGTTTTTTAACAATCAATCCCTCTTCCAAAGGAACTCTGGGAATGGTAACTGTGAGCGAAATAGGGGTCTCCTCTCAGCACCCTGAACACACTTTCCCTGGGGGAAGCCATGCCTCCTGAAAGATATACGATACTACTTTAAACATATAGTGCAGATAGAGCCAAGGGCTAACATAACTTCTATTCCAGAATTTAATGTCTCGACAGTTCTCCACTCACATACCTCACCCTCAACAACTCAGGTGTCTTGCTCTGGGAAAACCTGGTGAAGACCACTAACGAATGTGAATTTACAGGGCCTTTTTGGCGGCCCATAGCAACATTTGACACCCCAGCCCTCAGTCCGCCTTGCCAAAACCAGTGAAGTGAGGTGCTAGGCTTTGGGAAGGAGGCATGAGGGATCTGACAGTGCCCTAGAGTCCTCCCACCTCCTTCCCAAAGCCTAGTTAGCACTTTCCCAGATTTAGGGCCGTGCCAGAGCCAGGTGCTTCCTTCCCAAAGTCCAGCGACTCTCTTATCTGGCTTTGGGAAGGCAGCATGAGGGCTGGGGAGCAGTCAAATTTTGGCTTTGCTGCCCCCACCCTGCACGACAAGGCAGTGTGTGACCTGCAGATTCTGTGTCAAAGTACTCTTGCAGCCCACTTGGTACGAGCAGTTGGACTGCCCTGATTTAGACAATAGTTCATCATTATTTTAGACTCCAATGTATTTCCTTACCCAGGCTCTGCTGATCTTTTTCTCTTTGTTCCCATGTTGAACTGTCCACATATGCGGCTGAAAGAATACATCTTCTACCTAATAAAAAGAGAGTCAATAGCAATATATAAGCACTATCATTTAGAAAGGTTTCAATTTCTCTAAATGCACATTTTATTAGTCACCTTCTTTTTTAAACATTCAGTTCTCTAAATTAAATGCAATAAATTGACATCATGCTTTGGAATCCAAACATTGTAGAACTGAGAACTCTGATCTCCCTGTCAGCTTTACTGAATATGGCTTTAGGGGGTGTCCGGCCACTACATCATAAATCAGACCTCCATAAAACACAGGCTGATCTTATAATTCATTGCATATTGCCTTGTTATTAACAGGAGTACATAAACATGATTCCCCATCTAAAAGGTGCTGATTAAAAGGTGAAATGCTAGTTCCTTTCAAGTAACACAAAAGTGGAATCTGAAATCCATATGCCTACAGTTAATGCAAAATATTTGTACTGCCAAGACTACAGTATTTATTCCAGCACTCCAAGTGAATGTTAGATGTTAGACAGCATGGGGGATAATTATGAACCCTGACAAACCCCACAAGGAAGGCTTCACGGGGCCAGAGCACTCCCCAAGCATCACCCTCTGGAAATGACCATCCAATTAGGAGTGGAACCACCACAAAGCTGTGCCACCTACCCCTTCTGGACAGCTGCTCCAGAAACATACCACGGTCGATGATACTGAAAGCTACTGAGAGGTTGAGAATTAACAAAGACACATTTCCCCTGTCTCTCTCTCTTTTGACATAGGTTACCATATAGGGCAACCAAAGTAGTTTCGGTGTCAAAACCGTGTCTAAAGCCCAACTGAAATGGGTCTAAAATCAGTTTCTTCCAAGAGTGCCTGGATCTCGTCCGTGACCAGATCATGCTCAAGAACCTTGCCCAAGGAGAGGAGATTGGCTACTGGCTGGTAGTTACAGTACTTGGATTTTCTATACCCAGGGAGGGTTTCTTGAAGAGTAGTTTTACCACTGCCTCCTTCAAACAGGTAGGGATCACCCCCTCTTGCAAGGAAGCATTAATCGCCTCCTGGCCTAGCAGGTTGTCTCCCTCCCTGCTAGTTTTTCACGGCCAATAGAGAGGGGCTGTTTAGCCTTGGTGGGGTTGAAGAAGCCTACAGTTGCCCCACACCCTCAAACCACCTGATTAAAAAATGGTCTAGGTGTATATTTTAGGATCATAGAGTAGGAAGTATGCTGCATTCAGAAATAAATCTAGTGCTGGACAATGTCCTTGATAGTCCTTGCTCACTTGGTCCTCTTTAGTGTGCAAGGGGGTCAGACTAATGCAAAGGAGTCAAATGAGATTTGTAACCATAAACCTGACCGGGCAACCTAACTTCATTCCAACAGCACAATTTCCCATTCCCCCATTAAATTTGAATGCAGGAGTCAAGATAGGGCTCATTGCTGAAACACAAAATGTGCCCCTGAGCAAGCCCAACAACCATAATTCCAATGTCTCATTGCTTAAGATATCACACTAAACTGGGTTTTCCTGGACATTTTGACATGTCTGAGGTGGTCAAACTCCAAACTCAAAATGTAGAATTTGAATGCTTGTACTCAATGCCATTCTGACACCTTAGATGTTCAATACACTTAGTAGCAGGAGACTCTTTCAGGTGGTTCGCAATTTAACGGAACCACCTTTACCACCAGGGCCTTGTAAAGACCCCAAGATCTCCTGCAACGATTTTGCAAAGTTTTTTGCAGATAAAATCACTCATATTCGGAAGGAGCTAGACACCACCGTGGGAGCAGGGCTGGGGCGGGAGAGTGCTAGAGCTCTGTCTATAACATCCTTCTGGACCGTCTAGAGGAGCTGGGGGCACTGTTATACAGTGGTTTCGCTCCTTCCTCCTGGGCCGTGTTCAGAAAGTGGTGGTGGGGGATGAGTGTTCAGACACCTGGGCCCTCACTTGTGGGGTGCCTCAGGGTTCCGTCCTCTCCCCCATGCTTTTAACATCTATATGAAGCCGCTGGGAGAGATCATCAGGGTGTTTGGACTGGGTCTCCATCAATATGCAGATGATACCCAGCTCTACCTCTCTTTCAAATCAGAACCAGTGAAGGCAGTGAAGGTCCTGTGTGAGTGCCTGGAGGCGGTTGGAGGATGGATGGCGGCTAATGGATTGAAGTTGAATCCTGACAAGACAGAAGTACTGTTTTTGGGGGACAGGGGGCGGGCTGGTGTGGAGGACTCCCTGGTCCTGAATAGGGTAACTGTGCCCCTGAAGGACCAGGTGCGCAGCCTGGGAGTCATTTTGGACTCACAGCTGTCCATGGAGGTGCAGGTCAATTCTGTATCCAGGGCAGCTGTCTACCAACTCCACCTGGTACGCAGGCTGAGACCCTACCTGCCCGTGGACTGTCTCGCCAGAGTGGTGCATGCTCTAGTTATCTCCCGCTTGGACTACTGCAATGAGCTCTACGTGGGGCTACCTGTTGGTGTTGACCTTTAAAGCCCTAAATGGCCTCGGCCCAGTATACCTGAAGGAGCATCTCCACCCCCATCGTTCTGCCCGGACGCTGAGGTCCAGCGCAGAGGGCCTTCTGGCGGTTCCCTCATTGCGAGAAGCAAAGCTACAGGGAACCAGGCAGAGGGCCTTCTCGGTAGTGGCGCCCGCCCTGTGGAACGCCCTCCCATCAGATGTCAAAGCGATAAATAACTACCTGACATTCAGAAGACATCTTAAGGCAGCCCTGTTCAGGGAAGTTTTTGCATGTGTGATATTTTAGTGTATTTTTGGTTTCTATGGAAGCCACCCAGAGTGGCTGGGGAAACCCAGCCAGATGGGCGGGGTACAAATAATAAATTATTATTATTATTATTATTATTATTGCATTACAAATTAAAACCAGAGTAGAGGTTAAAACAAAGGCTCACTTTGTTCAAGGGAAGTGGGGAATGGGAAAACTCCAGCTTTCATCTTCAACCCTAGAGGGAAATACTGTACATTGTGGAAAGGTACTACAGAATATTTAGAGGATTCCACATCCTTTCTCTCTCTCATGAGGCAGTTAAGGAATGGAAGAGGGTGAAGTTGAAAACAGCTATTTTTCTCCCTTTCTGTGTCTCGCCTTCTTGCTGTACAAAAATCCTCCAACGGGGACTTAGCTCTGACTCTATGCAAATCCAGGATTATAATGCAGCACTACACATCTCCCAATGGAGGCTACATGAAGATGGGTTTATAGTTTTATGTATACAAGAAGAAAATAGCCCTTGTCAACCTGATGTCCTCCAGTTGTTGTTGAACTCCAGCTCCCATCAGCTCCAGCCAGCACATCTGGAGGGCACCAGGTTGTCAAAGGTATAAAATGAGCAGCCAAAAGGCCAAAAACATATTTGTTGGCCACAGTCACTATGCTATTGATGTAAAAAAGGAAGGGCATAATAACACCAAGCACATTTTTCTAAACTCCAGGTTCCCATTGATTTTGGCAACGACAGCATATATGTATATATGTGTGTGTACACACACACACAGAGAGAGAGGGAGAGAGAGCGCATGGAGGGATGGCAACCACGAGCCTTGATGGAAATGCCAAGTGGTCAACAGATAGATCATTTGACCAGATGAGGGAGAGATAACCCTGCTTCTCAGCTGGCTGAAATGTATACAAGAGCACTTTTGCTAACTCTCAAAAAGGCTGGCCAAATGAATGCGGCTCTCACACCAAAAGGTTAGCCGTACCCTTACATAAAAGGTCAACGTGGTAAAACGATGGGGGTCATGGAATCACAGAACCGTACAGCTGGGGAAAGGTCATTAAGGGTCATCTAGTCCAACCCCCTGCAGTGCAGGAATCCTTTTGCCACAAAACGAAAAGCTGCCCCAGAAGTGACCTCAGGGCTCCATTGATAACCATGAATCCTTCGCAGCGCTGGATGAAATCTCTGGCAGCTAACACGGAAACCCTAGGGGGGAAAACTCTCACATATAAAACGGCAAAGGCTGTAGTGACACGAAAGCCGTTTAAACTCGAGCAGCCTCGTTCAGACTCAGGCGCAGGAAGGTCAAGCGAGGAGGCTGCTGCAAGCCTGACGCCCATGTGCTCCAATATCTGAGGGCATGGAGAACACGTTCCGGGGCGCAGCCTGGCCTCACTCAGACCTCCCCTGCGCTGCGCTCGGGGTCCCTGGAGCTCAGTCCCCGAAAGACCCGCCTGGCGGCCCCACAGCCCACACCCACCTGCCGCAGCCCAGCTCCGAAGCGCAACCGGCAACCCTCGCCTCAGGACGGGCGCCGCCATCTCGGCCCGCACCACCTCTTCGACGGGGGTGGAGGAGCTTAGGCGGCACGCCGGCGCAGCCGCTGGCGAGACGCGGGAGATTCGGCGAGGGCGGTCCCTGCGCGCCCCTCCTGCCGCGGCCGCTCTTGGTACGTTCCGGGGACAGAATGGCAGCGGCAGTGGGCAGTTCCAATGGAATCCTGCGAGAGACCGTCCGGCGCTGCATGCGGGGCACGCTCGCCGCGGCCGGCTGCCTGAGCTGCCCGCAAGGAGGTGCGTGAAGGGCGACAGGTGGGGAGGCTGCAGGGGAGAGGAAGGGACGCTCTATGGAACGCGCCGATCCGACCTTGTAATCGGAGAACTGCATATCCCATCGTCCACTGCGGCGCCATAAGCCAAAGTTTTTTTACTGTGGCGGAATGGTGCACGCTGGGGGTTGTAGTCCCGAACGTGACGTCGCAGGAAAGGCCTGATGTGCTCAACCCAAAGTCCTTTAGGATGGGAGAACCTGCGTGGTTGCGCTCCGCGTGTTTCAAGCGCCGGGCTTTTCTTCTCTCTTGTTTAATCACCTAGGGATGAATGTGGAACGCCCTAGGTGACAAAAAAAAATAAATCCTTCCAGTAGCACTTTAGAGACCAACTACGTTTGTTATTGGTATAAGCTTTCGTGTGCATTCATCTGAAAAAGTATGCATGCACACGAAAGCTCATACCAATAACAAACGTAATTGGTCTCTAAGGTGCTACTGGAAGGAATTTTTTTGTTTGTTTGTTTCAACTCCGGCAGACCAACACGGCTACCTACCTGTAACTAGCCCTAGGTGACGACCATTGGAGCCTGTTGCGTGGAGTGTGTACAGCCTATGAGATCCACAGAGATCTTCCATCAGGCGGCAGAGAGAAAGTGAAAAGGCGCCAACAGGGATAGCCGCAAATAACTTAACCCAGCGTGTTTTGTATTTGAGAAGAGTTTTAACGCATTTGAAATAAATGCTGCCTTTCCCAGTGAATTCAGAAGGGGACATTGTTCAGTGTTGGAGCACGCTGTTTCTCAATAAACCTCTGCATGTGCATCAGCATTTTTAATTATTGCATTTGCTAGTTGCTGCCCATGAAACATCCTGAAGCAACTGAAAAGTAAAAACATTTTCAAGGCTAGTATAGGATACATAGTCGTATCCAGTGTTAGCTGAAAAAGCCTGCTGAGCTAGTGGAGCAGCAGCGTTGGCTATGACCCAATGGCTCTACTCTGAGTAGAACCACAGCTGTCTACTCATCATACCTTTTCCCCCCTTCTGCCTGCATTGCAGGGGGTTGGACTAGATGACCCTCACGGTCCCTTCCAATTCTATAAGCCTATGATTCTAAGCTTCTGTTTTTAGCCCTGTGCACTATTATATTTCTCTGTTCCGGCTTATGAGGGCTAATGCTTGGTTATGATCACTTGATGGTGATGGTGGTAGTTAGACAAAGGGCAGCTAATTATAGGTGTGCCTCCTTGGTCCATGATGTCCAGCCTGTGACATCTTTCTTTCAAACAGACAAGTTATTGAAATAGTTAACAGTTAGCAAGGGAATCCTCTAACTGGAGCAGGCCTACTTACCTTGCAGAAGAGGAGCTGCAGAGAGGGGTGCTTTTCAGCTGTGACTTTCAAAAGGCATGTACCGTGAGGTGAAACATGGGCAAAGCAGGAGGTATAAGTGAGGAAGGATAGGAAGGCATCAGTCAATATAAGTCTGCACCTGAGAAATAAAATACAGAAAAGCAAACATATTTATTGTTACAGGTAGGTAGCCGTGTTGGTCTGCCATAGTCAAAACAAAATAAAAAGTAAAAAAATCCCTTCCAGTAGCACCTTAGTGACCAGCTAAGTTTGTTATTGGTATGAGCTTTCGTGTGCATGCACACTTCTTCAGATATTCAGATATTTATTGTGTCATGTGCTTTTATAGGTTAGAACAGACTTTCTAAGCTTATCCAAATATTACAAGAGAACGTTTACAGTTATTGAGTAGAAGAATATTATATCTGCATAAGGGATGTGAGTCCCCACCATTCTCCTTTATGTTAGTAGGTGAAAGTATGAGCATTTCTGAAACGGATATACAGTACAAAGCATCCTCTTTCTTTACACAGCCTAAGGTTTAAATAGATACTATTATTGAAACCTTAAGTGTATGGTGTATTCTGAATATCTCTCTTTTCCTCCCTTTCATTTTCAGCCAAACGTTATTTGTTAACAGAAGATGTTTTGCAATTACATGCATTTCAGCAGCATAAGTTGGAAGTGGGATATAAACTATATGGCGAGAAAGGTAAGCCCTTCAGGGAAATGTTGGTCTCCCAGGGTGAGAGGCTGGGAGGAGAAAGAAAAGATCCCAGGTGAGAGCTGGGAGGGGCTCCAACCTTCTGTGGGTGGTAATGACCTTTAAGAGGGGATTCTGTACTCTTATTTTTTGTAGCTGCTTTTGTTTTTAATTTACATTAGTTTTCTGTACTGTATCATGAAAAAAAACCTAATAAAAATCTTAAGAGAGAAAGAAAAAAGAAAGGTAGCCCTTTCATGTATACCAGAGGTGGGGAACCCATAGCTCCCCAGATGCTGTGGGCCTACAACATCCTGAAAGCCTCCAATTCCCCACCCCTGATGTGTATGCTTTACTTAACCATTCACAAGTTAATGTTGCAAAGCTTAAAGGCAATCAGTGGTTTATCAGATACGGTTTTGCTAGTCATCACAGGCTCAGAGCAAAAGCCATATTGAGGCTTCTCATAGTTCTTGTACATTGAGGAATTCTCTGGTGTTTGGTAATGCTCTCTGTCCTTTGCATAACTGGTGTATGCTCAAACGTCTCTTTATCTGCATCTGAGTTTCCATCCCTTTATTTATTTATTAGGAGTATTTTAACATCACAGTAATACTGTAGTGTGGGGATGGGGAATCTGTGTCCCTCTAGGTATTTGTTCGACTCCAGCTTCCATCAGTCCCAGCCAGCAGGGCCAAATAGTCAGGGATGATGGGAATTGTAGTCCATCAACATCTGGACTACATCCCTGCCAGAACAACATCGGACAATAAAAACAAAACATGTTCTCAAAAGAGGGCAAGCTTTTTGTGGGAAACTGCAGGTTCTATCTTTGTTTTGAGCAAATACCGTATTGGCCCGAATATAAGACACACCCGCAAATAAGTCACACCTTTTAAATTAAAGGCTTATTTGCAGATGAGGCCCGCCTCCTGGCACTGCCACCCTGAATGGGGGATGGGAGGGTGGGCGCTTACTTCTGAGCATGCTGTGCGCCCGCCTCCCAGCACTACCACCTCCCCTGTTCAGGGCAGTAGTGCCAGGAGATGGGCGCACAGCGCTTGGTTCCAACTATATGCTGCACTTTAACTTTTCACAGTAGGAATTTGGAAAAAAAGTGTGGCTTATATTTGGGTCAATACGGTATGTGCTAAATGTCCTTTGTGGTTGGCTGGGGAGCAAGGGTTCACATTCCTCCTGGGCATCACCCAGGCACTAGGGTCCAGGCACTAGACTTGCCCCCAGTAGATGATCACTACTTAAGGGCAAAGCTATTACAATGTGACGTGTGAGGGCAGATGTTTTTGTGGGGGTGGGTGGGAAACCCAGTACGCTCTACAACTAATCCGGCCATGACTACCGTAACTGGGATAAGGCATGTAAACTGACATTACGATTTTTCTATATAACCTAAATACAAATAAAGATATACTATTAATTCTGTTTCAGACACATATTTCAAAACTATTGAAGACAAGTTAGCCAAAAATATGCTAATTCTCAGAGATGAATTGAAATTGTTGCTTCATTTGTGCCAGACGAAAGAAGAAGTGAAAATAGTCAAGAGGGTGATATACAGGTAAAATTCAAAAGAACATATTCTGGTTCCTTCTTTTGCATTTCCTTTAGTCTAGAATATCCTGGACCATGCGACAGTTAGTAGGGAACTTGGATATTTTTAACAGGATCAGCCTTAATACAGTTACACTTCAAAGTTTTCAGTCCATGCCTGAGGTCATTGGGTTGTACTCAGCATAGCACTAAAGTGGGCTTTCCATCAGTGCAAAGGTTTGTACTTGTGCAACAGCATGATCTCCTCCCCCCTTGTACCCCTTAAAACCCTCCAGAACAAAATTGAGATGGCATAGGGCATGCATACAGGGATCCCAGTGTGCTGGCAGAAATATTTTGTTGACTAGTACCCACTGGACAAATACATTTAAATCTAAGTAAAGTAACATGATTTGCTTGTGCCTGCCTATCCAGGTTTGTCATCCTGAAATGCTGTTGCTGTGAAGCAAATGCAATTTTATCATAAAGTTAATCAAGTTGATTAGGTTGAATCAGCCAATAAACGCCACTGATGTCAATGAAGAACAGCAAATTGGGAACAGAATTACTGTTCAATCTGCAAGTAGATGTTGTGAAACACGAAATACTGACTAGAAGAAGATAATTAATTAGAATCCCGTGCCATCTTCCAAAATTAGTATTATGCCTATGGCAGAGCAAAGGATTAATTCTGAACAGGGCTGGCCCACCCTTGAGGCAAGGTACGGCAACTGCCTTAGGCGGCAGGATCTATGGAGCAGCAGACCTTCACTCCCCCGTTGTTCCTGATGTAGCTCTTCACTAACCCCTTCTTCCCTGGTGGGGAAGGAGGTGCCGTTTTGCTGTTCACCTCAGGTGCCAAAATGTTTTGGGCCTGATCTTGAAAGATATCATTTCTCCTCTTTGTTATGTTGCATCACATGGTAATTCTGTGCAATGGCTCTGATCGGTTTTCTAGTCCCATACAAGCAGGCAGCAAGTAACTCTGTGCATGTAGGTTCCTTTCATTTAGACTACCTTGTTTCTGCTTTTATCTTTACCTCTGCTCTTTAAAACTAGATTGCCACACACACAACAAATTCCATGTCATCTCTACAGGTACCATGCTGAGAACAAAAATGTGGCCTTTGGTGGTTTCAAATTTGGTCCTCTTTTTATGAGGCTGTGTTATGAAATGAATCTTGAAGCAACGGCACTGGAGCTCATCAAAGACCAGGTAGAATTCAGAAACACGCCCGTCTCTTTTCTTCTCTAGTCCAGTAGGAAATCTTCCCTATACCAGCTCCCTTAAATCCATGGTAGTTGTGAAAAGTATATAGATAAATAATAAGCACAGAGGCTTCTGGGAGAGGGTCACTTTGCTCTTACCAGAGTTTTGAACTGATTACACTTTCCCCACCCCTTCCAATGGCTTTTTCCTCCCACCCTCCTCTCCCTTTCTCCCCCTGCTTGCATGAAATTAGGCCAAAGATTGCAAATTCCTCACTGCTTCCATGAACACCCATTTGTGTGTGTGGGAGGGGGGACACTCTGCTATGGTTTACATGCCATCATGTAATATGAATAAACAAGCAAACAGCTTGTGCTGCATTGGAAAGAAAATTCTCGTTTCCCTCGTGGATCTTTCCCATTCTTACAAAGGATTGTTTTTAAATGGTAGGAATAAAATCACTGGAGAAATGTGATGAACGTCATATTTTTCTCTCTTAATGTGGAGGTGTAAAGCTGGAACCCAAAGGGCTTTGGAGCTTTGTGGTTTCCAAAATCTAATCCTGAAGGCTGGAGGAAGTGCTAAATATTATTTGTTGTTGTTTATTTAGCAAAAGATTGGCAGTATTTATTTTTTAACCAAAGCAGATATCTTTATTCAAAAAGCACAAATGAAGAGAGTGAGATCAAAGGAGAATTTTTTTTAAAAGTTAAAAGAAGAAAGAGAAACAAGATAAATGAAGAAGAAATTTAAAGGTTTGCATTAATTAAATGGGGGGGGAAAGTTTTTTTTTTAAAAAAAGTTGTTGTTTTGAAGCTGTTGTCTCCTACAGGCCTTAATAGAATGCTAACTGTCAGGAGTTTGAAAATGAAATTTTAAGACCCTTAATTTTGCCTCCCAAGCTTTGAGGGTTCAATGGCTTCAGTTTGAACTATTAATTGGGTGTTGCTATAACCAATATCTGTGGGTTGTCCCAAACTGATGTTATTTATATTCTTCAGGCTTTGCACGGCTTCTTTTCAGAAAGCTCATCATTCAATATTTTGATGGATATGCTCTTTACGAAAGGTCATTATGAAAGTAAGTAGCGTAAGATCCCTAAAAAGGAATATATTATTGACAGCGAAACTGTCTTTCTGATATGAAAAAATAGAATATTAAAGTGCTATAATTGACACTGAATTGGTTGATCTTTTGAGCTGGCAAAACCTGATGTGATCACTCATGGGTGTTAAAAGAGCTGAAACACATTTTGCAAATATAATTGAAGAGTACTCATTAAGCACTTGATCTCTCTCATCAAATGTAATCATACAACTCATGATTAGGGCTTTTATGGATCTTTTTTGGTAACACTTTTTCATCTTCTAACTTCCTGCCTTTGCTCTCAGCCAAGCAGCTGTCTTTCATGAGCCTGGGAATTTTTTTATCGCTGCAAGAAAACATGCTATATTTTCTGAACACCACATATTTTCACCCCCACCCCATCTCACCCAGGTGCAGTGTGATCTACTTGTCTACTTGGAGACAAGATCCTTTGAGTTCAGTGGAGTTAACTTTTAGGCAAACGTGCATAGGATTGCAACCTAAAGATTGCAATCCGTACACAGACTTGGGAGAAAATGCCACCAACCTTTTGAGGAAGCACATATACAAAGGAGCTGCATGCTGGGGGTGGGGATGTTTATTTAAAATCGTATTCCTTTTTTCATAACATCTCAGAGCTTTGTACGTATTTTCAAAACAATAAAAACCAAAGCTCCAATTTTAAAGTACAGTTACATACAACAACCATCAGGTAAAAAACAGTAGAGAACAAAAGAAATCAGTAGCTCAGTGGCAGAAGGTTTTCTTAATCAGAAGCATCTTAGGGAGCAATCCTATGGCGAGATCCACTGCAATGAGCTGCTTAGGATGCAACAGATATTAAGCTTAGCTGGTTGATTCCATGTTTAGCTGGCATTAAGTCCCTGGTGATGATGCCCAGCTGATGATGCGTGATTTGCCAGTGAAATTTGCTCATCCCAGCTCAGCTGGGGTTCATCTGGCTGAGGCTGATGCAAATCCGCAAAAGGGAGTGTGGTGGGGGCATAGTGGGGGTGGGAATGCAGGGCTTAGGCTAAGCCTGTTCAGCTCAGTCACATGGCCTGGCAACCTGGCACAGAGCACTATTTAGGAGGCTTGTTTTCCCTCTGCCAGGTTTAGGCAGAGCAGCAGCAGCCTGGTGCCGAACATAGTATGGACCTGGTATGCCAGTTTTACTCACCCTGGCTTGCTTGATGCCAGCTTCTTGTAGAATCATAGAACTGTAGAGCCAAAGGGTCACCTAATCCCAGCCCCTGCAAGGCTAAAGAATCCCTGACAGATGACCATCCAACCTCTGTTTTAAAAACCTCCAATAAAGGGAGAGCCTACCACATTGTGAGGGAGTCCAGCCTCGGAGGTAGTCCTGTGAGTAGGGTTGTTCCCTTCATCTGTCTTCCAGAAGACAACAGGGAGGGAGCTCTTTGGAGACAGATTCCCAAAGCTTCGGAACTACTGCATTGGACTCTTTGCAAACAGGACACAGTTCTGGTCACCATAACTTCCTCCTACAAAGAACATGCACACCATATCATTGATGAAAGGTTAATGGGCTTGTGTGAAATGTGCAGTTTTCCTCTTCAAATAACCATGAGTGATTCGAAATGGATCCTTTCCCAGAACATGCCGTGCTAGTTGCTAAAAACCATTGCTATCATTGGGGTGGGGGCAGGTGGGAGGTCATTATCTTTGTCACTTGTCACTGGTGCAATCCTATGTCTGTCTACTTGGAAGCAAGCGGTAGGACTGCAGCCTTAATGCGCTAAAACCTATGACAGTCTAAAAAGGCCCTTGACCACCTTTCCTAATTTGTGTGTGCTACTTTAGGTATGTTAGGATGAAACCATTGTATCCAGCTAAATCATTCCCCTCCCGCGCACCTTTAAAATCAGTTCCAGGGGTTCCCCCAGCCTTTATTCAGATTTGTGGGTGGGAAGGGAAGTTTGGTTGTGCTTGCACAAATTGTTCTATGTGTGCAGTGATTTGGTTAGATTCAACTCCAAGCATATAGTTTGTATGGCATTTTATTCTGTCTAAGTCACAATTGCTAAAAACTTAATCAGTGAAAATTGGCATATCTAGGATTTTCCCCTATTTTGGTTGTACATACTATAAAACTTCCATTAAATTTGCATAGCCTTAGCAAGTGGATTATATAAAGTGCTATGCATCTCATCTGCAAAGTTTTTTTTTTGTTTTTTGTTTACAAATGATAATTATTTTTCAGAACTTGGCTCAGGGTTCTTAGAAGTGTTGTTAATTAGCAGTTAATACGCTAATTAGAAAATGATGGAAGTAACAGTAACTGAAAGTCTGTTTGACAGGTGCTCTGGAAGTGCTGTTAGAGATGAAGAGACAAGGTGTTAAATTCAGCAGTGATACCTATTTGCTCGCAGTTGCGATATGCTACAAGCTGGTAAGAACACATAGTGTTAAAGAATTGCTTCTAGGGTTTTTTAATGAATGAAAGATTAATATTGGAAATGCTGTGAAACCTAAAGGTGGTTTTCTTTTCTTTTCTTTCTGGAATATTACTTATTGATTTATATTTATTTCCAAAAAATAATGAATGTAATATATGGAGGCAGTGTACAGTCAGGCACTGTAAAACAAACTAATATTAAAAACAATACATAAATAATAACCATAAGCATGACTGGCTCACCCTGAGAAAGTTTAAACAACTCTGTAGGTCTGTAGGAAGTCTTCAATAGATAAATGGAAATTATCAGTTTGGATGATGGTCAAATCTCTGCTGGAAGAGTATTCCATAGCATGGGACCAGTGGCAATAAATTCTTGATTTCTGGTTGAAACTAGTTGGACTTCTGAACCACAGGGAACTCACTGCCCTTCTCAGGATGGTCTCAGTGATGGAGCTGGGATATAAGGGCTTAGTTGGTCCTTAATGTAAACCTGGGGCCAAGTTATTTAAGGCCCTTGTATATGTATACAAGACCCTTGAATTTGGCCCAGTAGTATATTGGCAGCCAGGCATATGTTTTAGCAGAGGTGTTGCATGCTGTCAGCCATCAGCAGTCTAGCTGCTGCCTTTTGAACTAGCTGGAGCTGCCAGACCAGTTCCAAGGGCAGCCCCACATAGAGCAAATTATAGTCATCCAGTCTCAAGGTACCAGTGCCTTGACTAAAGTGGCCAGACTTTCCTGATTCAGATATAGCCATAGCTGGTGTGCCAGGTGAAGCTGGTATAGCCACAGAGGTCATTTGCGTCTCTGATGAGTAAAGTGTATCCAGGAATAGCCCCAGACTATATACCTGCTCCTTCAGATGGGGTGCAACCCCATCTAGGCAGGCAGTTGGCCTGGGTATCAGACACACAACAGTCTTAACAACTTTTTTAGTAACTTTATATCTCGTATTTTAAGCATGCACCACTTACGGCAACTTAAGAGACGGCATGCACAAGCAATACAGTTGAACAATGAAAAGTATGATAACCAGCAGTAGATAATAAGATTGCTCTTGACTAAAGAGATTATGTGGCAAAGGGTTATGTTTCAACCAAGAAGCTTTGATTAGAACAAGAAGCTTTTAAGATCATTTAAACTTACCAAATGCTGTTGCATTCAGGTCCTGGGCTGCCTCTAAGGATCTGATTGGCCACTGTCAGAACAGAATGCTGAATTAAATGGGCCATTGAGCTGGTCTTATGTTCTTATAAACATTTTAAAATTGGGAGACATTCCGTGTTTACAAAATTAATTTAATTTTTTTTTTAAAAAAAAAGATTGGGAGCCATTTGGGGGCAAAAGAAAAGTGCATGAGATGCATGTCCAGATATTTATTCACTAGTTCAGGAGTCATCTGGGTTTGCATAAAGCTCGTGATGCACAAGAGCACATTCCTGTTTACCCCCCAGGCTCAGATGCACTTACTCTAAAATGTTTATGTAGGAATGGTTAATATAATCTGTTGCGTTCACCTTTTTCTTTTTATGTAAGGAGCTAATCCCTAGTATGCATAAACATCTATATCTCGTACTAGTAAATAAAGCTTACATTCCACAAAGACACATATATATGTTCCTTTCTGCATCTGGAAGTGCCTTCTTCCCTTTATTCCAAGTCTAAAGAAGCGCTAAAACTTCCACAGCCCATCATTCCACCTCATGCAACTTTAGGATGGAATGCTCATCACTTTTGGCATGGGAGTCTAAAAAGTATCGCATTTTCAAATTCTGTAATCAGTGGGCTGCATGTGTGTCTAGTGTAAACTTTCTGGAAAGCTTCGAAGTACCTTAACTGTTGGCACTCAGGCAGTAGGGCGGTGTCTTTATCCAGTGGATCTGAACTGTGAGTCATTCATGCATTGAAATCTTTTATTCTACAGAACAACTCGGAGTCCAGAAGAATTTTCACTACGTTACTTGAAGATGGGCAGCTCAAAGGAGTTAATATATCAAGAAGAGTTTACTACTTTGCAGTAGTATTTGCTTTGAAACAGGTACTAGATTGTTTTGATTTATTGTCAGGGTTCCTGGAATCTCTGCATGTAACAATAGCATGCACTCCAGGCTTTCTGGTTTCCTGGACCCATTTCTCCCCCCATTCCTAGGGAAACTTGAATACACCGGTACTACATAAACAATTGTGGTATGTCATATGCATCATACATCATTTTCTAGAATATTTAGGGGGGAGCGGGGGGAGCTTCCTACGGTACCCGTTTGGTTGGGATAGGAATCAAAACTGTAACTGCATTTAATATAGCCCATCAGCTTGAAAACTCAAAGTAAATAAAAAGAAAGGGTCACAAAACGAACGACAACAGATGGCTAGCTGGCACACTCTAGATCAGAAGTGGCCCCTGGGCCATCTTTATTTGGCCCCCTGGTGGCCTTTATGCACCATTTTTGTAAGCATTCTGGCAAAGGACCTCAGCCAGTCCGTCTCTCTCTAAATCAGATACTCAGTCCCCAGTCAGAGATCTTAAAGAATCCAAGCTCATGTGCTGTATAGCTGTGAGGTCCTTAATAATACCAACTTTAATGAAATGCTGAGCACAGCTTTGTTTTACGTGCACAGTTTGATTTATTGTCTCTGTTTATTCTTCCTAGAATGATATTTCCAGGGCTCGCTCCTTCTATTCTCACATCATAAACACAGAAAGCAGAGTTTGCACTAATCTGACAGTAAGTCTGCTGGATTTTGTATGTTACTCCTGAGCCAGGAATGGGAAATGCATTTGGCTGCATAGAAATTTAATTAGTTAATTAATAATAATAATTAAAAAAAAATGTGTGGGTTTTTAAAATTAAAAAGGAAGGTTGTCCACTGCTTTGAACAACTTTAGACACACAAGATGCTACTTCGTTTGATGCTGTTCTGGAAAAAAATCCAGTTCTCTTGGGGGTTTTCTGGATTATTTCCAAACGGTTTTAGGATTGCTATTTGACAGACCCTCTAAATTGAAAGGGTATGTTATAAACGGCTACCTAGCTACTCCTCCTCACTTCTACATACAAATAACCGAAGATTTGAAGTGTTTTATCTTGTAATGTGCTGGCAAAGCCTCTGATGCTGATGGATGTTAATTCAGTGATGTCATGGAATATATTCAAACATGTTGTCAACTAAGCATTCCTTGACAGTGGAGCTGTGAACTCTAACACAGCCCATCTTCAATTAGAGAGGTGAAAGTTCAGTTTGGCTGAGGGAAAATGCTCACACAGCCGCTAGGGACAGGAGGGGCCATAAAAGGAAAGCTCAGTGGGGAGAGGACTATGGTACCACTTAAACTCTAAGGAGCAAGGAGCCCATGAACATAGTAGTCAGAGGAAGGGGGCACAATGTGGGAAATAAAGAGAGCAACAGAGTCAGGTGAACTGAGGAAGAGGAAGGCAGAGGGGATGGGAAACTGAGGAAAGGATGAGTAAATGAAAGTGAAAAATACAAATTGGCTGTATGCTGTCGGCAGCGAATGAGGCGAGCAGAAGACTGGAGTAATCAGGCTGCAATTAGCTAAATTAATAGCAAGTCCTGCTTCTTCTTTTCCCAGGCATCCCCACGTCCCACTCCACAGTATATAATTCATAATCCTTCTGAGTTGGTTTGTTAGAACATACTACTCTACATCCAGCATGCAAAGCCGTTTTCCTTCGAAGTAATTTATTTAATTTCATTTAGGCACATGTCCTCTCCAGGGAAGCCTCACAGAATATTTGGGGGAGGGGGGATTCCTTAGAGAATGTGCCATTTTCATGCTTTTATTTTTTTTAATTCCACAACGTTTATATGCCTCTTGATTGTAAAAGTGGTATGCAAAAAAACACACAATAGCATTACCAGTAGTTTGTTTTTTGTTTTTGTTTTTTAAACCAAGTATTTAAAAAAATCATTTTCTTTCACTTGGGCCATTGTGTTATCTATAAGGGCAAAGTATTTGTCTGTTTTCACTGCCCCTTTTACTAACTATTCCAAATCCTCATGGCTCTTAGAAAGGGGGAAGGGGAAAAAAGATCTGTATGTTTGGTGGGGAAAACAATCCATCCTTCTGACCTTTCAGGTTTCAGGGGCGTCTTTTGTTTTTACCTAATCCAGAGCTTATTAAAGCTTTATTCATTAATGTTTTGTTTTGTTCAAGATTCTTCTTCAGGTTGCAACTGGTGACCTAGAAGACCTTGTCCAGAGACTGAAAAATGCTTCAGAGTCCAGTGTTTCAAGTTTTGTGAAAAAGCCAGAGTTCTGTATGGAAGTGGTAAGTGGATGGTTACTGTGGAAGCCAGTGGGTGACCATCAAAAGTCTTCATAGCAGAGGTAGGCCATGTGTGACCTACCAGATGTTGTGGGACTCAAACTCCCATCATCTCCTACCAGCATGGCGATTGGCCAGTAATGATTGGAGATGTAGACTAGCCACAAAAGGAGGGGAGGGTCACAGGATCTCCATCTTTGCTGTACAGTGGTACCTCAGGTTACATACGCTTCAGGTTACATATGCTTCAGGTTACAGACTCCGCTAACCCATAAATAGTGCTTCAGGTTAAGAATTTTGCTTCAGGATGAGAACAGAAATCAGGCTCGGGCGGCGCGGCAGCAGCAGGAGGCCCCATTAGCTAAAGTGGTTCTTCAGGTTAAGAACAGTTTCAGGTTAAGTACGGACCTCCGGAACGAATTAAGTACTTAACCCGAGGTACCACTGTATGTTTGTTCCCTTGTATGCCCTATTCTGAACTTCTACCCAATAAAACGTTTCCCTGACCTTATGGCATGGGTCCAGGCTGTGGTGTGTGATCAGTGGACGAGGGGGACTAGGGTAGCCCCCTAAATGTTCCCCTGGCGCCACCAGCGTAAGGAAGGAGGTGTGATGCTAACTTGTGTGACATCATAACATCACACATGTGATGTCAGCCCCCACACACAAAAAAACACCTTCACAAACGGACACCTCTGGCCCTAATTGCCACCCAACAAAAAGAGTCACCACACGCCACTGGGTCCAGGAACCACTGCTTCCATTATTTTATACGTTCAAGATAGCTGGGTCTGCTCCCTCCCACAAAGATGATTGGCCACACCCTGGATCATACCCTCTTTTTTGAGCTTTGATCAGGCAAGAAGGTCAAGAGGTGTAGTGTGGGTGTGTATAAGGTAATGTTCTGCTTCTAGTTGCTGATCTGTTTGCCATTGTTTTCTCATAGCTGGCTACAGCCAGAGAGAAGCTGGAAGACATCCCAACTCTCCGTGTCCAGTTTGAAGAAATCGTTGCCAAGCTGCAAGCCTCAGGACAGACCATTTCTCAGACTCTGGATGACTTGCTGTGTCAGCCGCCGCGCACAAAGAGGCGCCCCATGCAGCTGCTCAAGCTGAACCAAATGAGCCGTCGGACTTTGAAGCCTATACACTCTGCTCTCCTGGCTGAGTAGATCCATCCTTTCCCCTGTTAGAATTTCTACCCAATAAAACATCTCCCTGGCTTAGAAACGTGGTTTTCACTTGGTGTGTTTTCTGGGATGAATTATGATGCTCCAAACAAAATGTATGAGTGGACACTGTGCAACCAAACAAATAAGGGAAAGACTTAGATCTGCTCAAAGAAGACAACTTGCAAGCAAGCTTGTTCAGCCTCCTGGGGAAAATAGTTACTGCTTGATGCAACATGTGTAGAAAGTTATCACAGATGGTGAATGACAGAGACCACCCCCCTCTAATCTCTATATTATCTCTGACAATATTCAAGATGCTTTATTGCTTGTACCAAACACCAAGTGTTTAACTGAAATCTTTCCTAATCTTGTTGATAAGTGTTAGAAATGGAAAAGAAAGGTATATGGAGATGCGATAAAATTAGGTCATATTGGGGGGAAATATTGAAGGTTATAGAGAATAATAAAATAATAGGTTGGGGTCACTAACTCAGCACCTTGTTTATTAAAGTTATATACCGCCCTTCATAAAAGGGACGCAGGTGGTGCTGAGGCTTAAACCACAGAGCCTAGGACTTGCCGATCAGAAGGTCGGCGGTTCGAATCCCCATGATGGGGTGAGCTCCCGTTGCTCGGTCCCTGCTCCTGCCAACCTAGCAGTTCGAAAGCATGTCAAAGTGCAAGTAGATAAATAGGTACTGCTCCGGCGGGAAAGTAAACGGCGTTTCTGTGCGCTGCTCTGGTTCGCCAGAAGCGGCTTAGTCATGCTGGCCACATGACCCGGAAGCTGTACGCTGGTTCCCTCGGCCTATAGAGCGAGATGAGCGCCGCAACCCCAGAGTCGGACACTACTGGACCTAATGGTCAGGGGTCCCTTTACCTTTACCGCCCTTCATCCGAAGAACTCGGCATTTCACAAGATAAAAATACAAGTAGAACAAAAAATAAACAATAACCTCCCATCTCACAATCACAGTGATCTCAATAGCTACCTCCACGGAACTCCACAATCCACAGCCAACAGTTTGGTCTTCCTGCTCAGCCTGTGTTTGCAGTGGCTTGGACTCTCCTATACTGAATACACTCCTTAAACATGCCCAAATGGGAAGGCAGAAAAATGTATAAAAGTAGAAGAAATAAACACAAATTTGCCTCGCGCACCCATTAGATACTGTTTCTCAAAGCCATTTAAAAACGTCAACTTTATTTTAGAAAATGAAATGTAATGCTAATTTTTTGAATTCCAAAAAATTGTCAAAATACTACACAGCAGACAGTAGGGGGCACAATGGATCGTGCAATGTAGAACAACTCATCTAGCTTGAATATAAGGAATGTAATAAATCTGCAACCAACATCAGCAGTCTTGTTATAACCAAGAAGCTCCCCAAATTAGCTACAGTATATGTAAAATTTCATTACTGACATAATCCATACATTTGTATGTGTGATTTGCATCTTGAATTGCATGCATGAGAGGCCACCTCTCCATGCTCAAAGAAGATGCATAGGCTTAATGAGAAGATACCTTCTGGAACCTCATTAGTGGCACTTGAAGCTATGCTGGAATGTAACTGCATCCAAAAATAAAATGCTACAAAGGAGGCGTTCCAAATGGAAACAAAATTAGTTTTAAGGCAATCTCAATGTGCATGAATTTTAATATTATTTTCATAGTAAAGTGTTTATGCAACTGAGATATCTTCCACTATGCCTTGATGGTTGGTCTTGAGAAGGATCTGGTTTAGCAGGGTCTCTTGGTCAACAGTTATATTTATACTGAAGAATCATTGCAGTCCAAGTAGTGGGTGGGGGGAGGTAAATGACCGCTGGATGGTTAAGTCCCGTCAAAGGCGACTGGGGTGCAGCGCTCATCTCGCTTCAAGCTGAGGGAGCCGGCGTTTGTCCACAGACAGCTTTCCGGGTCATGTGGCCAGCAGGACTAAACCGCTTCTGGTGCAATGGGACACCATGAAGGAAGCCAGAGCGCATGGAAACGCTGTTTACCTTCATGCCGCAGCGGTACCTATTTATCTATTCATGCTGGTATGCTTTCAAACTGCTAGGTTGGCAGAAGCTGGGACAGAGCAACGGGAGCTCACCCCATCATGGGGATTCAAACCTCCGACCTTCTGATCAGCAAGCCCAAGAGGCTCTGTAGTTTAGACCACAGCATCACCCATTCCCTTAGATCCAAGTATCAGGTCACAAAGCCTACGAGGAAAGGTTACAGAAGCCAGGCTTGTTTAGCCTGTGGAAGAGAGGTGATATAATAGCCAATAGAAGCTGATGCTATTGAACCATTTCTTCATCTCGAGCTTATGTCTGCATCAGGCAATGCCCTTTATCTTTTGATCTATACAGTATAGCTGTTAGAATTCCATTATCTTTCATCTCAGGAAAGAGGCGTTGGCATGAGGTTTTGAAAGTGTCTGATTTACCGGAGAGCCAGAAGAGAGGTCAAGAAAAACAAGCAGATAAATACCTTGAATTAATAATGTGTTGCAGTATGAGGGAGAAAGGTATTTTTCCTCAGCATAAAAATAAAATTAATGCAACACTTTAAAAGCAACAAATATTTATTTCTTTTAAAAAATTGCTAGAGACAGTTTGAATAAAAGCCCATTTTTGCACATTCCCAGTTGTATGCAATAGCCTCAAAGTAGAAAAAATTAGCTACATTTAATAATTTATATGCTTGCTTTAAGACCATTTTCAGTGACAGGGAAACCAAATGTAAAGCAGCTCCTGTGTGGGAAATGGGAAATGGGCCTAGGGGGATTTTGTTAATAGATTTTTGTGTCGGCTCTGAATTTTTACCCATTACCAATAATGGTAATTTTTGTTTTTTAAAAAAGATAAGCTGGGAAATGGGGCCTTTTGATTATTCAGTCTTCTATAAGACCGTACATCCCTTAATCCTTACCTACCAATATTTGAAGCTGTGTTGACAAAGAAGATTGGTTCTTCCAACATTAGCTGCAGTAACTTCAGTTAAAGTCACTTCAGCAAATTTGCCTGTTGCTGTAGGCTCTCACCAGTATTATGACATAAAAAATGCTTATATCTAGCCTGTAAATGGTGAATTTCAGGTACTCAAAGAAATCTGTATTTGTAATAATTACAAGCGGACCTGTAAGTTTGGCCAGCCACTGTATTATGGATAGGGGGCTGAGGTTGATAAAATAGTAGCCTAAAACTTCTAATATTGGAGGGAAGATTTGGACTCTCAGTTCACTTTCTTAGCATATTTCTTAACACAAAAAGCTTGTTAACAGATGAAGATCATAGGTTTGTCCCTGGGCAGTTGTCCTTGTTGTGGTCAAAGAACCCATCTGGATGGTACATGATTGAGTTGCCCTTTGTCCACCCAATTTCTCAGCCATGGAATGACTTTTGCAATATCATTTCATTGCATCTCACAATGGTGCCTGTTGTTGGCACATAAGTCTTGAGCCAGCAACATCCCAGGCCTGCTCATAGCACTGGCACAACAGGACACATGCCCTGCCTGCAGAAGGTCCCTGGTTCCATCCTGGACAGGATTTGCTTAGTCAGTGAAAGCCTTGTGCAAATACTTCCACTTGGGGAAGTACAGCCTTCTCCTGTCTCTTCTTCCAGGCCCCCCAACATCTTCAATTGGCTTGGTGGAGGGGAACTGGGAGAACCTTCAGAACAGTGGGGGGGGGAGCACAGATGGAACATTCGACCAAGTGCAACTTGGAACTCCACTCTCCCTGCCTAAAGCCCTGAAGGGCCACAGCCAATCAGCATAGCTGATACTGAGCTAGATGGCCCATTTGTCTAACCTGATATAAGGCAGTTTCCTATTGTGCCATTGTACATCATGCAGCAAACATATGGAACATAAGAACAAATCAGTTTCTCAAAGATGTGAGTATTTGGGCAGTATTTGAGTATTTGAGATGTTCTCAAAGATTTGAGTATTTGGGCAGGGGAAGGAGAAGGAGAAATAAAAAAGAGAATGGTTTTGGGAAGGACTTCTCCTTTATGCGTCAACTTTTGTCGGTTCCCACATCAAACTGCCCAGAAAAAGAGAACTGTGAGAGGGAAAGATTGATATAGGTACAAAACCATTTCTGTGGTTAAGCAGTTTCAGGGGAAATTTAGACCACAGAATCTGTTCTTCTGCACTTTTACTACCTTTTGGAGAGGTGCTCATTTTAGAAGTGGCAATCCGTTGAGGCTTTGAAGTCTCACGCATCTCCATGAAGACCAAAATAAGAATTCTCCCATTTAATAAGAATAATGATGTGTCTGATTTTCATCTTGTCTTTATTTGTTTGTTGTATTTAAAGCCTACCTTTTTCTTCAAGGAGCTCAAGGTGGCATACTTGGTCTCCCCACTCCTCAATGAACCCCCAAAACAACCCAGCGAGGTTGGGCTGAGAGGAAGCGACTGGCCCAAGTTCACTCAGCAAGCTTCATGGCTAAGTGGGGATTTGAATCCTGATCTCCCAGGTCCTACACACAGAACTGTAAGAAAAGGGTTTCAACCTTCTCGGTAGTGGCGCCCTCCCTGTGGAATTCCCTCCCTTCAGATGTCAAGAAGATAAAGAATTACACAACTTTAAGAAGATATCTGAAGGCAGCCTTGTATAGGGAGGTTTTTAAGGCTTGATGTTTTTATTATGTCTTTAGATATGCTGTAGAGTGGTTGGGGTGAGTTTATAACAGCTGCCTCGGCTTGCAACAGGCCACCACACAGTTAATACAAGGCTACATTCAGTGACGGAGACAGTGCCCAGTGTTTACATTGTTCAGACACAGAGTATTTTATTTTCTCTATGCAATGGTATTACTTGGGTATATGGCTGTCTGGAGAAACCCTAGTGTGAGCTGGCTATTTTACCTGGGGACACCCACAGCAATTTCTGTCATCGCTGCACGCATCACAAAATTAATTTGCTCATCCGGCTTAGCTGCTGATCAAATGTCAAAGGATGAGCTTGTCCAAGGCATGTGGCTGAATGCACATTCTAGATCAACTGTCCTGCATGTAAGCAGATGCCACACAGGAAGTTCCCTCTGTATCCA